TTACGGTAGAAATAGGCATGAAACTTTTCGTGCCGAAATTCGGCAAAAAGTCCTAAATTTTGGCCGATTTTCGATCTAAAAATTTCGGTTGTTTCTGCAAAGCGCGAGTTAGGATTCTCGCATATATCTTTAAAAAAATTATTCTAAATTTGTGCCCAGCTTCATCCAAATCTGAACGTCGCACTTGGAGTACTTCCCCTGTAAGCTTATTGTATTAGTCCGTTTTCCTGGAGTGCTCTTGCGACATGCACTGTGCGAAAATAAAAGTGTACCTTGCACTGTGCAATTTCTTGCCTTTTGCACCGTCCAATGTAAGCATGGCTGCAAACCGGGCCAGCCCGGCCCGGCTCGGGCCGCAGGCCCGGGCTTAAGTCTCCAAGCCCGCCCCGGGCCCGGGCTTGGAAAATTTGGAAAGCCCGGCCCGGTTCGGCCCGGAAAATTTTTATACTAGGTTGGAAAAAAAGAAAGCGGGAAATGAAAGGAAAATTATGGCAAATTTTCGCAAAATGTAAAGAAAAATTTAGCAAAACCTAGGCACATAAGGGCACTTTACGTTCGCTATCAGCATTGTGTTCGAAAAAATGCTATCGAAAAAGCTCATTTTGCCTTTTTTCCCGACAAAACTCAGATCTCAAAAAAAAAAAAAAAAATATTGTAATCCCGGGCCGGGCCTACAAATCGCAGCCCGGGCTCGGGCCGAGAAATTGGTCGGCCCGGCCCGGGCCGGAAAATTTTGCAAGCCTGGGCCGGAGCCATGCCTAATGCAATGGGCTTTTTCGATTGTCGAAAAAAAAATTTTCGAAAACAAAAGTCCCGACTTTTTTTGCACAGTGCAGGTCGTTAGAATGATTTTCGCGACCTGCACTGTGCAAAAACAAAAGTTCACTTTGCACCGTGCAAAAAGCAATTTCATGCTTTTTGCACAGTGCAATAGGCTTTTTCGGGCGTCGCTCGCACACTGGCTTGTTTTGCACAGTGCATGTCGCAGAAATCACTCCAGCGACTTTGCGAATGGACTAATAAACAAATCAAAAAAAAAATAATTTTTTTTGTCTCTCAACTTTTTATTACAACTTTTTTAACTTTATTCCACTTCCTCAATTTTGTACATCTTTCCTAATTTTAGCCTCCAAATTTAGCATTTTATTCTATTTTTGAGTTATTTTTGGTATTGTATTTTACAATACAAATGTACGAACGTTGATTTCAAACAACTCCAACTTAACAATGAAATTGAACTTACCATTCCGGTCAAGTTGAACGCTGAGATTGTGCTGTGGACTTTGGGGAATTCTAAAAGAAGTTTTTGAGGGATAAAAAACTTAAAAGTACAGAAATGTTGAAAAAATAACGAAAAATGTTCAAAAACACTCCAACAACGCCTAAAATTGACTAGAGAAGTAATTTTTTCAGGAGAAGTACGCGAAGTGCGACGCTCAGATTTTGATGAAGCTTGGTCCAAATTTGAAAATTTTTTCTCTAATTGTAAGGCATAAAAAAGACGAAAAAATCTACGGACTTTCTGGAACCACTACTAGTCTGTTCACAAAATTGCTGTTCAAAAAAAGGGCAGTGTGCAAGCGAATATCCCAAACAAGCCATTTGCACGGTGCAATGTGAACTTTTGTTTTCGCACAGTGCATTTCGCAAAAATCGCTCTAGTGACTTGAAGCGACAAATTGCACAGTGCAAGGTCAACTTTTATTTTCTCACAGTGCATGTCGCAAAAATTACTCCAGACAAACGGACTAGTTACACTAACAAGGGAAGTACTCCAAGTGCGACGCTCAGATTTGGATGAAACTTGGCACAAATTTAGAATAATTTTTTTCCAAGATATATAGAATCCAAGGTCGCGCTTTGCAGAAACAACCGTGATTTTTAGATCGAAAGTCGGCCAAAACTTAGGACTTTTTGCCGAATTTCGGCACGAAAAGTTTCATGCCTATTTCTACCGTAAAGGATAATGTTTCTACAAAAAATCAAATTTTTCCGCACGGAACTGCCAAAGTTATGGCCAAAAAGGTGTTTTCTCTCTGACCGCTCTCCACGTTTAGCGTGCTCTCTCGGCGGCAAAAATCGTTCGATATCTCGGCGGCGCCCGCAAAGCGCGAGCTAAAACTTTCAGGAATTGATATTTAGTCCATACCCGACGTGTGTGCAAAATTTAAAGAAAATCTGAGCGTCGCACTTGGAGTACTTGCCCTGTAAGTTTAATTTTGGCCAAGCTTCGTCAAATTCCGAGAAAAAATAAAATAAAGTTAAAAAAACGTGCTGGAGACAAATATCGTATTTTACCCATCTTAGCCGTCCATCAAACCCAAAAAACGAATTTTTTCTTATCTTCCCGACCCTATCTCTCTCTCGGGTATCACCTTATTACACTATCGCAAGATAAAAGATTAAATTTTCGTCATTTTTCGTTTCCGTTCCCCCCAAAAGCGAAGAGAATAAACCCGAAAAAGGAGAAAATAATTGATTTCCGATCTCCCCCCAAGATAAACGAATGTTTTTACAATACAACTTGGATGGAATTACAGATAAGAAGAGTGTTGTTTACCGGTAAAAGTTGAAAATGAGTGAGGAAAAACAAAATTTTTGCAAAAAACCCCGTGAAAAAGGGAAAATATCCCTTTTTGTTGGGTGTAATCGACAATTTTGAGGGGAAAAAAGAGTTTCGGAGGTTGAAGAACGTCTTCCGGTAATTTATTCAGGCCTTTGAGGAGGAGGAAAGAGGTAAAAAGGATTCGAAAAATTTTTTTTTGATTGTAGGACTTGGGTTTTTTGAAGTACTTTAGGCAACGGTTGGTGATTTTTTGTTTTAAAAATTTATTGTCGATTGTTATAACAAAAAATGTGTTATATCTCGCAAAGAATGCGGTATTTATATTTACCGTCCTATACCATTTGAAACCATACAGAATGAAATTTCAAAATCCCAAGTTTCACCTTTTTTGGAGCCAAATTGCGCCCGTAACAGCCCGAACACTCTGATATTACACTAGGCATTAATAAAAAATAAAGTGAATTAGAGATGTCAGAGTGAATTGACGTGACCTATACCATTTGAAATCTTACAGAATAAAATTTCAAATCCCAAAGTTTCGTCCTTTTTGGAGCCAAGCTGCGCCCGTACCAGCCCGAAGACTCTGATATTACACTAGGCACTAATAAAAAATAAAGTGAATTAGAGATGTCGGAGTGAATTGACGTGACCTATACCATTTGAAACCTTAAGGAATGAAATTTCAAAATCCCAAGTTTCGTCCTTTTTGGAGCCAAACTGCGCCCGTACCAGGCCGAACACTCTGATATTACACTAGGCACTAATAAAAAATAAAGTGAATTAGAGATGTCGGAGTGAATTGACGTGACCTACACCATTTGAAACCTTACGGAATGAAATTTCAAAATCCCAAGTTTCGTCCTTTTTGGAGCCAAACTGCGCCCGTACCAAGCCGAACACTCTGATATTACACTAGGCACTAATAAAAAATAAAGTGAATTAGAGATGTCGGAGTGAATTGACGTGACCTATACCATTTGAAACCTTAAGGAATGAAATTTCAAAATCCCAAGTTTCGTCCTTTTTGGAGCCAAACTGCGCCCGTACCAGGCCGAACACTCTGATATTGCACCAGGCACTAATAAAAAATAAAGTGAATTAGAGATGTCGGAGTGAATTGACGTGACCTATACCATTTGAAACCTTACAGAATGAAATTTCAAATCCCCAAGTTTCGTCGTTTTTGGAGCCAAACTGCGCCCGTACTAAGCCGAACACTCTGATATTACACTAGGCACTAATAAAAAATAAAGTGAATTAGAGATGTGGGAGTGAATTGACGTGACCTATACCATTTGAAACCTTACAGAATGAAATTTCAAAATCCCAAGTTTCGTCCTTTTTGGAGCCAAACTGCGCCCGTACTAAGCCGAACACTCTGATATTACACTACGCACTAATAAAAAATAAAGTGAATTAGAGATGTGGGAGTGAATTGACGTGACCTATACCATTTGAAACCTTAAGGAATGAAATTTCAAAATCCCAAGTTTCGTCCTTTTTGGAGCCAAACTGCGCCCGTACCAGGCCGAACACTCTGATATTACACTAGGCACTAATAAAAAATAAAGTGAATTAGAGATGTCGGAGTGAATTGACGTGACCTATATAAACATGGTTAGTGGGCCGGGTCGAGCAAGTTTCAAACGCCCGGGGCCGAGCCGACCTCTCCCGGCCCCGGGACCGGCCGCGATTTTCGGCTCGGCCCGGCCTCCGAGCCATGTCTATGTATGTGGAATGGCGTGTGACGCGACAAAAATAGAAAATTATGAAGAAAGTCAGCGCAGATGACAATTTTTCAAAAGTGCGTAGACATTTTTTCATAAGCCGCATGTGCATAAGGCCCATTTTGCTGGGTGCATTTGAGCTTTTGCACCGTGCAAGCGCAGTCTCGTTGTGACACAAGCTTTTCTCAACTGTACGCACTTTTGAAAAGTTTCGTAATGACTATAATTTTCAAACTTATATTTGAGATTTTCAGCCGACAATTGACTGTAATCATTGAGATTTTTCGGGGGGAAAATGCGGATTTTTTTTTTTATTTTTTAGAAATTTTTAGAATGACAAATACGTGTTGCTTTTATGTAAATATATAACTTTCAATAGTCCTATAAAGCACCACACACGAAGAAAAAGCTAAAATATGTGGGCTGTTGGGACCTCTGAAGTTGTTTATTATAGAGAGGCTTCGTTCCTCAAAAGTTTGTTGTGCAAGGCCTCCTCTGTATACCACCGATTTCCCTCCTCATTACTCCATTGTTTTTCGCCGTCACTTTCTTGTAATTCGTCGTAATCCGTCCCGTTCGGCATCGGCTTTGCCTCGGATTTCCCTTCAAAATTTTCTCGGCTTACCGTAATCCTCTTGCGCAATCGCAAAAACAAAACAAACCTAAAAACAAGACGGCCCTCCACTATTTATGAGGGCTCCTTGGAAATGCTACTGTTTTACCTTTTGTTTTACAACCCAAAGTTTGCATATTCCTGCACTCCAACGCAGGCGGATGGACCGCCAATCTCAACGACCCATGCCCCTGCTACGACGACCGCAAAGCCCCTAGTAGGCTGTGAATATTGTTTGTCGTGCTGCGGAGGGTTCTTTCCGCCGTTTGGGCCTTGTGGCTGGTGGTGCAACGCGCTGTATCCGCCATTCCCGGCCGGGGGACCATGCGATTGGAGCTTTTGTCGGTGGTGTTGCGGATTTTATCCGCCGTTTACAACGACGACGACTGCAGGTGAGTGTGAGGGAAATTGGGGTCTTTGATTCAAAAGCAGTGAAGTTTTGTTTACTATATCAGTCTGTCGGAAAAATAGTGAGGACAATTACCATCTAAGCCGGCATGAAACCTTTTGTCTCTCATAACAGCTGTATCCACATATTATTATACTATTTATTTTGCAGCCCCAAAGACAACCACAACTACCGCAGCGCCTGCAACAACCACTACGACAGTAGCTCCAACTACGACTACAAAACCTCCCGTTACCACAACCCAAGCCTCTCCAACAACCGCGGGTCCTTGTGGGGGATGTTGGTGGTGCTGCGGAGGCGTTTATCCACCTTTTCCAACAACTGCGGCTCCCACAACTGCCCCGCCAGCTCCACCATCCCATCCATGCGGCTGTCCGGGCTGTTGCGGCGGAATTTATCCACCATTCCCGGCGGCAACAACGTCAGCATCCACTGGATTCAGTGGACTGATTGTGAAGGACTCCCCGGATTTCGGAGAGGTTGGGAATAGCACGTCAACCACGCTAGGTCCTCTTTCGAATGCCGTAACGGCACTGAGCAATCCAAAAACCCCCTTGGATCCACCGGGGTGGACGGAGGAAAAGGCCAAATTTCCGGAGGCAGAAGGCGAAGATAAGGAAGACATCGAAAATAATAATGTTTGATATTTTATAGAAGTGATTTTTACAGGGGAAGTAATCCAAATGCAACGCTCAGATTTGTTTAGACGAAACTTGGCACAAATTTTGCTAATAAATTGATTGCATTGAATGTCATCAAATTATCTTACATAGCAAATTTGCCTTTCATTTTTATTGATCAACAATAAATCATCATCATCATTCTTAATTACTGTCCATTTACATTGACATTCAATTTAGGCATCTTTATGAAAAACTCTAAAAATCCATTAAAATGAACATATTCGATGGTTATGGTAATATTTTAATAAACGTTTTATTGTTCAAAAATCAATTAACGTCTTCATTTGCCTCTGATGGAAAATGCGGATTCAGCTTTCCTTGATTTTTGTGATTTTGCTCTCTTTATCACATGTTTCTGCGCAACGACGCACTCCATTTGCTAGATGCTATGGTATCCTGAAAGTCAAGATCAGAACCCTCCTCCAACAGGAAGATTGGGAGACTAAAGTTAATCTGCTAACCAGGAAGATGGTCAGACTTGTGAGTTGTATTTTGATTATCACTCTATCGGGAAAATAATGTGATCGTTTTGCGGCGGCAAGCCGTGGCTGCGGATTTGATGCGCGCCTGACTGCGACAAGGCAAGAAATTTGCTGCGATAAGTTCACATTATTTTCCCGACAGACTCATTTACAAACAAACCTCTGTACCACAAGGCGCATAGGACCAAAAGAGCTATGCTTGTCGATGGGTTTTGCTGTGCGGAGATTTATGTTTGCCTGCAATTGGATGCTTTTTCGTTACATAATTCGGATGCGTTCTGTGATAAAAACGAAAAATCCAGGAGATTCTGAGATAGTACTCCAAGTGCGACACTCAAACTTGGATAAAACTAGCTTGCTCTTTGCAGAAAAGACCGAGATTCTTCGATCGAAATTTAGCAAAAACATAGCACTTGCGGGCAAAATTCAAACAAAATCTGGTTGTGAGCGTCGTACTTGGAGTAGTAGCCTTGTGAAATGAAAATCTAAACCTTTACACTTCTTATTGGTCGCAAATATTGAATGTACACTCGGTAAATTGCAGCAAGAGCAAAACAATTACTTCGGAGGCCAGGACTGCTTGCAGCAAACACTCCGCTGCTTGAACACGCAAAGATATAACCCAACGGTGCTCTTGACCGAACAGGCAATCCGACAATGTTGTTATAACTGTCGTCAATTTTGAGCATATTTCGTTGCAGCAAACCATATTGCATATGAGGAATGGAAAACTTTTTTTTCTTTTTTCTATAATAAAAACTGCGAGGCTTCACTAGGGAATTGTACAAACGAACCCTCACCAAATGGCAAGTGTTATACACCATTGGAAAGCCCTTGAAAAATGATGAAAGGTACCATTTTCATTTTTTGCAGAATGTCTCAGGGCAAAAAATTATAAACGGTTGATTTGTCCCTTAAGTAGTTACAATATCGGCTGTGGGACAAAATAAATCTTATTTCAAAACGCTAAATGGTAAATATTGCTACTAGGTTGGCCTAAGAGTCATTATGAAGATTGGCGATTGCCAGTAAAACCATTTTACATACGATATTTACTGGTTTTAAACACCCATAACGTGAAAAAACACTTTTCACTTTTTTTAATTTTGAAAAACGTGCAAGTTTGATGGTTTTAACCATAATCGACCGTTTTCTAGAAAAATTAAAGCGTTTGTAAAAGTTTAACTCAAATATTATCCTAACTTTAAGAACGCAAAATGTTTTTTCCCAAGCTGGGAATCGAACCTAGCTTGGTTTGGCTTATCAGCCTGCTCGGCAACCATTGCACTATTGAAGCAACCCTTTTCGAGGATTTTTATCCGCTCAAGAGAAAGAAAGATTTTTATTGCGAAATGACCTAAAAATAATGAAATTTGCAGTATGTCGTCGCGGAAAGGCATTCTGCAAAAAATGAAAATGGTATCTTGCACCATTTTTCAAGGGCTTTCCAATGGTGTATATGACTTGCCATTTGGTGAGGGTTCGTTTGTACACTTCCCTAGTCAGGCTCGTTTTTTGCAGAAAACAAAGGGGAGTTTTATTATGTCGAAAGTTGGCAGAAATGTGATAATTTTTTGCAAATTTTGTCATGAAGAGCTCCACAACCCTAAATCATTTCTTCGGAGTGCGGTAGAATTTGTTGGCCGCGAGAAATTCCAAGATTTTTTTGTTGCGAGAGAGTAAGCAGGACTAGACAAAATTAAAAACCAATTTCAAGTTGGAATTGATAGGTTGCCTGTTCCCGACGTTTGTGCAAATCCAACGGGTGACCGCTTTTTTACCGCCACTGTTAATCTTTTGCGTTTTGCCCTATTCCCACGTCGATTCGATTCAAAGAAACAGAGGCCCTGTTTTGTGTTGCAGCTTTGTTAAGAACAATTCTCAGGAGAACAGACCATATTTAAAGAGTGATTGAACATAATTAAACATAGTTTTCCGCTGAATCAGTCTAACAAGACTACTCATCTTCCTTCCAAAACTCCCTATCAAATTATTATGCCCTCGGACGTTCACTATTCCTCACGATCAGCTGCAACATGAGAGTTCTGCTTCTACTTTTGATTTTTTACATTGTTTCCTGTACTGGACTGAAACGAAGTTCCGATGCGAAATACGATGAGCTTCTGTCTCGAAGCAAGTTTTTCCCATTAGCAGCAGCTGCGTATTCGGATAACCCGGAGAAATGCGTTGAAAACAAGTTCAATAATGCGACGGTAAGGTGATGTCTTCTTATCAGCGTGTCGGGAAAATAATGAGCATTCTTTCGCATCGAAAGTCGCATCGCCACTGAGAAAATGAATTGTGTCGCGAAAAAATCAAATTGCTTTTCACTTCAGTGACACAATTGGCACAACGACAGAGTGCCTATTACAGTGAAAAAAGGTCGCTGGATATCTCAACTACAGTGAGGGACCTGATCCAATGGCAAAAAACGTCTCCTTTTGCATCCCGGAAGGGACCAAAATGACTCCAAACCATTCGCTTCTCCAAGCTAAAAAACTCCGCTTTGAAAAGCGCGCCCTTTCCTTCAAGGCGGGCTCTTCAAAGCGGGGTTTTTTAGCTTATAGAAGGGAAGGGTTTGGAGACATTTTGGTCCCTTCCGGGATGCAAAATAAGACGTTTTTTGCCATTGGATCCGGTCCCTTACTGTATTTTCCCGGCAGGCTGATTAGTAGAGCAAAAACTCGTAACGATTTTACGAATTGTAGGTTATCAAAACGTACGGAGTACCGTGCGGAAGCGGAGCCAACGACCAGGACACTTGTTTCGGCTTTTTGGCAATTCTCCGCGAAGAACAAGCGATCGCGTTGGGATTCAGGTAAGCTGTTCCTAAAAGAAGTGTTTCTAGTTCGACACAAAAAAAACAACACTAACAATGAGTGCTAATTTTCATCCAACCCTTCAGAGGCTCAATGTCCAAGGAGCAAATAATTCGAGAAGGAGTTGACACTTTGTTCAAGCCTGGAGTCCCCGCGTTCGGCAATGCCAAGATCAGTTTCTATTTTTCAACAGCTTTCAATGCAGTTTGGAATGGTGGGGGAATGAAAGCCGATTTTTCGAGGGCTGCTGAACAGTTCAGTAATTACAGTATATGGGTAAGTTACCTTGTCGTATCTTTGAGTTACTACGCTTTTCAAAAGTGCGAAGACTTTTTCGCGCGTGCCGAATCGTGCAAAAACCCATTTTGCACCGTGCATTTGACTTTTTTCATTTTTTTGGGCGCACAGTGCACAAACCTTTTTTTTGAAGAGATTTTGTGCGATGAGTGAGAACGCACAGTGCAAAAAAAATTCAGAAAGCCCGCACTGTGAGAAAAAAGGCAAAATGCACTGTGCGCCGGGTTTTGCACAGTGCATTTGGCATTGTTCAACCGAAAATCGGGCGAGAAAAGTTTCAGCGTCGCTGCGACGTCTCTGAAGCAATTTCGCATGACGAGTCAAAATGCACAGTGCAAAAAAGGGCAAAATGCACTGTGCACAGCGACAACAAGTCTCCGCATTTTTAAAAAATACGTCGTATAATAATATCAGTCTGTCGGGAAAATAATGTTTATTTGTCGCATCTAAATTTCTCGCCACAACCTCGCACCAAATCGCCAACTGTCGCAATGCATTAATCGGCGATTTTAAAGCGCGACGAATCCACATTGTTTTCCCGACAGACAGTTAAGACGTTTCCAGGTGACCGGTCATTCGCTTGGTGGTGCAATGGCTTCGATTTGCGCCGCACAAATTGCATTCGATCTGCCGAAAGAAGCGCATCGCATACTGCTGTACACCTACGGACAGCCACGCGTTGGGAATCGGAATTACGCCGATTTTGTTGACCGAAACATTCCTGTAGCATATCGGGTGGTCCATTATCGCGATGTGGTCGCGAATGTCCCACTAATCGACATGTCACGGTTCTGGCATCATAAAATGGCCGTGGTTTACAACCAAAGCATGAACATTGGAAGTGGCTACGGCGAATGCGATGGAAGCGACATACAATGCACTGTCAAGTATTTCACGGTTCAAAACTCCGTGGACGACCATGTATTTTACTATGGGGTCAGAGTTTCGGATTATGGGATCAACGGGTGCCGGCTAACGCAAAGGGTCGGCATCGATCTAAGGCCGTTGGAGCAGTAGATTCAACAGGGGAAATGTCCCAAGTGCGACGCTCGGATTTTCTTTTAATTTTGCATACATTTCAGGCATAGAATACATATCAATTTCTGAAGATTTTAGCTCGCGGTTTGCCAGGGGAGCTGAGATATTGAACGATCTTTTTGGCCGAGAGAGTACGCGAAATGCGGAGAACGGTCAGAAAAAAACGCTTTTTGACCGCATCTCCGCCAATTTTGGGGAGAAAAAATCGATTTTTTGTAGAAACATTACCGTCTACGGTAGAAATAAATGTGAAACTTTTCATGACAAAATTTGCTAAAAGATGTCAAATTGTTGACCAACTTCCGACGTAAAAATCTCGCTAGTTTCTGCTAAGCGCGAGCTGGAAATCTCGCATATGTCTGGGGCAAAAATTAATTTAAATTTTTCTCAGGTTTTAATAAAAATCTAAGCGTCGCACTTCTCCTCGTTGTCAATAAATCCAATAAATTATAACTTTATTGGCATGCTCGTCGTATTTTACAATTAAATTTTTTATTACACAACATTTGACCTTTATCCTTCGGTTATTAAAAATTTCACAGTCTAATTAGAATTTTAATTTTCGAAACGGGAGTATAAAAACTTCCTTTTGTTTAATCAACTTGGGCAATTTCAATATGAAAAATTTGTTTTTTATCGCTTTGATAGCAATCATCTGTAATCGTTTCAATGCGCAAACGCGGCCACGGATTTTCAATGATACTAGTAAGTGATTTATAAAATTACAGTCAAAAGTTGGTACACCGAACCGCAAAGGACCAAAAAAAATTGTTTGTTACTGAAAGGTTTTGTTATATAAGTTCTATTCGCATTATTTAAAAATTGAATTGACTCTTGGGACCCCTAAAATTGTTTTTTATAGACAGCTTTCGCTATACGGAAGTTTTATTTACATATTCCCTGTAAAAACTTGCCTTTTACCTATAGCAAAACAACTCTGACACGAAAATTTAGTCCCAAACGGCCCGCCATTAGCGATATGTCACTATTTAATGGACAGCACGATGATGATGGTGGCCAGGATGCCAAGGAACCGGAGAAATCGCGAAATGGCAATACGGACCAACGAAAAGACGATGAGTTACTATGTAAGTGAGAGTTTCGTTGCCTGTATCTGTCCTAAGCGTATAAGCAGGGGTCCACAAAATCTCAAGTTCGATCATTTTTGAAAGCCAAATTCACAAATTTTTGAATTCCCTGCTCAAGTTCAACGTGAAACATTCAAGCTTCGCGACTTCACAAACCTGAACTTGACATAAAAAGAAATTTTTTGGAGCTCTGCTCGTAAGCCAAAGAAAATACATATATGGAATTTTATAATGCCCAGGTTGTCGATCCACCGTTGTTGTATCCGCCACAATGCATCGCGTCCATTAATCGTTGCATGGCAACTCAGTTGGAGATGGACCGACCACTCCATGATCCGCATGGGTGTTGCTTCTACTGTAGCGATAAATAAAAAGCATCACTTGAAATGCTGGAAACCCACGAAACTTTTTATCCAAATTCTTTTACAAAATTATTCCGAAATAAATCCAAACACTCAGAAGAGCCTTTCAAAACGTACTTCTCACAGTCTACGATATATGAATCGAGGAATTCATATACGCAAAAAAAACTTATGGGTAAAAACATTATCCATGACGATAAAAATCAAAAATCGGAAGAAAATCGAGAAAATTCAACAAAAATATGACAATTCTCGCAAAACTATCAACAAAACCACGAAAAAATCAATTTTAATTATCTGAACAATATGAAAACTAAACAAATAACAACATAACAAATCTATGGCACATTACAGTGTTATATGGCAAAGTAAAGTAATATATCAAATAATACATAACAATATCGTAATAATTACAGCAGTAAATACATTATCATCTACAGATCAAAGTCTTATCAGTAGTAGCAATAGTATATCGGAGTACTTTCTCTTCTCTGATACCTTACAATACAAGGTGGTTTCAAAAATATATGTAGGACTCCAAATTTCGTTGGGCACCGTCGTTGTGGCTACAGTATGGAGGGAGCACTCCCCTAAAGCCAAACAAGTTTGGCCGCAGTGTCTACATCACTTTTTGTGATGGACCCCATGGTCCGGATTACTGTCGGAGTCAGGGATGTCAAGGAGGGTCTCTCCTAACTTGTACTGGGGTGTTTCCAGTCGGTCCAAGTGGCGGACTTCTCGTTTTGGCCGGTATTCCCGCCTTTCCATCGCTGGCTTGCGTCAGCTTCACAGCGACTTTCGTTTCACTACTCTTTGTTTTGAAAATGCTGGCAAAAGTGGGACGACTTTTCTGGAGGGTCGGTTATAAAAAAGAAAAAATCAAAATTGTATATTTGCTGCGACTTGGCCATCCCCTTACTTTGAGCGTACTGCTCAAAACTTACGTGTAGAATCCTCCGAAAACTTACCTAGTGAAACTAAAAATAGAAAGTTTTTTTGACCTCATAACCCGCGGCTACGTCACGTGGGACGTTTTAAGCCGGAACCATAGTGCCGACCGCGGTATAGAGGCGAGCTTTCGCTACATTACCCACGTTGGGGACCTCGTTCACCCGCCTTAACTTCGGACCAGCACACGGGCCCCCGCTCATGGCTGCTCGGAGGGGAAAGAGGACTCTCGGCCTAGCGCCCCAGGTCTCGGCACCAGCGATTACCGAACTCTGCTGCAACGATCGAAGAAAATACCTGAAAAGAGAAATTTTACTGCACCGAGAGGCCTCGAATTACCTGGAGAACCTATTGCCCCGTGTTTTAACCAAGTAATCCAGGGCATTTCCTTTCAAAACGAGGATCAACTAAATTCTCGGGATTAGAAGTCAAGTATATAAATTTGTGAAAAAACCATTCAAAAAATCGAAAAAGTGAGCGGAACGGATACTACAAGGAACGATGAACGTCTTGAACACGTTTCTAACTGAAAATAATAATAGAAACAATGATGTATCATCGGAGTTTTTCGACATCTTGTGGAAGCCCAGTACAATAATGAAAAAGAGGTGAAAAAATAAAGAAAAGGTGGAAATATCTAAATTTCTGCTTAGAAATTGTTGATGTAACCTCTAAAACTTTACAGCTATTCAGTTTACACCCATTTGAAACATCATTTTACCTCAAAAAACCTTCCTTTACTTTTTCCAATAAATTTTGTGACACTTCGCCAAAACCTTGAACGAAATGTCACAGAAACGCAAAACTCCGCGCAAATTGCTGATAATTGCCATTCCGAACAAACACAAGGTTTATTTTGTGTTGCACTGCATTTTAAATCATTATTTTTTAAAATTTCAAAGGTATATTAGCCTCAATGTCAAAAAAATCTAATTTTCCGATAGAAAAATGTCAGGCGTTTGACAAAAATTAGTCAGTCGATTGGGGTTGAATCAGACCCCGATTTCGGAGGAAAAACTGAACGCTGACAAAGTTTCGACCCCCGAAAATTTGAAAATTGGGAGTGAAAAAATATTTTTTTTATTCTTTTTGAAAATTTTGGATTTGAAAATTGTCGATGGACGATTTGATTTCGTCGACTTCGAGCAGCACTAGTGACCGGTTAGGTAAGTGTCCGAAGTGTGGAGCTGGATTTCCCGAGCATTTGAAGCTAATTTACGACCTTATTTTAGGTTGGCTGGACGTAAATGCCTTCAATTTGGAAGTGGAGAGAAACAAAGTTAGAAATCATACTGAAAAGTGAGTAGAACGAGTCCTGGAGTTGTCAAATACCATATCTACTATTTCATTTTTCAATTTTTTTTAATTTAGCTACAAATGGCAAAACAACAAAAAGTTGGTGGTCCGCAGAGGAATCGGCTTCACAATTCACCTTTCCACGTCCAAACCTTTCAATCTGCGGGCACACGCGATAATTTTTATTTTTAATATTGGCACAGGACGTTCCCAGCCGAACGCTACGCAGCAAATCCAAGTCCTCCCAAAAATCGCGATGGAGCAATCCCAATTCGGGACTGATTGGGCCGCCGAAATATTGGAGAGTGATGAGAATTCGGTGGCTGTTGAGGTGAGATATTTTTTGGGGGAAAAATAAAAAAAATATTTGTAAAAAACGCCAAATTTTATGACGAAAAAAACTACCCCGCACGTCAGTCCAAAATAGAACAAAAAATTTCCCGCCCCTTTTTGGTGATTCGTTCAAAACGAAATGTCACTATCCGATAAAACGCATTTTCTTATCTTTCTTCTCCCTTTTCGAGAAAAAGGAATTATTTCGAACGAGAAAAAGTGCCGATAATTTCGTGACATTTCGTCTCTCTTTTAAATCAATGAAAACGATACGAAGTTTCGAAACGGTTCAGGAAATGCGCTGGATTGACGTGCCCCGGGGCAATCGGATTTCCTTCAAATCTTCTAGGCTTGTTATTTCTGAAAATTTTGGCTTATACGTAGTAGTTAGACAAACATTAAAATACAGTAGATGTAAAAAATATTTCGGTTATTTCCCAAAGTTCGACCAGTCGATTTTTTTCAAAAATTTTCCCTAACGCTCCACATAGGTCCCCTATCAATTCCTACAAAATTTAGCCCATGCTTTTGAACTAGGCCCGAGATATTCGTCTTTGAAGTCGAGGGAGTACTGAAAATGAGGAGAGTTGGACAGACGGCCGAGGGTTTTCAGCCGTATCTTTTGGAATTCCGCTTTAAGAAAATTGATTTTTTGTACAATAGAAAAATTCTATCCGGCAGCTTGAACAGAATACTAATGTGCCGAGTTGCAACGTGTATGAGGGTCCCTAGTCTAGGTCCTATCTAAGATACCAAGCCCAATTACTACTATACAAAAAAATTACACTGATCAACTCACAAAGTTTAACTCCACGGGATACGACGAGTTGACCAGACAATACCATACAATAGACAAACAAATAGTAGACAATTTATTGCGCAGCGGTAAATTGTCTGCAGAATAATTTACACTTCTTCACACCCTTCACACTCATTGATTGGACGATTTCCATTCCTTTTATACCAATTTGTAGGACATTGGAAATATGCAAATTTTCACGCGAAGTGGTGACACTAAATTTACTCCATGAAAATCGGAAAAAATTGATAATTTTCAGAATGTTTTGACCAAAAATTCATGATTTTTTTCGTCAAATTGCTCGCTAAAAACCTCACCCACACTAACCATCATTCTTTAGATCCACATCCCCATAAAATGCATCATCGGTTGTTGGAGAGTCCGCATTTTTAGTGGCTCCTCCGATGAGAATGAGCAAATCAGCAACGTCCATGAATGTAGTGTGTCTAAATTTCAAAAATTGGATGTTTATGTGCTTTTCAACCCGTATTTGGAGGGTAAGCGAAAGTTTCGGCCAAGTATTAGAACAAAAATTTTTGAAAGCAAATTTGGGTTTTTGCTTTCCAAAATTTTTTTTGCTTTACAAAATTACTGTCTTGGCTTTCCGAAAAATTAATCTTGCTTTCCGAAAAAGTTAATTTCCGCTTTCCAAAATTTTAATTTCCGCTTTCCAAAATTTTAATTTTCGCTTTTCAAAAAATTTAATTTTTGCTTCCCCGAAAAAAATTTGTGCCGGCTCCGCTGGGAAAAGCTTGCGTCGCGGCAGTATCGCACTTGCACGGTGCAAAAAGGGGTTTTGTGCACGGTGCGGTCCACTTCCGCGACACGCACTGTGCAAAAACAGAAGTTTTCTTTGCACTGTGCAATAGGCTTTTTTGGGCTGTCGCTCGCACCCTGACGTTTTCCGCACAGTGCACTTTTATTGCCAACTTTTGTCTGTTCTTTCGACGAAGTCGAATCAAAAGTGGAAAGGAAGAGGAGTGTGTACGCCCATAGCCCGTTGAAAGCACGCCATCCCGTCCGATCTGGCAAGTTAAGCAACGGTGCGCTTGATTAGTACTTGGATCGGAGACGTCCTTGGAATCTCAAGTGGCGTACGCGTTTTTGACTTTTTTGCAAATCAAAATCATATTTTCCTTCCGGAAGGGCTGTGATTCAAAAAAAAAAAATTTTCCAACTTTAGCGGACCCCTCATTCTACGAAAACGCCTGTGAACGCGCGTTTTATCTGAATCAACAGACGGAATTGTCGTTTTCCGGGACAAAAGTCGGCCCAAATAGTTACAATTTTAGCAAAAACCCATGGGTTCATGGACAGGTAAGATGACTTTCAGCTTTTTTTAGAGTCCAAAATTCGAATTTCAACCCAAAAAATACATATTTTTTAGTTTGATGAAAACACCCTAAAAACGGCCGTATTTTTGCTGGAAAAGATGACAAAAGACGAGAAGAAGCCGAAAACGACCGGAATTACGGTGAATGATCGGATGAATGTGGTCCGGGTGATTAGAAAAATGGCGTTTGCGGTAAAAACAATCTTCTTCATGACAGCGGACGCGGAAATTGATGACACAAATTTCATCTCAACCAAGCAACTGATCGACAAATTTATCGAATCCCAGCGCTCGCTAATTTCAACAGAGAGTTTCGTACAAGCGAATCTTTACATCTCGTTGATTCGTTCGTTGGGAATTTGTGCCCGTTCGGTTACTTGTATCGAAGCCAGCTACGACGCGGATCCCACGTTGACGGTGGACCGGGCTTTCGTCAAGAATTCGGACGACTTTACGTTTGAGCCGATGAGAAATAGTGTGGTGAGCTTTTTGAAAAAATTGATTGTAAAATACGAGGTATTAACTTATATTATATATACATAGACTTACAAGGGAAGTACTACAAGTCTTTAAACTTGCACACCCGTCAGAAATAAGCCACATTCAATTCGTAAAAGCTTTACAGCGACGGACCTGATCCAGTGGCAAAAAACGTATCATTTCGCAAAATGATACGTTTTTTGTGACTGGATCCGGTCCGCCACTCTAGTTCGTACTTTGCCGGCGCAGCCGAGATATTCAACGATCTTTACGGCCGAGAGAGTACGCAAAACGCGGAGAGCGGTCAGAGAGAAAAACACTTTTTGGCCATAAATTTTGTAGAAGATTATCCGGTAGAAGCAGAAACACAACTTTTTCATGTTAAAACTCGCCACAAAGTACCCATCTTTGCCAGTTTTCGAGCGATTTGCCAGTTTTTCGAGTAGAAGGCTTGGCTGTCAATCATTATTCAGAAAAAATTTTTTTTTCAACTTTCAAGGTCTTAGCAAACTTTCTATCAGTCTGTCGGGAAAATAACGACCACATATTCACATCTAAAATTGTGATCGCCGCACGTCAAACTGAGGAGTCCGGTGACCGGAATAGACTCTTCGCTATCAGTTTTTTACATTTCGTCTTGATTTCCAGAGAAAGAGAGAAAAAAGACACGCAAAAGCGTACTCTCTCGCCCCAAAAATTCCCCATTTCAAACGTTTTTTCGCGTCTTTTTTTTGGCAAAGTGCCAATCCGTTCAACGGACTGTTTTAGCTTTCTCAGTTTGACGTGCGTACTCTAACTGGATCAGGTCCGTCACTCTACTGTAAATTCGTTTAGGGTCAGCTCTGGGAATGCACGCGAACCTACCACATCTGGGTCGAATGTTTTTGCCGCCGCTCGGACATTGGCTCCGAGTTCGACGGCTGGCAATTGGTCGATCCGACAGCGCCCGAGTCCCCGTTATCGGCGCGACAATTTGGGCCGGCTTCATTGCGCTCTTTGAAGGCGACAAAACTGGAGGTTCCCTACGATGCCAGACTCTTTTATGGAATGTATCGCAGCAACAAAGTCCAATGGTTTTATGAATACGAAAGCGAAGCGGACGAGTACAGATTATTGCATGTGAAATTCTGCTGGGGGAATGAGTTGTAAGTAGGAAAAAAAATATATTTTTTTTTTTGTCAAAATACTTGTCTGAGCCAATTGCACGCTCAAAAAGCAACAAATTGCACAGTGCAAGGTGAAATTTTGGTTTTGCACAGTGCATGTCGCAAAAATCAAATAAGCGACTTTGCGAATGGACTAGTAAAATCGTACCGCGCCTTTAGCTTATCTTTATAGCTTATAAACAGTCAGTACATCGAGAAGGGGACGAAACTGATTGTTTTTATTATAAGCTTCAACTTCATAAGCAGTAATCTGTAGCTACGTGTAGAAAGTATAAAGAATTACACAAAAAACATCAATTGATTATAGTATTACGTTGTTTTAGGTAACATTTTGTAGATTTTTAATTTAAATTTAGAGTTATAGAGATTACTCTTAAAAAGCATCATTTGCTTTTATATGTTTTTAGTATTAGGTTGTTTTAGGCAACAATTATGCAAAGTATTATCTATTTTTAAACAAAATTTTCTTGAATGTAAATAAAGATCAAAAAAAAAGTAAAAATAAAAAAATATTTTTTTTTTCAAATTTCATCCAAACTATATATTACCCTATGTGCGCCATTAATAGTTCAGAAAATTTTAGCTTGTGTTATACAAAAATTTTGTGATTTTTAGGCTGCAAAGTTTTCGAAAATTCAAAAAGATTTTTTGCAATTTTCGGAATAAAAACTTGGCATTCTGTTCGAAGCTTGGAGTAAACCTTTTCTACAAAAGCTCTTTGCAAATTTCTGGCTCAATTATTGCCATTGCAGCGTAAGAACTTTCTATAAAAAATCAGCTTTTTCCAAGCCGAAACAAAAAAGTTATAGGCAAAAAGGATTTTTTGTCTGCCGACTCTCCCCATTTCGCGTGCTCTCTCGAAAACAAAACCTGAATATCTCGGCTGCCGCTGAAAAGCGGGAGCTAAAACTTTCGGGGATTGATATGTGGCTATTTTAGAACACATATGCAAAATTTTACACTTTTTTATAAAAAAAAATTTTTTAATTTTTCAAAAAATAAAATAAAAAAATTTCATTCCAAATCACTCATTACGGACATAAAATCTCCTCAAATTCTCTACTGGTTATTTGGAGGTGGATGGGTAGTTGGCAGTGCTGGCAAAGGTCGTTAGATCGCCTCTTCTTCTGGTCAGAGTGTTCATTTCAGGCTCATTCTTGCTCGTTTTGGCCAATTCTTTGCTTTCCCGATTCGAGTTTTCCTCCGATTTGCTTTCAATTTTGCTTTTTGGGGCTTTGTGTTTCTTCTGAACGGGCAAAACGAAGTAAAATATGGTGAAAATTACGAGTCCAACGGTAATACCCCTGAAAAAAATTTGTCAAATTTCAAGCCTCGGATTTTAATGAAGCTTGGAAAAAAATTTAGATTAGAGATTTCTAAGACACATCTGAGATTTTTAACCTGCAGTTTCCAGAAACAATCGGGATTTTTCGGTCGAAAAATTTGAAATTCGAAAAATTTTTTTGCGATTTTCTATTATAAAAAATTGGCATTCTGTTCCAAGTTTGAAGTAAAAAGTTTCTACAAAAACTAAATTTTTTCCACCTGAAAATCAAAAAGATATAGCCGAAAACACATTTTTTCTCAGACTGTCTCTCCTCATTTTTCATAGTCTCTCAAAAAAAATTTTTTTTGGAAAGAAAACTGTAGAAAATGAGGAGACGGCAGAGAAAATTTGTTTTTCGGATATATCTTTTTGATCTTTAGGTGGAAAAAATTCAGTTTTTGTAGAAAGTTTTTCGACCTAAAAATCCTAACGATTTCTGGAAAATGCAAGGTTAAAGTCTCAGACACGTCTAAGAAAACCCTAATCTTAATTTTTTCCAAGTTTTAATGAATGAAAAAATTTTGATTTTACAAATTCTTCGCCCAAAATCTCGATGATTTTTGTCAAGCTGGAGCTATAAAAACCTCGCATATGTCACAGGAAACTTTAATCCAAATTTTTGCCAAGTTTCATTACATACTAGCCCGTTGTAAAGTCGCTGAATTCATTTTTGGCGTTTGCACTGTGCAGAAAAGTCAGGGTGCGAGCGACAGCCCAAAAAGGCCTATTGCACAGTGCAAAAAGCAACAAATTGCAGAACATACTATTAAACCCCCTGACTTAAAAAAATTTATTTATTTTTTTGGGCTTACCAAAGAATTGCTCCCAAACTGAGCAAATAAAATTTCCAATTCGATCTGGACGCCAACTCCACATTTTTTTCCGTTTCATTATGCCCGAAATTCTCAATTCGTTTCACGTAAAAGATGCCACGGATGGGGAAAAACGGGTCCACAAAAATTCGAAATGGGCAGACATTGTTCTTCTCGAACCTCACCGAAATTCGATCGAAATTCTCGTGGCTATTCACCAGCATGGGACAGGAGACGTTCGCCACACTCTGGCCATTGGCCACGACTTCTCCCGAGTCCTTTACCAGGACTGTCAGCTGAGTTTTGTTTTTGAAATGGGCCACATTCTCGGCGGAGTGGGCTTTGATGTCATAAAAGTGCGAAATTGAGTCATTACCGCTGTGTTTGGGTCTGAAATTGACAGAAGTTACTTATAATAGCATAGTTATGGTATGTGGATTCTAATTTAGTAGGTAGGCTACTTACTTTTTTTGTTTTATCCCATCAAATTCCAAAGCGAACACTTCACAGGAGGAGTAATATAATGTGATCCTACAAGGTAGAATAAATTCATCAGGAGGTAAAATCTATACTACTAGACTGTAAATCTCACATAGTTTCAATTTTTACTTCAAAATACTTCAAAAATACGTTGATTTCAGGAATAAAAACAAAAAGAAATTTTTGGAAATTTGACGGCATAGCTTCAAAGAAACTCCAAATTTGGTATGTTAGAGTAATCCTAGACGCGTAAAATTTTTGTACGTAGTTCTAAAAGCTGTCACAAGCTATGGACTAAAATTTTGAGTCATTTGCCCTACGGGCGTTTGAGAAAATCCAGATTTTTTGGAGCCCAAAATCTCAAATATTGAAAAAAAAAGTTTATAAAGTTTTGATACTGTTACAGTAATCCGAAAGACGAAAAATACCACGATACCATAGCAAGGTACCTCATCAATTTTTTGACTAAATTTTATATGATTTGCCCTAAGGGGGTCTGAGAAAAATCACTTTTTCGGACCCCAAGTCGTAAAAAAATCTGATCTTTTTTGACGCTACAGTAATCCCAACACGTTTTTGAATATGCTAACCAATAGTCTGGATGTAACGACTTACGTAGCCTTATCGCAAAACTCCTCTGGGACAAACGTGTACTGCGCCAGTTCATACGTGTCGTAATCTCCAAAAAGGTTGTCAAAACTTTCGGTCTCTCTGACTGAAATCACGCTAAAATACGGATATTTCCTGATGAATTGATCCTTACGCCGCCTTTGAAGTCCAACACAACGTCTGCAAAGCCACATAGAAGAGAGGAAGCTTCATGATTTTGAGTTTGAAGCCAAAACTCGACCAAAAAATGGAAAAATGGCTGGGAAAATGAGGAAAAACACCATTTTCAGCGGGAAAAAACAGTTTTCCTTGTCTTCCTTTGTTTCGCCATGCATAACACACTGTATTTTACCGCAGTGACAAATTTCAGATCGGGCCGGGCCATTCTGACGGCCGATCCGCGCTGCCCTTTAATTCCGATCGACATTACTGACCACTACTACAATATCGAGCCCTCCTCAACCGCTGAAGCTGCGGAACGCCTCGAAAAGCTCGGCAAATTAGTTAAGAAGCCGAATTGCCAACAAGCCCAGGCATTGAAGACGGCCGGTGCTTTGGAAAGGTATCAAAAAATCCGACTTTTGTATGGCTCCAACGTTCTGCAAAACGCTTCGGATGTCGGGGTTACAGTAACTCCAACCGAGGCTGTAAGTTGATTTATTGCAAGTAGAAGACCTATATCAAGTGTTCTAATAACCTATTTTACAAAATTTCAATTTTTTCCCGACCGAGATCGAACCCGCGACCTTTCGATTGATAGATTTTCAAATTACCAGTTGCGCCATGGAGACACATGACCCCAATTTTACCGGAAATCAAAATTTTGTTGTAAAAGTATTAGTATTGGGATAATCCAGGCTTCAAAATTGAATTTTAGTCCTTCTAACATCCTAGGGCGCACGTTGCCACTCAAAAATTTTAAAAAATCCCGCTAAAAGTAATCGATATCCGTATTTTAGGTGGTTTTCGGAGATAACGTGGTAGTTGAGATTGAGTTCAAAAATAATTCACCCAAATATCGAACAGTCAACGTATCAGTCCGAGTGCATTTGCGAAATAAAGATGGAAAAGTTGGAACTCAAGTCAATGGCTACAAGGAGACGTATGAGTTATCTTCTGGGCAAAGTAAGTATTCAAGCCGACTAAATTTGCATTTACCAGCCATTCTCAGCACTTTGAGGTTGTTTTAAGCAATGCCAAAGGCTATGCCAAAAGCGCGGGAAATTTGAAATTCAAAAATAAAAGTCTCCCTATGGCAATATAAATTGAATTCCTGATTTACAGGTGAATCCCTACGTCTACTGACACCAGTATCCGAATATATTCGGGTCTCCGGCAACGATAGCTACGATTTTGTAGCCGTGATTTCCGGCACAGTGCAAGAGACGGGCCAAATTTTTTTCCACGAAGAGAACTTTCATATAAGCACGTCAATCCTTGGCATCGTCGCACCGGCCACAGCAGTGGTCGATCAAGTCGTAATAGCCCTCATAGCCGTCACTAATCCCCTACCAGAGCCACTCAAATATTGCAAACTTGAGCTGACATCAGGTCATAAAGCTGATCAAGTAGTGCATGTCGACCGAATGCCGAGGTAAATTCAGTGTCTGACAGAAAGAACAGACAAAATACTATGTAAAAATTTCAGCTGTAGCTTTATTGTTATATATTTTCATACCTAAAATCGCGATGTTATCTATGACTCATCTTTTAACCCTAAATTTTCAGTGAGATCGCTCCAGGGCAACGGATCAAACTCCCAATTAGAATTCGACTTCCTTCACTTGATCTACGTGTACTTGTGGCCAAATTGCACTGCGAGCCGCTCGGAAAAGTGACAGCTACACACATTTTGGAAGTAAAAGAAGAATAAGATGTTCATGTATAATATAATTTCGAAAAAAGCGTTAATTTTGAAGTAAACTACTCGTAATCATATGTGTTTTACAATTTACTGCCCACAGTAAGCGAGAAAATTACCTAACGGTTGAGGAAATACGTCATTATGACGTATTTTTTGGAATAATTCCCGAAAATTTCGCGAATTTCGTGCTTTTAGGCGAAAGTTGACAAAACAAATAAGTTTCTTCGGGAAAATGTTTCGACATTGTTGCGTATGCCTTGTAAAAGGTGGTGTGTTAGTCGACCGGTCAATTTTCAGGCTTGAAATTTTAATTTCCACCTTTTTATTATACTTGGTCTAATTCAGGTCGGGATGGACAATTTGATGGTGACGGTGTGCGAGAATATCGACAATCAACGGCTGGGAATCTATGCCGGAGCACGATTTGACTCGTAGGTTGTTTATTGGTTTTGTTTTTTGATTTTTAGGAGGTAAATTTATCTTGGACTGGGTGAATTGATTGAGCATTGATTTCTTTGTGTTTTTCGCCGAAAATATTGGGGATTCTTGGTGTTATTAGATGTGATAGGGGGTTTCAGTATTTGCGGGTCAAAGTGACATTTTTTTACATAATAATATCTGCGAGGGGGGTGAATTTTTGAAGTCAGAGAGCTATTTTGTTGCCTAAATCAATGTATTTGTTATAACTTGGCTATAAATGCCCGAAACAGCGGCAAATTTTTTGAATTCCACACTTCTGACCTATTCTTTCCAGATTCGAAGCTTTCCGCTCCACACTTGTCGAATGGATGGCCATTACCCATCAACGAATGGCCATCAACAGCTCCCGCCAAATGGGTGTAAAATACGGCGCTGAAGCTCGAGAGCGCTTCAAATTCCGGAGTATTTACTTCCGCTGTTTCCGACATGGCCCTGGCCGTCGAACCGAACGCAAACAGCCGAATCGAGAGAAGAATGCGCGAGATTGCGGGGCTTATCTTAGAGTAGTCTTCGACCCGTCCGCGGACGAAATGGTGATCAGTACATGCCATTTGAAGCATCGATTCCACACTCCCTGCAGAGAGGATACGGTGAAGATGGTTGGGCGTCGAAGCCAATGGTTCGAATGGGGTAAGAATTTAATTTTTTTGTTTGGTTTTTAGATCTGGTAATGGTGAACATAAAATAATGCCTATTTTGACGTTTCAGTGGAAGAGCTGGCTCCGTCACGCGGCCAAATGATCTCTCGCTACATTTTCAGCGATGAATTGTATACACCGGACAATGTTTTCGAGTCCCTCCAGCATCTTCACCATATCGGAAATGTGATGAATACCATGCCGATGATCCGAAAACACCCAGCTGTCAAGTTGATCAGGCGCAACCAAAAACCGAGAGCCACAATCGAGCGGGAGAGAGAGATTTTGGAGCGGTGTCTGCCGAAAAATACGGCCAATATTCCAATCAAGGACCTTCAACTCTTCACCAGTGCGGTTCAAATGATGAAATTCCCCGCAGAACCGGAGAAGATGGATATCAGTGAGAGTGAAGAGGAAGAAGTCGTCGACGAGGAGGATTTGCAAGTAGCTAGATACATCGAGATTTCCGATAGTCCCGCCAAGTACGAGAAATTTGCTCGGCGACCAGCCCAGGAGAAGGTCAACAACACCATGAAGAAGACCAAGGCCCCTATGGACATAGTCAAATTCCCTACGGAGAAGCGGAATCTCACATTGGAAAGCGAACAGAAGCTGAAAAAGTTGTTGGATGACCTGGGAAAAGCTGAACCGCTAATTGATGTCCTTGGTTAATATAAGAATTTTCATTTTTTATCACATTTTGTTGAATATCAAAAAATATTTTGTTGGCTATTATACGGAAATTTAATAAAATTTTCGTTGTTCTAGAGGTTTTTGAAAATATTTTTTTATCCCTTGCACTTGGGTTGATTACTTTTTGAAATTTGATTTTTTGTTTTAATCCCTTTTGTTGATGTCTTGTGTGGCTGAAATTAACTCTTGCTAAAAATTCCAGCAAGGATTTTTTTTTATTTTTTTTTTTGAAATTTTTATTTCAACCCCGAAAAATTCGGGGAATAAAAAAGCCGGAGATGGCGATTGAGTTGAAAATTGAAACTCTGAGTTCAGACGGCGATGATGTCAACTGGTTGGCGTCGTGGGTTTCCGGGGATCAGATAAGAATGTAGTTTGAAAAATTTAGAGACTTACTAAAGCCATTTATTTTGAAACATTCGGTGATTTCCGGCTTTTATACGCCGTGTTCGGCTGAAACAGAGCAATTTTTCTGTTTTTCACGGCTTGCTTGAGCACCCGTTTACAAGTCTGGCTACTTATTTGACCTAAAATTGTAATTTTACACCGTGATTATACAGTAAAAGCTAATGTCTAAGGACTTGTTGTTAGATGTACAAGGTCTACGATGCCTGGCTGTCATATTCGTGGTCCTTTTCCATTTATGGCCAACGGTTTTTCAAAACGGATTTTTGGGAGTTGATATGTGAGTTTAACATAATCTAAATGCTCAAATCAAGACAAGTAGACTTTGTTGAGGATTGGAATAAATTTAGATTAGGACTTTTTAAGACTCATCCGGCATTTTTAGTATACACTTTGTAGAAATCATCAATATTTTTAGGTTGAAATTATGCAAAGATTCAAATCTTTGCTAAATTTCAATTTAAAAATTTTGACGGTTTCTGAAAAGTGTAAACTAAAAATATCGGATGTGTCCTAGAAAGCCCTAATCTCAATTTTTACCGAGTTTTATTAAAGTCTAAAAATCGAACTTTGACAGTTAAAATACGAAACAAATAAAAAAAAAATAATTTTTTGATATTTTTGTTTTTGTTCGAAAATTTTCATTTAGGGTTTTTCAGATTTTTTGTGATCTCCGGTTTCATTATGTGCAAGATTTTGCATAAAAAATCGATTGACTTTTCCACTGCGCAAGACTTTTACTTCCGCCGATTTCGCCGGATAATTCCGCTCTATTTGACCGTTATTATTGCTACGATTTACGCCGCTTACAAGATCATGAACCCGTTGGAGTTCAAAACTGTGGCCAAGGAATCAAAATCAGCCATGTTTTTTGTTTCAAATATTTTTAATTTGCCCGAAACCGGGTATTTCGGCGCGGAAAATACGTTCCCCCTGTTTCTACACACATGGTCGTTGTCCGTGGAACTACAATTTTATGTAATAGTACCCGTGATCTTTTACCTTTTGGAAAAATTTAATGGAATCTCGACGAAGAGTGGAGCAATTTTTTTGGCAATTATTGGGCTGATTAGTTTGACGCTGCAGAAATATTTCAGTTATGGTAAGTTGGCGGTTGGAAAATGGAGGAAAGCGGTCGTAGTACTACCGAGACAAGAGGTATTGATAATTTGTCGCGGCGAAAAATGGGAGATAAAAAATGCACTGTGCAATTTTTTGGGTCGTTTTTGGGTCGAACGCACTGAGCGCAGCACTTTACTGAGCGCAGCACTTTTTCGCGAATTTCGCAGCAACACGCCAAAACCGCACTCTGCAAATTATCCAGACTTTTTGCTCCGAGTCACATCTCCGGGACACCGCAGCGAACAGAAGACATGCTGAACAAACTTTTTTGCAAATAATTTGAGGTCAACTTTGCGCCCGTAAATTGAGATTTTTATTTTTGACATCATCTTTTTGTTTCTGTAGTATCAATCGGGAGGTGTCACTAGATCTGCAAAACATTGGTTGTGATACACTGTCGTAAATTTCCTTCTTTGAGAGTTGGATTAATAACCAAGTCGTCGAAATGGATATGCAATAGTCATCCATTTCGATAGTTTTGGTTGGTAATCCATCTCATAAAGCAGGATATTTACGCAGATGAGCCGTAATCGATGCTTATGGGTTATAACTTATAAGCAGCCACATTCTTGCTAGTAGCTTCCATTTGTGAATCGAATTTTACGCGTATAAATTGTTTTTTAGATGAAAACAGATCTCACATGTCGTTGTACTGCCGAATTTGGCAATTTATCGCTGGATTTGCTGCCTTTTATATCCGAAATAAAATCTTTGAAAATGGAAACGATGAAGTAAAGTATCAACTGCTCGAGTGTCAAAGTTCCGACGATTCAACAGTCGAAAAAACGGACGCAAATTTATTATTAGGAATCCGAAAAGTGTTTACTATTCAAACTCTGGTCGTGATACTAATGATTTTACAACTATGCGTAAAATACGCTCAAAACAAAGAGATCGAACGGATTTTAATTGTGATGACTGCTGCAACACTGCTTGGCTTCGGAGATTCAGTCTTATCGATGGAAAGGTTTGTGAAGGTCGGCGACATTTCGTATGCAATCTACTTGATTCATTGGCCGTTTTTGGAGCTCTTCAAATTCGGAGATTTTGGAAAGAATGGCGGGAATGAAATTGGAATTCAAGGTGCGTTATTAATTTTTTTTGCTACGTGATGTAGTCCGCGATTGTATTAGTTATTTTAGATGGCGTATTTTTGATAACATCCGTCCTGATTGTCGCATATCTGCTCGAAAATTTTTTTAAGACGCTATCGAGCTATGTCACTTCATGGAGTTTGCTAGTCACGACTTTATTACTGCTCTACAGTACTGCTTATTACGCCACAATGTTCATTGAAAGCAAATCTTGGGAAAAAAGTTTGACTAATCACAGTCAAAGTAATACGACAGAAATAAGCTTTGAAGACCGCGTAATCAAACTGTATGAAAACAGGGGCAATACCAATTTAACGACGAAAGAAGCAATCGACTTTAATATGGAAATGAAGGACTATGTGCAGAAAAATTTTAGTACTTGCCACAATCAAAGTCAAGTCATGCCGACGGATGTGAAATTGGACTGGAAATATTATTCGTATTGGTGTCATAAAAGAGCAAGTAATTTTACTACGTTTTGAAAATCCAGAAGAGAATTTATTCAAGTGCGACGCTCAGGTTTCCTTGAAAAATCAAAACTAATCTGCGCCAAGCTTTATCGAAATCTGAGCGTTGCATTTCGAGCCTCTCCCCTGACAAACAAGTCTAACTTTTGATGATTGTAGGGCAATGGAAAGAAAGAAGTGCTTCTACTTGGCAACAGTCTTTCTCGCGACTTATATTTTGGGGTTCAGCATTATTTTTCCGATGTTTTTGATCATCTGACCTTTCTCTCGGCCTCTGGTTGCATTCCTTTTGCTTCAGAATATATCAGTGGAGGATGTCGCTCATACGTGAAGCAAATAATTCCGGTTGTCAAAAAATGGCATCGACCCGTCGATATTGTTATTTTACAACAATCGTGAGTGTACATTTTAAAAATAGGCATTATCGCATTTTACAATTGTTTGCAAAAGTTTGAACTTTCAGATTTTGACAAAACTTGGCGTTAGTTTTGATGAGGACTTTCTAAGGCGTATGCACGCTATTTAGACCGCGCTTTGCAGAAACTATGGGGGTTTTTAGATCGAAAATTCGCAATTCGGCGATTTTTTACCTAAAAATATTGATGGTTTCTACAAAACGTGGGCGAAAAATCCTCCGATCATTACTTTCTATTTAAATTACAAACATTTCAGTTACCTAAAATTATGGCCCCACAATTACACAAAAAATGACGCCATTCAACGGGATATTCAGCGATTTTACGACGAACTTTCGCCACTTGTAAAAGATGTCATCTTTATGAGTTCCGCGGACTTTTTCGAGTATCATCCATTTCAAAAAATGCAAAAATCAATCCTAAATAACGAGGATTTATCGCAGTATCAAATAAAATACGGCTATGGGCGTTCCTTGTACGGCGATACGCAGCGACGAATCGACGCGATCAAATGCGAAAAGTGCCGGAAAATCGATTATTCGGAGCAATATTGCGATAAAATCAAGGATTCTTGCACAATAATCCATGAGAATAAGATTTTGCAACATCACGATGGACGACACTCAACGATGTACGGTTCATTGCTGTTGGCGGAGAAGCTGAAAGAAGAATATGATCATTGGGAAAATTCGAGAACGGAATTGTGAATAGATACTAATGTTGAATAATAAACAAAGCCGGGTTTTGACGGTGTCTTTGAAAGGTTTAGGTTACAATATTCAATGCGTAATTTTTGTGCTCGTAGCACGTCAAACTGAGGAGTCCGGTGACCGGAATAGACTCTTCGCTATCGGCTTTTTACACTTCGTCTTGATTTCGCAGAGAAAGAGAGAAAAAAGACACGCAAAAGCGTACTCTCTCGCCCCAAAAATTCCCCATTTCAAACGTTTTTTCGCGTCTTTTTTTTGGCAAGGTGCCAATCCGTTCAACGGACTGTTTTAGCTTATCTCAGTTTAACCCTTTCCGGACGAGTCGGCACGTATATATTAAAATGAAAGAGGGTACCCTACTGAGTAACGGCATAATAGTGGTTCAGCCCATCGAAGCGTTATTTGGGACTTATGACAAAAAATGTCCTAAAAAGTACCCCTACTTGACATATCACTTTTAAAATTTTTGCGACAAGCTGTAAATCGGAAACTACCCCTAAATTAAAGTCGAGGAGTCCTAGTATTGTTACATCCAAGAACTGTCCAAATCGGAGCACCATAGGATTTGTTATCGATTTTTGGAAATTGAATTTTTAATTTTGGTCAATTTTGGACCTAAAATCAAGTATATCTTCCGCCGGTATCAACCATTTCGGTCCAAATGTGGTTTTTCCGAATCTATTGTGATGCTAGCTTCTTACTAGAATATTTCCACAAAAAACCTATGAGGCATATTTCTGTAAAACGCGGAAATGTTGAAAGTGTAAAGCTTTCATAGTATAAAATGTCGCCGCGAGCCGCGAAGGGACGGGCGCAGCTCGAAACGAGAAAATATTTTAAGATTTTTCGAGAAGTTTGATTTTAGCGTGAAACCAAATTCAACTCGATTGAAATTGCCTGAAAAAGAGTAAAAATATAAAAATGACATTTAGGTAATGTTTGCGTGCTATTTCTGCCTGTATTTCGTGTTGAAATGAGCTTTTCGACACCAAAATAATATTTCTCGAAGAAAAAATTATTATTTTCTCATTTCGAGCTGCGCCCGTCCCTCCGCGGCTCGCGGCGACATTTTATACGATCAAACCTTTACGTTTTCAACATTTACGCGTTTTACAGAAATATGCCTCATAGGTTTTTTCTGGAAATATTCTAGTAAGAAGGTAGCATCACAATAGATTTGGAAAAACCACATTTGGACCGAAATGGTTGATACCGGCGGAAGATATACTTGATTTTAGGTCCAAAATTGACCAAAATTAAAAATTCAATTTCCAAAAATCGATAACAAATCCTATGGTGCTCCGATTTGGACAGTTCTTGGATGTAACAATACTAGGACTCCTCGACTTTAATTTAGGGGTAGTTTCCGATTTACAGCTTGTCACAAAAATTTTAAAAGTGATATGTCAAGTAGGGGTACTTTTTAGGACATTTTTTGTCATAAGTCCCAAATAACGCTTCGATGGGCTGAACCACTATTATGCCGTTACTCAGTAGGGTACCCTCTTTCATTTTAATATATACGTGCCGATTCGTCCGGAAAGGGTTAAAAGACGATTTTTGGCTCGCTGCGTCAGCGGTGGACATAGGAAAAAATCGATTTTGAGTTTTTTGCATAAAAATGACCGTCGACATGTGCTAAGGAGAAGCGAACAACAGTTTTTCTCAATTCTGCCCGGAAGGCATAAATTTGCTTAAATTTGTCTTTTTTGGAATTTTCGACCTGGCGACGTCATAGAAAGAGCAAATCACCCAAAATTTTGCTTGTATACGTTTTCGACCATTGGGAATTCATTTTTTTGAAAACTAAGTCTCTCAGATTACTGTAACATAGGCATATTGTAATCCGGTCGATAAAAATCGACCGTAACTCCTTCATATCAAAAATCCCACAGGATTTTATTTCAGATTCGGAATCAGCATAAAATTCTGCATATTATACACATAATGTGAGGTCATAACTCCAGGGGGGAGATCGCGTAGTATATTGGATTTTGGCAAAAAGTACGTTTGAAAGGTCGCGGGTTCGATCCCCGCTTGGTGCAAATATCGAAAACACGGCGGAAATCGCGTTTAATGGACACCTAAGGGTTATATGAGATATACTAAGCAATTTTAAACATTAATGCATATCTAATTGCGATTAAAACTGATTTTCTATAATTTTTGGAGACTGAATATGCAAAAAATGAAATTGCTTCAAACCGCTTGAAATTGGCAACACTTATTCTAGGGTAAATTGTAAGAAACTTTTCCGTTAACTTTTTTTGGTAGATCACCGTACCATGGATTACTGCAACATTAAACCTGATTTGGTTTTTCGTATACCACATGGCGCGTAAAAGTCGGATTGTCATCATTGTGCTCAGAATGGTTAAGAAAGGGTTTTCTTGTGTACAAAAAAATTTTTATGGCTTTACCGTTTGGAATGGCCGAGTTATTTGACGCACTTTCACCAATTGATGATGACATCAAGACGCGTTGCAATTAAGGTCGAATTTTCTTTCATATATAGAAAGTGGATCTTTTCGCTGTCTAAGACGACTAATTAAAACGATTTAATATTTTATGCAAGAATTTTGAAGAAAATTGCAGTTAATCAGGACACGTTTAATGCTACAGTAATCCATGGTACGGTGCTCTGCCAAAAAAAAGTTAACACAAAAGTTTCTTACAATTGACCCTAGAATAAGTGTTGCCAATTTCAAGCGGTTTGAAGCAATTTCATTTTTTGCATATTCAGTCTCCAAAAATTATATAAAATCAGTTTTAATCACAATTAGATATGCATTAATGTTTAAAATTGCTTAGTGTATCTCATATAACCCTTAGGTGTCCATTAAACGCGATTTCCGCCGTGTTTTCGATATTTGCACCAAGCGGGGATCGAACCCGCGACCTTTCAAACGTAATTTTTGCCAAAATCCAATATACTACGCGATCTCCCCCCTGGAGTTATGACCTCACATTATGTGTATAATATGCAGAATTTTATGCTGATTCCGAATCTGAAATAAAATCCTGTGGGATTTTTGATATGAAGGAGTTACGGTCGATTTTTATCGACCGGATTACAATATGCCTATGTTACAGTAATCTGAGAGACTTAGTTTTCAAAAAAATGAATTCCCAATGGTCGAAAACGTATACAAGCAAAATTTTGGGTGATTTGCTCTTTCCATGACGTCGCCAGGTCGAAAATTCCAAAAAAGACAAATTTAAGCAAATTTATGCCTTCCGGGCAGAATTGAGAAAAACTGTTGTTCGCTTTTCCTTAGCACATGTCGACGGTCATTTTTATGCAAAAAACTCAAAATCGATTTTTTCCTATGTCCCGGGTCCATTACGGGCTGACGCAGCGAGCCAAAAATCGTCTTTTAACGTGCGTACTCTAAAAAGGTCTGAGTGTCGTACCTCAAATGTTAGCCTAAAATTGACTTCCAGGTCTGAGGTGGTTTGTGAGACAAATGCCCAATTAAATGAATGAAAACATCTGATTCATTCCGAGGTCAAGGTGCACAGTGCCTCCAGGAATTTTACTTTGTGTTTTTCTCACTTTTGCCGTCAGGAAAACCCTTGTTGTGTTTGCAACAAAAATTACGTTTCACCTTTAACTGTCGTATTTTTAAATACTGTAAAACGTTGCTAGGGAAAATGCAGAGACTGCGGAGTGCGGCAAACAATACGGTGCTTTTTTAAAAGTTTTGATATCAACCCCGAGAAATTCGGGGAATAAAAAGTAGGGGGAATAGCGATAATGTTGAAACTTGAAGCTCGGACTTCAGACGATGATGTCAACTTTTTGGCGGCGTGGGCGCTCTTAAGGTCGGAGTGTGTTGCCGGCGATCAGATAAGGATGTATTTTGAAAATTTTTCTACATTTGTTTTCAACCTAGTTATTTGTTTTTACTTTTACACGCCGTGGTCGGCTATAAAAAGACATTTTTTTTCTGTGTTTTGCGTCTTCACTTAAGACCGCTGAACGATTTCTGGCTACTGGTTTGACCTAAAATTGTAATATTACGCCTTGATTATACAAAAACGGATGTCTAAGGACTTGTTGTTAGACGTGCAAGGTCTGCGATGTCTGGCCGTCATATTCGTTGTCCTTTTCCATTTATGGCCGACCATTTTTCAGAACGGATTTTTGGGAGTTGATATGTGAGTGAAACATAGTCTAGATGCTCAAATCAAAACTCTCAGACTTTGATGAAACTTGGCACAAATTTAATTGAGGAATTTCATGATTTGCGCAGAATTTTGCTAAAACCTGAATATCGAAGTTTGGCAGCTAATCTGCGAAATAAATGAAAAACATTTTTATTTGTGTTTTCTTTTTGTTCGGAGATTTTGATTTGTTTTTTTTCAGATTTTTTGTCATCTCCGGTTTTATTATGTGCAAGATTTTGCATAGAAAATCTATGGACTGTTCCACTGCGCAAGACTTTTACTTCCGCCGATTTCGCCGAATAATTCCGCTTTATTTGACCGTAATTATTGCTACGATTTACGCCGCGTACAAGATCATGAACCCGTTGGAGTTCAAAACTGTGGCCAAGGAATCAAAATCAGCCATGTTTTTTGTTTCAAATATTTTTAATTTGCCCGAAACCGGGTATTTTGGCGCGGAAAATACGTTCCCCTTGTTTTTACACACGTGGTCGTTGTCTGTGGAGCTACAATTTTATGTAATAGTACCGATGATTTTTTATCTTTTGGAAAAATTTAATGGAATCTCGACGAATAGTGGTGCAGTTTTCCTGGCAATTATTGGACTGATTAGTTTGACGCTGCAAAAATATTTCAGTTATGGTAAGTCAGTTGTATTCAAGTTGAGGGAAAACCATCCGTCTTATCTCCGGGACACACCGCAGGCGACAGGAAACTTCTGGAAAACTTTTTTGCAAAGAAATAAGGTCGACTTCGCCACCGTAAATAAAGATTTTTATCTTCGATGTCCGCGCTGATCTGTGGATGCGTTTTTCAACCACTTTTTTGGTTTCTAATCTATCTAATAAAGCAGGGGATTTACGGCGATGATAACTAAACCGATGCTTATGGCTTATTGAATTTGACCGCATATGAATTTTTGTAGATGAAAACCGATCCCACATGTCACTGTACTGCCGAATTTGGCAATTTATCGCTGGATTTGCTGCCTTTCACATCCGAAATAAATTTTTGGAAAATGGAAACGATGAAATAAAGTATCAACTGCTCGATTGTCGAAGCACCGACGATTCAACAATCGAAAAAACGGAACCAAATCTATTATTAAGATTCCGAAAGGTGATGACTATTCAGACTCTTGTCGTCACACTAATGATCCTGCAATTATGCGTAAAATACGCACAAAGCAAAGAGATTGAACGGATTTTAATTGTGATTACTGCTACAACACTCCTCGGCTTGGGGGATTCAGTCTTATCGATGGAAAGATTTGTGAAGATTGGCGACATTTCGTATGCCATCTACTTGATTCATTGGCCATTTTTGGAACTGTTTAATTTTGGAGATTTTGGAAAGAATGCCGGGAATGAAATTGGAATTCAAGGTGCGTTATCGGAAGTCGAAGCCTCTGAGTTTCTTGTTAGGTTTGGATCAGATCTTGTGGAAAAAGATGAGTCCCAATAGGGTCTAATGCGAATGAAATGCATATCTATTATTCTTTGCTCCATTCGATCAGAAAAGGATGCATTAGGATACATTTCATTTGCTTTCTAGACCCCATTGTGATACATTTTTTGCCACGTGATCTGGTCATTGGTCTCTATCGATTTATTAGTTTAGAACTGATTTTTATGGCAAATTGACAATGTATTTCCTTCTAGATGGCATATTTCTGATAACATCCGTCCTGATTCTCGCATATCTGCTTGAAAACTTTTTTAAGACAGTATTAAGTTATGTCACTTCGTGGATTTTGCTAGTCACAACTTTATTACTACTCTACAGTGCTGCTTACTACGCCTCAACTTTTATTGAAAACAAATCTTGGGAAAAGAGTTTAACGAATAACAGTCACAGTAATACGACAGTAACAAGCTTTGAAGACCGCGTAATCAAACTATATGAAAACAGAGGCAATACCAATTTAACAACGACAGAAGCACTCGACTTTAATATGGAAATGAGGGACTATGTGCAGACAAATTTTAGTACTTGCCGCAATCAGAGTCAAGTTATGCCGACGGATGTGAAGTTGGACTGGAAGTATTTCTCGTATTGGTGTCATAAAAGGGCAGGTTATTTTACTACACCTTGGAAATGCACAGGTTTAAATCCGACTTTTGAGAATTCTAGGGCAATGGGAAGAAAGAAATCCTCCTACTTGGTAACAGTATCTCTCGCGACTTATATTTCGGGGTTCAGAAATATTTTGCCGATGTTTTTGATCATTTGACCTTTTTCGGAACCTCTGGCTGCACGTCTTTTGGGTTGGAATTTGAAAGTGAAGAATGCCGCTTATATGCGAAGCAGTTAATTCCGATCATCAAAAAATGGCATCGACCGGTCGACATTGTGATTGTACAACAATCGTGAGTATATGGCTTCCTAAATTAGAAACTTTTCAGTTACCTAAAGCTATGGAAACGTAATTATACTAAAAGCGACATTATTCAACAGAGTATGCAGCACTTCTATGACGAACTTTCATCGGTTGTAAACGACGTAATTTTCATGAATTCCGCGGAATTCTTCGAATATCATCGGTTTCAAAAAATGCAAAAATCTATCCTAAATAACGAAGATTTATCACAGTATCAAATAAAATACGGCTATGGGCGTTCCTTGTATGGCGATACACAGCGACGAATCGACGCGATCAAATGCGAAAAGTGCCGGAAAATCGATTATTCGGAGCAATATTGCGATAAAATCAAGGATTCTTGCACAATAATCCACGACAATAAGATTTTGCAACATCACGATGGGCGACACTCGACGATGTACGGCTCATTGTTGTTGGCGGAGAAGCTGAGAGAAGACTATGAGCATTGGAAAAATTCGAGGACAGAGATTTGAGTAACTAGTGTTAATCAATTTTGTAAAATAAACAACGTCGTATGTTGACGGTGCCTTATCGAAATTTTTAGGTCGAAAAAACGAAACAGTCAAGTTTACCCGCTATACGAAGATTTAATCGTATAATATTTAGCTTAAAATTCAGATTTGATGCCTTTGGAGTTGTTCGTTATAGGCAGGCTTTGTTATACGCAAGTTAGTTGTAGAGAGATTGTATTTTTTTTCTTTGCGAGTCTCCTCATTTTTCATGCTCTTTCGCAGTCTCTGTGCCCTGCTTTTTTTTGCCTATTTCGACCGGGAAAAAGAGCGTAGAACCCCTTGCTTTTCGAAAAAAGACAATTCTCAGTTGCCATGGAAACGATGAGAAACCGGTGTAAAATACGTCGTGCTTTGCTCTCGGAAAACATTCAAAGAAAACCAATTGCTCTTCAATTATCTATTTGTCAATCTAAATGTCCGAGCAACGGCCTGGTGCGGCCTACGAGGTTTATTCGTTGTGCGAAGAGCTAGCGGACAAACTGAAATTGCTAGATTATGAGAAAGAGCTTCTGCCGAAAGTGGATGGCTTCAAAATTATTCCGAGGTAATTTGTTCTACTTAATTCGTCGATAAAACGAAGGAAAGACGATTTTTTTACTTTTGGCTATAGCTCATCAGCCAGTTTGCCAATTTTTTGTAAATAGTACACTAATCTGGCTCTTAGGGCCCCTCATTTTTGCTCATGAGGGCTTCAAGGACCAATTTAGAATGTCATTTGCGCCATGATCATAGTCGGCCCAAAAAGTCCTGATGATTTATCAGGGCCCGAATTCTGTCGCACTCTGAAAAAAATGATTTGTCGCTGCGAAAAATGAGAATCGCACGCGGAGGCAAAAAACAAAAATGCAGTGTGAAAATGACGTTTATGGGACAAATGCACTGTGAAAAGCATTTTTTCGTGCAGTTTGCCTCAAAAACACCATTAACACAGTGCGTTTTTGTTTTTTTCTTGCGTCGCGCGCGATTCTCATTTTTCGCAGCGACATATCATTTTTTCAGAGTGCGACAAAATTCGAGCCGCGATAAATCATCAGGACTTTTGCGCCGAGTACAGTGGAGGACCTGATCCATTGGCAAAAAAAATCTCAAAAATGCAGCAAAATACCTCCCTCTCCAAGTGAAAAAACTCCGATTTCAAAGGCCCTCGTTTTGAGAGGAAAAGGGCGCGCCCTTCAAAACGGAGTTTTTTTGAGTTGTAGAGGGAGGTATTTTGCCACATTTTTGATACTTCCCGGATGCAAAATGTTACGTTTTTTGCCAATGGATCAGGTCCTTCACTGTATTATGGTCATGTCGCAAATGACATTCTAAATTGGTCCACGAAGCCCTCATGAACAAAAATGAGGGCCTCAAGGGCCAAATTAGTGTACCATAGTCCTACTTTGGTGATTTTAGACACTATTTCGCGCAATCCACCAACGTTGGAGAGCAATTCTTTCTTTTCGCCGAACTTGTGGCATGGCTGATGCGCAAAGCGCAATGGAAAGACGTGAATATTCCCAGCTCCAATGACGACCCAAATACGGTCGCCAATCTGATACAAGAAGCGTTGAAAGTCAAGGGGATCGAAGGAAACTATGCAACGCAAAAATTGAAGAGTGGAAGTGGCCGTCAATGCGTGGAGATTTTGTTGGCGTTGGCCGAAGCCGCGTTGGCCGCGAATTCATTTCAATTCGAACGGTGGGTAAAATACGTCTTTTTTCTTGAGGGTAGTTTTACTTTAGAATGGTCCCAATCGAGACAAAAGACGACAATGAAGAGGCGGATCAACAGAAAGAGGAGGAAGTCATGTCCGAAGTGAGGGCGACGTTTTATACGATCAAATTTCGAAATTTTTTAAATTTTTTTTCAAACGAGATTTTCGTGTTTCGTGATTACAATTATCCGAAAAATCCTTTCAGACCGATGAAGAAGAGGCTGCGATCGCGGAGGATGAGGACGATGTGGCCGAAATCACAGAAGCCCGACCATTGGAGATCCAGGAAGACATGTTCCAGGCAAGAAATTTTAAAAGTGGTTGTAAAATACGACAAACTCCCCAACATAAATGCTTTATACGATGACACATGTCCTAAACGAAAAATTGGGCACGTTCCATTGCATAAAATGTCGAGTTTATCTTTTTATACTCCATAAGGCACCATGGGCCGTATGCCCTTTAATTTTTCAAGCATACTATTTTATACGATGAAACCTGTCCAAAATGTTAATTGGACATGTTTTATCGTATGAAATGTCGCCGTTATCTTGAAAATAGCTTTTTTATAATCCATTAGACGCCATGGGCCGCATGCTCTTTAATTTTTCAAGCCTACCATTTTATACGATCAAATCTGCCGAAAATTTTTATTTGACATGTTTCATCGTATAAAATGTCGCATACTTGCCCTTTATAACGCTATTTCAAATTTCCCATATAACGAGTAATTTCAGTCCCACGAGCCGCTCCAACAAATCCTCCACAGTACAACCAGTTCCAACACAATCAAAGCCGAGCTCGACCGCGTTCTTCCCCAGCTTCGGGTGACGGTCAGAGCCTCCGACAAGCATTGGAAAATGCATGCCGAGCAACTAGCGCAACTTCAACGAAACCTGAACGCTTATTACGAAAGTGTTCGGCCATTTCTGGCTCAATTATCGGGGGATTTGAAACAAAGTGTGGAGAAGATTTCGTCGCGGGAAAAACATCTCAACGAACACTTGATGGGGGTGCTACAGGAATACCGAGCGGCGAGAAATTCGTATGCCGAAAATTTGGAGAAATACAAGTGGGTTTGGAAGACGGAATTTTGATTTTTTTTTGCGAAATTTTGAATTTTTTCGATTTTTTTTGAAAATTTTTTAAAAAATTTCCAGAGAAGCCAGCGTTGGGCTGGATCAGCGCCAACAAACCCTGCAGCAGATTGGCGATGAAATCGAGCAAATAAAAATGCAAATCGAGCGACAGGGCGCTGAGAATTTGAATGGCGCTTCGTTGGTGAAAATTCAGAACTCGATTACGAAAATTGAGCGCAAAATCTTGGAAATGAATGTGCAAATCGCGGTGGTGGAGCAGAATCTTCATTTGGGAGAGCTGAACGAAAAACAAGCCGGGATTTACGGAATTATGTAGTTTTTCAAGATAAATTTCAAATTCCCGCCATTTTTGGCATTCCGTTTTTAGGTGTGGAAATTTTTAAAAATCGATTATTATGACCGTTAAATGTGGAGACATGGTAATTTAAATAGTTCTAAAAAAATTTCTGACCCAAAATTCAAAAAAAATTTTTTTTCAAAATGGGTTTTTTTCTAAATTGTTCGGGGATTTACGGGATTATGTAATTTTTCAAAATAAATTTCAAATTCCCGCCGTTTTTGGCATTCCGTTTTTAGAGGTGGAAATTTTAAAAAATCGATTATTATGACATTCAAATATGTTGTAGTTGTAATTTGAATTGTTACAAAAAATTTCTGACCTAAAATCCAAAAAAATTTTTTTTTAAAATGGGCTTTTTTCCTAAATTTTTCGGGGATTTACGGAATTGTGTAATTTTTCAAAATAAATTTCAAATTCCCGCCATTTTTGGCATTCCGTTTTTAGGGGTGGAAATTGAAAAAAAAGCACTTGTTATGTCAGTCAAGTGTGTAGTAGTGGTAATTTCAATAGTTCTAAAAAAATTTCTGACCCAAAATTAGAAAAATTTTTTTTTTCAAAATGAAATTTTTTCTAAATTTTTAGGGTATTTACGGAATTATGTAGTTTTTCAAAATAAATTTCAAATTCCCGCCGTTTTTGGCATTCCGTTTTTAGAGCTGGAAATTTCAAAAAGTCGATTACTATGACCGTAAAATGTGGAGTAATGGTGATTTCAATAGTTATAAAAAATTTCTGACCCAAAATTAGAAAAAAAATTTTTTTTCAAAATGAAATTTTTTCAAATTTCTCCAAAAAAATATATTCAATTTCCCACCAAAAATTTTTCAATAATTTATTTGCACATTCGACGCCGTTCTCTCTCTTCTGATCATGTTGGTTTATCACAAGTTTTCCAAGGGTGGGTGGGGATACGGGCAGATTACAGTGTTTAGAGAGGGGTTAAAATGGGGGAAAACAATTCATAACTGAGTAAAAACAACCCATAATTTTGTGCGCTAGGCTACAGGAATCGCAGAGACAATGTACAACCAGAGTTTTTCGGAAAATAAAAACAAAAAAATCGGCTAAAAATCGTGGAAAAAATCAAAAAAATCGACCAAAAAATCGGTTAAATTAGTAAGATTATACAAGATGGGAAATCAAATTAGGAGAAAATAAGCGAGAAATAACAAAAAAAATTTAAAAAAAAGTCGGGAAAATTACCAAAATTTCGTTAAAGCCGTGTTTTCACCGATAATTTATACCAAATATTACAAAATATTATATTACAGAGATTAGGGGTGTGGTGTGGAGCAAGACACTAGATATTTGAGACAATATACTCGCTTCGGATTTCACAGATACGTGGCTGGAAAGAAGGGGGCGGGGCTTAGAGCTGCCAATGGTCCGCAAAGTCCACGTAGAGCGCGTTTTCGAGGCGTTGCAGGGCCGCGTTGAACGTCAGGCTACCGGTCAAGTAGTGGGCATCACGCATTTCCGTTTCCTGAAAGCAGTAGGTAACTTGAGTAAAGCGGCATATTATACGCTCAAATGGGTCCAAAACTAATTTGAGACAACTTTTATCGTATAAAATGGACGCAAACTTCAAAAATAATTAAAAGAATCCCAACTGGGAGCTAAAGCTTCTACTGTCTACACGAATTTTTCATAAGGTGACATTTTATACGACCAAATATGTCTAGATTAATCTTGCACATATTTCATCGTACAAAATGTCCATAACAAAAAAGCAGCTTTCTAAATTGTTCTACATGCCCTACTTTGTCATTCTCACACATAACTATGAAAATTGTCGACATTTTATACGCTGGAATCTGATAAAAAATTAAAAAACATTTTTCGTCGTATAAAGTGTCTCCATACCCCTAAAAAATCCCAAGCCCTTACCTGGAATGCGCCAGCCAGATGAGAGACCCGAGTTTTGTGTTGGAATGCCAGTGCGTGGAAGAATGGTTGGAGTTCCTGGACGGCGGTTAGGGTTTTCACTGAGCACAAAGAGGCCGATCGCATTTCCTTGTCACGGTCGCTGAGAGGGCCAAACTGAAAATATAGGGTTATTTCTTCTTTTTACAACATATTTTCCAGCTGTTACTATGACATCCATTTTATACGATGAAATATGTCCAAAATATTTTTTGGGCATATTTTGACGTATAACTTGTCACTAAACGGCCGAAACTCGAGTATTTACAACTCAGCTGAGCTCAATAAGAAATTTTCTTCAATTTCAAGCAATATGACATTTTATACGATAAAACCTGCCCAAATGTACAATCAGACATTTTTCATCGTATAACTTGTCGCTTTTCGCTCTAGACCCACCTTTTTCTCCATGAGTTGATCCAATCTTGTCGCAAATGGAACAAAGCCTTCATGATGAGTGTCTGGTGTGATTGGTGAGACAAACGCCCAGTTAAATAATTGAAAAGATGGGATATAGCCCGAGGGCAGCGTGCACAGTGCTTCCAGGAATTTACATGCCGACAAGAACAGCTGCAGGAGATGCTCGTCCTTCGGTGAGCGTAGTTCGTCCAAAGTTGATTGGAAAAGATGAGTTTCCAGTTGGCTGAGGACTTGAACAATCTCCGTGACCATGGAGGGCCAGATGGAGGGCAAATTTCCGGGCCGCACTCGGAGTAAAAGTACTCGGTAGCAGATGAAAACTTGCGAATGGACTACTGGCACGCTGCTTTGTCTTAGGTTGTCGGTAAGGCGTTCTGGAAGCAAAAAATTAGATTAAAATTTGAAAATTATGTTATCCATGGACATCAATGATAAAATTGGTCATATCTTGTTCAAAAATGATTAGATTTTGGTCAAATTTTTACCAGTTATTCTACATAGCCTGTGTTTCAAGTCCTAAAACTATCAGTTCATACTTTTAATCCATATCCAAAAAAAATTAGCAAAATTTTTTTGGCCAAAATTTCAAAAAATCTCAAAAATTTCTGCATAACGCGATGCAAAAATGATTCATAATCTTTTCTGCTGCCCTATTCTTTCTCTATTCCAACTTTCGTCCAAATCCGTCACTTCTAACGCATACTTTTCCACAAAATTTTCAATACCTCTATATTACACTAGGCAATTTTGCAAATTGTACCTTGAATCTCCGGTAAATTCGTTCCGTATTGATCAGTCTGGGACGAGAGGACCACAAAGGCCAATCGCTTTAGTGCTTGCGCTCTCATTTCATTCTCCTGATCCTTGTTGGTCATGAAATTCGAGATCGCAGTGGTGTTGCCGCTCGGAATTCGTGCCAACAGCTCTTTGAACGAGGTTTTATCATTGGTCATCAGGTTGTCAATGACGATCAGCCATTGCTTCAGGGCTTGGATGTCCATTTTGAAAAAGTTCGAGTCCAGCAGCAAGTCCATGGCCGCTTTTTTCCACACCGATCGCATGTAATTGAAGCTGGACAGGCTGGCCAAAAACTTCGAACTGGCCAGGAAAAAGCGCACGTTTCGCGCGGATTTGGCCTTCAAGTAGGGCAGGGTGTTGCTCCAGACCGCTTGGACTGTGGGGATGAGCTTGTCCTTGTCCTCGCTTCGGCATATCGAGTCGATTAATTCGGCCAGGTTCTGAAGCATGGATAATATAAAAATATAAAATTTTGAATCTTTTTTGGGGCAAAATACGGATGATTTCCAGTCAATTTAGGGCTTGAACCCCTACAAATCAAATCGAATTTTCAAAATTCCAAAAAAAGACCAAATTATACGATGAAACATGTCTTTTAAATTTTTCGTAAATTTTCATAGTATAAAACGACGCCATTCAAAATCCAATAAAAAGTCAACCTTCAGAGCTCTCTATGCCTGCTAAACACAAAAAAAACTAATCATCGACATCTTATACGATCAAACGTGCCCCCCAAAAGCATTGGACATGTTTTATCGTATAACCTGTCTCCAACAAGTCTAACGTCAAAAATATCTACCAAAACTTGCTTTCAGACGCTCTTGCATCCATCAAATTTCAAGTCTATATCCAGCGACAGGTTATACGATCAAACCTGTCCAAAACACTTTCATATATTTTCCATCGTATAACCTGTCTCCAGCTATTCCAATTCAAAAACCCTTACCTCCGCCAGCAAGAACAATGCTTGAGTGCTGTTTGTTGGATCTTTCTTGTTATTGTTGTTGTCCTTTAACGAGCTGCGGATCAACGAACTCGAGGACTTCTTGGACTCGAAGGTCATTGTTGAAAGTTGCGCTACGGATCCAGCTAGTTGTGAATTCGAGTCAATCGAGGTTTGATTCGTTGCTCTTGGTGCCAGGGAGCTTGTCGATCCTTTGATCGAGTTGTTTTCCGACACCGAGCCGGTGTTTTTGTATTCCAAAGTTGGGGAGACATCCGAGAGCTTTTGGTCTGAAAAAATGCAAATTTTCCATTAAACCACGCCATCCACGATACCAAATTTTAGCCTCAAAACCCATTCAAGACCTCTTTTATCCACCAGCTACCTTTTCATTCAATTTAAAACAGTGTAAACTTGCAAAAAACTCACTGGAAGTGTCCTGTTTGACCACCAAGGTCCGTTTGAGCCACGTGGTGCTCTCCAATTGCCATCCGACAATCATGTTCAGGGCTTCGATGATGCGTTGACAGGCGTCTTGGCATCCTCGACTAATCGATCGGTCTTCAATTACCACCTGAGATCCGCAAATTTTTACGAAATCGCTCAAAATCCTGAAAAAAGTCGATTTTTTAGGGGAAAAATCGCAAAAAATCTCAAATTTCCCTCTTTGTAAGACGCGCTTCCAAATTTTCTCAACTCCTATCTAATTTTAGACCCCAGAAATCGTCAAAAAATTTCCAAAAATCCCCAATTTTTACCCAAAAATCGCAAAAATTTCTCAAAAAACTTCAAAAATCCTTACGTAAATATCAGAAACACTCCGCGCGGGCTCATGTTAACCGGGTTGGTCTCGTTGAAGAGGACATTCAATGCAGCCCAGGTCTGCCTCAGTTCCGATGTTGCAATTACATTCATTGTGCAATGTAATAGCTCGAGTAATGGGACCTCGTTCGGGTTGATTGTGACAATTTTCTCCGTATTTTTGGATGATGTTGTGTTCGTTGTGTTTGGTGGATTCAATGGTGTTCTTCCGGCCGAGTCTTTGAGCAAATCAAGGGTGGAGTTGACCATTTCGGCAAAGGAAAGGACCTAAAATTGTAAAATTAATAAAAAACTAGTAGAAAAAAACAAATCTACTGGTCAAAAAATCGTAAAATAATCTTCAAATGGCCTAGTTCCCCGTCAAAATCACATTTTCTAAATCTGAACCTTCTGCGACAAGTTATACGAAAAAAAAATTCATAGAAAATTTCAAGCATATTTCATCGTATAACACGTCGCCTAACAAAATTTTGCATGTTATAGACCTAGCTTGTCCTAAAATTCAGATTTTCTCCCAACATTTTAATTGGTGACATTATATACGATGAAAATTTCACAAAATTTTCTTTACATGTTTCATCGTATAACTTGTCCCCAATGTAAATTTTGAAATAGTTATTTCATCAACAGAACATTCATGCCTTATGAAAGGAACTTCGCTGGCCATGACGTATTCTACACTTCAAAAACTTCACATTTTTAACTTATTCATGTTTTAGGACCTCGTCAAGAATGTTGACTCAATTTGCCAATGTAATAACCCGGTAAAACTAATTCTCAGTCTGCCCATAAGAAACTCCTCTTTCTTATCACACTCAGTTTCAGTCAAAAATTCGACTTTTTCTTATCTAACTCAAACTTTTTTCAAATTTCCCATCAAGTCCCTAGTGCAATATAAAAATCTGCCAAAATCTCCCAAATATCCTCAAACCCAAACCCACCTTCAACATCAATTTGGACAAGCTTCGCTGATGATTGGTGTAGTCAAAGTTTGGTTGGTCTTGGTTCTTTTTCAAGGCCGCAGGGATCCCTCGACTTTGCCACACCAATGCCGCCGAGTGCAACAAAACTTGAGGCTGGCTCTTGGCCATTGGTCCCAACAATCCGAGGACTAACCCGCAAATTGTTGATGGGTTCCCAATGGGTGTTCTGGGCTGGACTCCATGCGATGTGAAGTACCACACGTCTCCGAGGATGGCCAGGACTCCGGGGAAGGCTTTGACCAATTCCTGGCGCGCAATTTTGTACGGTTCGTATGATTTCGACTCCAATTTTGCGCTGAGTGCGTTCGAATGGGCCTGAAATCAATTAATCTAATCTGTGGGACAATCGTTATACAAAAATCAAAAAAAAAATATATATATATATTATATTATACTAGACATCTGATAAAACCATGTCTCACAACGCTATTTTTGGATGCCAAACAACCTTCAAATCAACCATTTTGCCTTCTAATTCCACGATATAATCCTTTTCACTTTGAAATTTACTCTCCAACGCCGAAATTCAAAATTCGGCGGGTCTCACCACGACTTTTGGCATTCTGCCCAGACAGTTTCACAGTACCCCAAGAATCACCTAGACCACTCCATAACTGTATACCCTCCATTCAAAGCCTGAAAAATCCCAAAAAATTAAAACACGATTTCTGACTCGGTGAATTAGCCGTGGACATAGGAAATTTTCGATTTTGAGATTTACAGCTGGATATGACCGCACCCATCACATAAGTGTGTTCCTGAAGCCTTTTGCCCTAATTCTCCCGTTAACCTAGTTTTATTTACAATTTAAATAATTTACAGTAACATCAAATATCTCAAAATTGAGGAGACGCAGAGCCGCAAAACTGTGGTCATATATGTTTTTGGGCACTGTGAATCCAATAGAGGTGGTTTTGGATCGAAATGATTACTGTAACATAGCAAACTTACGCTTCGGCCGCACAAAATCGGCCGTAAAAAAGTTGTTTCTAAAAACCCACAGCTGAATTTTTGATACGTTAATCAGCATAAAATTCTGCCCTAGAAACATTCAAAAAAAGTCCAAAAATCCGTGTTGCTATTTTCGTGGTATAGTGGATTTTGACAAAATCTACCAATCCGACGTCACGGGTTCGAGTCCGGGTGGACGCAAATCACTGAGAATTGGTCGGGAATGACTTTAATGGAGGGAATATAGAAGGTTGAGTTTATTTTGGGTGATTTTGATAAGATTCTGACAGTTTTCAGATTTTTTGGTGGAAAAAAGCCGAAAATACAACTTTTTGACAAATCGTATTTTACGCTGTTTTTTTGTGTTCATGACACAATAAGAACTTATATGTAGTGTTTTTAAGTGTTCTCCAACAAGTGGAAACCATTTCCTGAGTATTTGGACATTATACTTGGTATCTGTTAATCTTGCCTCATGCAAGATTAACAGGCATCTGTAGGAACTATAATTTGGCTAGTGACAACGTAATTCACTGTTTTGTGACCATACTTCACATTTTTTCAGCAAACGGTTCATCATCGAAGTGATTTGCTTCTATAGAACAATTGATGAAACGCGGAGAAAATTTCATTTTCAAACTAGATTTCTAGTGGTTACCCGCCAAATAATTGAGATTTTATGCTAGTTATACCCTTTACGGACAATTTTGCAAGTCAGAGCAAAATAAAGTGCAATCTGGAAGATCCATCCACTTCCTGATTATCAGATGTCAAGTACAACATAAAACAAACTTTTTAACGGGTGGGATTGTCGAAGAACCCCTTAAAATTATTAAATATAAGTTTTTATTGTGTCATGAACACAAAAAAACAGTGTAAAATAAGATTTGTCAAAAAGTTGTATTTTCGGCTTTTTTCCGCAAAAAAAGTCTGAAAACTGTCAGAATCTTATCAAAATCACCCAAAATAAACTCAACCTTCTATATTCCCTCCATTAAAGTCATTCCCGACCAATTCTCAGTGATTTGCGTCCACCCGGACTCGAACCCGTGACGTCGGATTGGTAGATTTTGTCAAAATCCACTATACCACGAAAATAGCAACACGGATTTTTGGACTTTTTTTGAATGTTTCTAGGGCAGAATTTTATGCTGATTAACATATCAAAAATTCAGCTGTGGGTTTTTAGAAACAACTTTTTTACGGCCGATTTTGTGCGGCCGAAGCGTAAGTTTGCTATGTTACAGTAATCCTTTCGATCCAAAACCACCTCCATTGGATTCCCAGTGCCCAAAAACATATATGACCACAGTTTTGCGGCTCTGCGTCTCCTCAATTTTGAGATATTTGATGTTACTGTAAATTATTTAAATTGTAAATAAAACTAGGTTAACGGGAGAATTAGGGCAAAAGGCTACAGGAACACACTTATGTGATGGGTGCGGTCATATCCAGCTGTAAATCTCAAAATCGAAAATTTCCTATGTCCCGGCCTTGCACACGGCTGATTCAGTGAGTCAGAAATCGTGTTTTAACCTTTTTACACTTCTCCGGGTCCCAACGGGCTTTTGGCATTCTGCCCAAACTGCCTTACAATGCCCAAAAATCACCTACATCACTCTAAAAAGCCCCTCTATACTTTTATATAACATTTTACACCCACAAATTTCATTCTATTACACTTCTCCGGGTCCCACCCCGACTTTTGGCATTCTGGCCAAACCGCCTTACAGTTCCAAAAATCACCTATATCACTCTAAAAAGCCTTTCAGTACTTTTCCACACCATTTCAAACCCACAAATTTCATTCTATTACACATTCTCCGGGTACCACCCCGACTTTTGGCATTCTGCCCAAACGTCTCCAACCTTCAAGATTCTTTAAAAAATCAACTTACACTGCCACTGTCGTTGCTCGTGAACACTTTTCCGAGGAAATTGATGCCGGGGATGGCCGAGATTGCACTTCCGACCATGCTGCTCATGTTGTTCGTCGAGGAAGAGCTGACCGAAACCGCGCTATCCCGTCCGTACGCCGTCGAGGCGAAGTAGGAAGACGTTGCGCAGTTTCCGAAGCTCGCCCTGAGTAGTAAGAACGGTGTTGAAGCGGGACTTGAGTCAATCACTCCGTAGTGCAATATCGAAGTGAGGGTTTTCAGCAGTCCAACGCAATATCCGGCCGGGTAATTGTGGGACTGGAAGTTGCCGATTGCGGCGAACATGTCCGTTTTCGGGAATCGGAAGTCCTCAAACGCCGTTATTGGGGTTGTGGGCTCGCTGACCAGGGCTTCGAAGCTGCCTTCCGTCGAATTGGACATGGAAATCGGGGCCAAACCCGCAAAATTCGATGAAACACAGGTGTAAATGTTGCGGCAAAGCTGGTCCACCACATGCACACAAAAGGTTGGGAGGGTTCTGAAAGCAAAAGCGGTCAAAAACTGTCCAAAAGAGCATAAAAACCAATTTTTCTTCTAGGTGGATTCGAACTCAGGACCTTTTGAGTGTTAGTCTAACCCACTACCTCTGAACCATATCGACACGTCGGTCAAAATTAGGCAAAATCAATAAAAATTGGCCAAAAAGTAAGCAAAATGGTTCTATAAGCCATTTAGGGAGTTTTAAAACTCATGCCCTGAGGCAATTTTTCGAAAAATCCCTCGAAACCAACTTTTTTCCTCAAAAATCGCCAAAAAAATTCGAAAAATCACATTTTTATCTTTAAGCTAGTCTCCATTTGATTACAGAATCTTAACAGAGCCCTCACAAACCCAGGCCCTGCGGCAATTTTCTCAAAAACGGCCCAAAAATAAACTTTTTTCCAAAAAAATCGAAAAAAAATTAAAAAATCTTATTTCCCCCAAAGCCTCCACATTTCTCACCTGTCCAGATAAGGCAAACAATTCACAATGAATTTCAGCCAAAGTACATGTCGTTCGGAGCCTCTTCGCAGTGCGTTCAGTACGACTCCGATGAACATTTTCAGTTCCACCACCATGTATCGGGGGTCTCGGATTGTGGAGCGGTTTTGCGGGGAATTGTAGAGCTGTCGGTTCTCGTGGAGGCGTTCAAACGAGATGCCCAAGTTCTGGCTCGAGTAGTGACGGACTCCGTCGAACATGTTGAACTCGAGGACGACCAGGGTCGAGGCCAAATTCAGGAGGCTTTGGTGGAAGGAGAAGGCCAGCCGACGGAAGGATTCGTCGTTCTGCGGGCCGCAGTTGAACTCGGCAATGTCGACGGTTAGGGGCATTCTGAAACGAACGAAATTTTAGAGTCTATGCAAATTTTTGGGAAAATCAAAAAAAATTTTAATTTTTTTTTTTTTGAAAAATTTTATAGTAAAATAATTGGTAAACTTCGGCGTACGTATTTTAAATTATTGATGCTCATTGATTACCTCAAAAACAAAAAACCAAAAAAAAAATTTTTTTTGCCAAAATAAACTTTTTTACCGACTTTTTCTTTAGAATCCACTCAAATCTTTAAGACACTGATATTCTGCAAAACCAAAAAAAAATTCGTATTTACCTATCGTATTTCACCATTTTTTCAAAAAAAAAATCGAAAAAAAACTAAAAAAAAACTTTTTCCCCCAAAACTTCAAATCCAATTTTCCTTCCACCCTCACTCCCATTCTTCCTCGTTTCACCGCACCAAACGGTCGATACTCCGTTCAAATTTCCCAGAATGAAGAGCATTTTTGACAAGCTCACCAACACCAAATTGCCGACCGAGTTCGCAAATGAAGTGGAGATCATTCGTGTGGGTCCTATTTTCAGCCAAAACTCAATGATCCGCCAGAAAACACCATTTTCCCCATACATAGTCATAGTATTTCAGCAACATCGCGACAACACTATGGAGATGACAAAACACATGAAGAAGATGGTCCGACATGCCGTTTCGCTCAAACACAGTCCCTCATCAAAGGCGAGGAAGAACCAGCAAGCCGATGAGTTCAATCGATTGATAAAAGAGTGCGATAAAGTCAGTCAAAAATCCCAACTTTTTGGAGAAATCAAAAAATCTCGTGTTTTCGAGCTGCGCCCTGGGTTTAAATTAGCAACTAATTAAAATTAACAACTTCTGAGAGCTTACCAACATCCAGGCCTACGCTTTTGACAGTTTTTAAAACTTCAAATGCCATTTTCCGAGATTTTTTGATTTTGCGAGCTGCGCCCTAGCTTTGACAAATTTTGAAAAGGAAACCCCTACTATTGGCTGTGAAAACAAAGCGATAATCTCTACAACCGCATTCGAATGCATGTATCATCCTAAATTCCCAAAATATACCACTTTCCTAATCGGCAACCTGCGCCCTACCAAAATTTCAAACTTGTTCAATTACCCTAATTTCTTCTCTAAACCCTCTTTTCAGAGCAAGAACATGTTCCTGGAACAGGGCTACTACTACATTCTGGCCAAGACCTCCGATCTCTGCTCCGTCTTGAGTAAGATGCACCACGAAATGGAGCAACAACAACACGACCAAGCGTACATGCCGATCAAGATCTGGATGGACGAGGAGTTCCCGCTGATGATCAAGGACATGAAGCGCTGTCAGAAGGCGACAAAGGCGTTGGACAGCGCAACTACGGCCAATGTGACCGCGCCGAGTGTGGAGCATTCCAGGAAGAGGGAAAAGATCCTGGAGGCGCACACCTTGCTGTTCAGGCAGTGCAAGGCCGAGTTGGAGAAGCACAAGAGGACCCCGAGACATCATACCCTATGCCTTCAGACCTTTGTTCAGCACGAGGTAAACGGGAAATTCAATCATCAAACTTTCTATGTAAAGGATCACAAAAAATCCTTGTTTTAGAAAAAGAACCGTATATAGAGTGGCGGACCTCATCCAGGGGCAAAAAAAGTATCATTTTGCATCCGAGAGGTATCAAAAACAGAGCAAAATACCTCCCTGTCCTACTAAAAACCACTGTTTTGAAAAGCGCGTCCTTTCCCTCACAAAAAGAGCGGAAAAGGACGCGCCCTTCAAAAATGAGTTTTTTTAGTTGGACAGGGAGGTATTTTGCTGTGTTTTTGATACCTCCCGGATGCAAAATGATACCTTTTTTAGCCCTGGATCAGGTCCGCCACTGTATATACGGTTCTTTTTCCAAAAAAAAAAACGGATTTTTTGAGGTACTTTACATATAAAGTTTGATGACCCGGTCTGTAAATCACCCCTGCAGACCTTTTTCTTGCCATATAATCCAATTATCACTCCTGATTCCCACTTTTTCAGTACAATTTTGCCAAAAGAGCCCTGGCCGAAGTCGAGAAGGCTCAAGCCGCGATGAAGAACCTGTGTGAAAAGAAGGAGGGCGAACGTAAGATGCAGAAAGAACAAATGGCCAAGGAAGCGGCTGCCGGCACCGTAGCCGAGGCTAAACCCTAAGGCCGTCCATCCAACGACATTACTTTATATTGCACCAGGTATCTGATGAATAAATCTTATAAAACCAATTTTAAATCGGGTATTCGACAATAGAATCTCTTTTCATTAGATCTTCAGAATTTAAAACACGTTTCTTTAAAATACGGGTTCATTTTTTATATTATACTAGACATCCGACCAAAACAACCCAGAAAATCAAATCGCCCTCCATTTTGCCCATTTTTTCAATGACATATTGCTTTTTGAAAAGTAAAATACACTTTCCATGGCATTTCTCATTATTACGTTCGATTCCATGCACAGAGAAACAGAGAGAAACACTTGACCCATCCTTTCATTCTTGGGTCAAGTCTCACCCTCCACCAAAAATTTCCCACAATTGATACCGCAATCAATTCCAAACCCTCTCACATCCCGAAAACTCTTCAAAGACCACAACCAACCCTCTTACCTCCACGATTTCTGGTTGGGCGGAGCTGGGACCATGGTTAACATCAAGCTGATCACCACTCTCTGCGTTCTGCTCAGTCTGTAGCTCTGTTGGACAAAGTTGACAAACTCGCGGCACTTGAACTCCCTTATCAGTTCGTTGACCACCCTCAGGAGTTCGCTGAAGCACTCCATTGCGACGATCTTGCACTTGATCGAGCGCTCCAGGTCCTGTTTCGAGACCGTGGTTGTGGGCGAGTTGAGGTAGTAGGAGCGCAAAAAGTACAACAGAATCGTGCAGAAGATCTCGAAGAACGTGGGGTTGCGGGCCTTTTCGTTTTGTGCGGATTCGGATTTGGGGGATTCGTCGTCGCCCCAGAACCCCTTGCCCTGGATGTGCTTGTAATGGCGGGCCAGCGCCTCCAACAGTTGTTGGGCGCAGCCCGCCGACGCGGGGTTCTGTTGGAGTTGGGCGGTGTTGGTGAACAGCATGCAAGCGACGATCATTTTGCCCAGCTTGGATTCGGTGTTGTTCTTCAGCAGGGCGCTCATGATGCGGAAGATCTCTTCGGCGCGGCTCAGGTCCACGACGCGCGGGCTTTCCGCGTACAGCAGCATGTGGGCGTGGGTCTCGTCGAGGAGGGGCTGTTTCGCGTCCCCGGGTGACGTCAAATTCGGCAGTTCCGTGGGGTCAAACAGCCTGGAATTGAAAAAAACTGTCAAAAAACCGCAAAGAAATTCAAAAAAAAAAAAAAAAAAAAAAAAAAAAAATCCAATTTTTTTGAACTAAAAATGCCTCTAATTTGATTTTCTCGTCTCACCATACATCTTAAATCCATTTTAGATCCCCAACCAGCATCAAAATTGCCAAAAAATAATTCCGAAAAAAGCCAAAAAAATTCAAAAAACCTCATTTTTTCAAGTAAAAATCAACTTAAAACAAATGATCTCGCCTTGACACACCTCTAAAACAGCCCCAAGCTATATAATCGCCAGTCAAAATTCTCAAAAAAAATTTTTTTTTTCAAAAATCAAAATCTCAAACTTCAAAAAAAAAGTTCAGAAAATTGTGTTCCCCTCTTGCCATAGCCCCGAAAAATCCCCCCTTTCCTTCAAAACGCCCAAATCCCCTTAAAAAATCGACATTTTTTCAAAAAATCCCAAAATTCATCATAAATTTCCGAAGCTCATAATGTTGGTCTCCCCTTGCCATAGCGTTCAAAAATCTCTCCAAACCTTCTACCACACCTCTTCTTACTACAAACCTCCAATCCCCACTGAACTCTCACAAAAACCGCCCAAAAATAATACATTACTTTACCCACCTCAACTCCTGTGTGCTCGTGCTGAAAATCGTCTCCTGCAGAGAATCCTGCCTTCTATGGCCGTATTTGACTCTCTTGATGCTGTCCGGGACTCTCGAGATCGCATTGAGGACCGGCGCAGATGCTGTTGAGGGTGCAATTGATCCGTTTTCGCTGGGCGCTTTCTCCGATCTCGTCCCATTCTTGATGTAGAGCGGTTTTCGTTCGCCCGGCGACTTGAGGCCGGTTGGCAGTGGTCCGGGGACATCGTCTTCTTTCAATTCCTCCAGTTCTTGGATTCCGTTGGGTTTGGGGAGCAATTCGGGTTCGGATTCGGCGTCGCTTTCGGTTGCCGAATCCTCGTCCAGTCTTCGCTGGAGATCGCTTTGGTTCAGTTCGTCGTCGCAGATCTGGTCAATGAGTTGTTGGACAACCTCAAACACCTCCTGGTCGATGGATTCGTCCAGACTCAGGCTTCCTGAAGACGAAAATTATCCAAGTTTTAGCCAAAACAAAAAAAAATTTTAAATCGAATTTTTAAATTTTTCGAAGGAAACACTTGACCCGAAAATTTCAACAAGGCAGCACCTGCCCTCTGAGGAATGTAAAATACGGCACTGACGTTTTTTTTGCACAAAAACTAAATTTTTTTGAACGAGAGAAACACTTGACTCACTTGACCCAAAATGAGTCAACTCTTCCTCTTGGTCAAAAAACTTTTGTTAGCCAATTCTCAATGAATATAAAACTCCACTAGCATGTCACATTTGTTATTTTCGTAACTAAAAAATACAATTTTCTCCACCGATCTTACAAAAAAAACGCAAAAAAACCTAAAAAATCCAATTTTCATAATTTTCAATGTAAAATCTAACACTAAAAGTAAAAAATAATAGTCGTTTTAACGTAAACACGAGTGTAAAATACGTTTTGCGAATCTTTTAACCAATTTCCCATTCAGAGAAACACTTGACCCAAGTTGGGTCAAGTCTTTCCCTCGGAAAAAAATTGCTACCCACTTACTCAAAATCAATTTACAACACTTTCTAAACGCCAAAAGATCCTATTTTCAATCCCAAAGTCCCAATTCTCCTTCAAATTTTACCTTGCACTACCCAAAACAGGTATTCCCTACCCAAACCCTTTCAAAACTCCTCAAAATCTCTTCTTACCGATTGATTCAGCGTCCTGATCAAACTGTGGGATATCCGAAACGGTTCGTTTGTGGGCCGGAGTGAATCCGGAGCCGGATTTGGTTGCGGATTCCGGTTGAAAAACGGTCTGAAAGCTCTCCTGTAGCGTTGGTGTTCTGGGCCGGGCGGCGGTGGAGGCGTCCAAAAAATTGGTCTCATCCAATTCGCCAGGAGTCGATGGATAGAACGACTGCCATGGGCGTTGCGCAAAGATGGTGAGGTCGTGGGTGGTGGGCTCGGAAACCGGCGGCATCAGCAGCTTGGCCTTCAGTTCCTGGACCCACTTCTCGGGGTTGGTGCAGTCCAAAAATTGGAAGTTATTCCACGGTGCGGTGGCGGAGCAGGACCTGTTCTCGTCCAGGGGGGCGTCAATGTCGCGGCACACGTGGTGGAAGGTCTGCTTTCCGGAGACGGTCGTCAGGGAGACGGCGTTTACGGCTTCCGGCAGCGATGGGATCTGATACTTGGTGATTCGGTTTTCAATTTGGACGAATTGAACGGAGACGCGGGCCGATGCGGGGGTGAGGAGCATCAGGAAGAGCATCTGGAAGGTAAATATTGACTTATTACATAGCTTTCGAAAAAATTGCAAAAGTTCTACAAAAGTCTCAAAAGGGATCCAAACCCCTCAAAAGTTATCCAAGACGTTCAAAAGTGCTCATAAAAACTTCAAAAGTCCAAAAATTACGCTCGTAATCAAACAATTTCTAATACAAAGAAAAAAAATCAAAAGCGATCCAAAGTCCTCAAAAGGGATCCAAAACCCTCAAAAATGATCCAAAATTTCAATACTCCTCCAGTAACCTCTAAATTCATTCTTCTTTCCAAAACACACAAAATTTTCAAACAAATACCAAAAGCGATCCAAAGTAAAGAGATCCAAATCCGTCAAAACCGATCCAAAAATACTCAAGCTCCTTTAAAAAAACCCTAAAATCATTTTTCTTTCCTAAATTCACAAAATTTTCAAACAAGTTCCAAAAGTGATCCAAAGTTCCCAAAAGTGATCCAAATCCCTCAAAAGTGATCCAAAATTTTCAAACTCCTAGCCTCAAAACAAACTCGAATTTCCTAAACTCACAACATTTTCAAATAAATACCAAAAGTGATCCAAACCCCTCAAAAATTATTCAAAATTCTCAAAAGTGAGATCCAAATCCCTCAAAAGTGATCCAAAATTTTCACTCCTCTAGTAATCTCTAAATTCTTTTTTCTTTCCTAAATTCACAAAATTTCCAACAAATCCCAAAAGTGATCCAAAACCCCTCAAAAGTGATCCAAATTTTTCATACTCCTCCAGTAACCTCTAAACACACTCGCATTTCCCAAATTCACAAAATTTTCCAAAAATCCCAAAAGTGATCCAAAGTCCTCAAAAGAGATCCAAATCCGTCAAAACTGATCCAAAAATATTCAAGCTCCTTTAAAAAAACCCATAAAATCATTTTTCTTTTCGAAATTCACAAAATTTTCAAACAAGTTCCAAAAGTGATCCAAAGTTCCCAAAAGTGATCCAAATCCCTCAAAAGTGATCCAAAATTTTCAAACTCCTCTAATAGCCTCAAAACAAACTCGAATTTCCTAAACTCACAACATTTTCAATTAAATACCAAAAGTGATCCAAACCCCTCAAAAATTATTCAAAATTCTCAAAACTGAGATCCAAATCCCTCAAAAGTGATCCAAAAACACTCAAAATTGATCCAAAATTTTCATACTCCTCCAGTAACCTCTAAACACACTCGCATTTCCCAAATCCACAAAATTTTCCAACAAATCCCAAAAGTGATCCAAAACCCCTCAAAAGTGATCCGAAAACACTCAAAATTGATCCAAAATTTTCATACTCCTCCAGTAACCTCTAAACACACTCGCATTTCCCAAATCCACAAAATTTTCCAAAAATCCCAAAAGTGATCCAAATCCGTCAAAACTGATCCAAAAATATTCAAGTTCCTTTAAAAAACCCATAAAATCATTTCTTTTCGAAATTCACAAAATTTTCAAACAAGTTCCAAAAGTGATCCAAAATTCTCAAAAGTGATCCAAACTTCCCAAAAGTGATCCAAAGGCCTAAAAAGTGATCCAAACCTGTCAAAAACGATCTAAAATTTTCCCACTCCTTCAGCAACCTCAAAACTAATTCGTATTTTCCAAACTCACATACATTTCAAAAAGATCCCAAAAGTGATCCAAAGTCCTCAAAGGTTATCCAAACCCCTCCAAAGTGATCCAAAATGTTCATACTCCCATAGTAACATCAAAACTCACTTGGGTTTTATAAACTCACAAAATTTTCAAACAAATCCGAAAACACTCAAAAGTTATCCACACCTCTCAAAATCTTTCTGACTTTCCAAAAACCCCTCAAAATCCCCCAATTCCACCCAAAAAATCCTCCTCCCCAAACGCACCTGTAAAATCTTGTGCAAATCTCCGCATTCCGCGCATTCACTGAACCATGTGTAGGCCACATCTCGGACTTCCACATTCTTATTTTCGTAGGCCATGAAGCCCAAGAAGACCATTACAACTTTATTCAGGGGTTTTGGAGATGGGTCAACTGTTTCTTCCTGGTCCCGGTTCAAAGCCCACATCACTCTGAACTTGACGGCGGCTCGAAGGCTGGTCAGGCGGTTGTTGGACGTGAGATCTTGGACAATGATCTCCTCCACTTCGCTGGAGCGCTCCTGGGAGCGGCGCGAGTGGAGGCGGAGCAGGAGTTTCGAGACGGTCAGCGCGTTCACGTTCTGCGACTGCTCTTCCAGGTGGCTCCAGAGGATGAGGGCGGATTTCTTGAAGAATCCCGACTCTTCCAGCTTGTGCATCTCGGCCTCGGGGATGAAGGGCTTCAGGAGGAAGGTCTGGGTGGCTTTTTCGGGCCTGCAAACATTCGAAATTTTATACAAAATTAATTTTTAAAAATCAAAAAAATTTTTTTTTATTTTTTTTCTTTTCAAAGTCCTAAAAAACTAAAAATTTCCCTCAAAATCCCTCAAATAAGACCTAAAACACCAAAAATTTGACTGATTTTTTCAAAAATCCCCTAAAAATTTTTTTGAAAAAATCGAAAATCAATCAAAAAATCAAAAATTCCCGCCTTAATACGCCTAAAAACACTCAAACATCACTTCAAAAATTTCGATTTCAACCTAAATATACAAAAAAAATACAAAAAAAAAAAAAAATCAAAATTTCCCCCAAATTAATATAAAATTTTCTCAAAAACCCCCAAAAACTTCCAAAAATCTCCTTACTTCTTCTCCACCACCAAATACGAGTTGGTTGGGAGCCGTCCATGGTACACATACCACTGTTCCAGTATCGAGGAAGTCCTGACGAACATCTGAATCACAATTTCCAAGAGTTTGGCGCGGATTTCGAAGTCGGGCTTGGCGTCGATTCGGCCGTCCGTTTCGTTGACGGCGGCCGAGTGCACGAATTTGGTCCATTCGTCGGCGTCGAAGACTTCGAGGAGGGCCAACAGCCAGGGGGAGAAGTCTTTATGCGCGTATTTCGGGTCCCGTGTAATGTTGGCTGAAACGAAAAAAAAATTTTTTTAAATCAATTTTAAGTGGATAAAAAAAAAAATTAATAGAGCTAAAATACGAAAAAATAACTTTTTTTTTTGATTACAAAAAAAAATTTTTTTGGGGTAAAATACGACTAAAAATTGTATTTTTTATGGACAAAAAAATAAAATAAATGTTTTGAAGCTAAAATACGAAAAAATAACTTTTTTTTTTGATTACAAAAAAAAATTTTTTTGGGGTAAAATACGACTAAAAATTGTATTTTTTCTGGGCAAAAAAAAAAAAAAAAATAGAGCTAAAATACGAAAAAATAACTTTTTTTTTTGATTACAAAAAAATTCTTTTTGGGGTAAAATACGACTAAAAATTGTATTTTTTATGGACAAAAAAATAAAATAAATGTTTTGAAGCTAAAATACGAAAAAATAACTTTTTTTTTTGATTACAAAAAAAAATTTTTTTGGGGTAAAATACGACTAAAAATTGTATTTTTTCTGGGCAAAAAAAATAAAATAAATCTTTTGAAGCTAAAATACGAAAAAATAACTCTTTTTTGATTACAAAAAAAAATTTTTTTGGGGTAAAATACGACTAAAAATTGTATTTTTTCTGGGCAAAAAAAATAAAATAAATCTTTTGAAGCTAAAATACGAAAAAATAACTCTTTTTTGATTACAAAAAAAAAATTTTTTTGGGGTAAAATACGACTAAAAATTGTATTTTTTCTGGGCAAAAAAAATAAAATAAATCTTTTGAAGCTAAAATACGAAAAAATAACTTTTTTTTGATTACAAAAAAAAAATTTTTTTGGGGTAAAATACGACTAAAAATTGTATTTTTTCTGGGCAAAAAAAATAAAATAAATCTTTTGAAGCTAAAATACGAAAAAATAACTTTTTTTTGATTACAAAAAAAAATTTTTTTGGGTAAAATACGACTAAAAACTGTACTTTTTCTGGGCAAAAAAAAAATAAAATAAATGTTTTGAAGCTAAAATATGAAAAAATAACTTTTTTTGATTACAAAAAAAATTTTTTTGGGGTAAAATACGACTAAAAATTGTATTTTTTTTGGACAAAAAAAAATAAAATAAATGTTTTGAAGCTAAAATACGAAAAAATAACTTTTTTTTTGATTACAAAAAAAATTTTTTTGGGTAAAATACGACTAAAAATTGTATTTTTTCTGGGCAAAAAAAATAAAATAAATGTTTTGAAGCTAAAATACGAAAAAATAACTTTTTTTTTGATTACAAAAAAATTCTTTTTGGGGTAAAATACGACTAAAAATTGTACTTTTTCTGGGCAAAAACTTTTTTTAATCAATTTCGGGTGGTTCAAATTTTTAAAAAATGAAATAAAACCTAATGGCTAAAATAAGAATAAATTCTTTTTTGAATATAAAAAATTTTATAGGTAAAATACGGTCAAAAAAAATTATTTTTTTTTGCGAAAAAACACAAAAAAAAATTTTTTTAATTATTTTTGGAGGGTTTAACCACAAAAAATTACTATTTCTTTGTATAAAATACAGCCAATCAAAATTATTTTCAAATTTCAAAAAATTTTTTTATGTAAAAATAAAAAATATCAACTTTTTTTTATAAAATACATCCCAAATATCAAATTAATAATCTAAAAAAAATCTTTTAAAAAAATAAAATTTAATTTCAAAAATCCTCTCTTACCATTATCCGGATCAAAAACCACGAATGGAAACTCGGCAAAGTCCTTGAGTAAGTGCAAAGTGGCCGTCAAAACGCCAGTTTTGTCTCTTTCTCGGCCCTTCGCGTACCAGTTGCATATTTGGACGGTCAAATTTTTGCACGATTCTGAGCAATCCTCCACAACTTTTTGATCTGAAAAAACAAAAAAAGTTAAAAAAAAATCCAAAAAAATTAAAAAAAAATCCGAAAAATCAAATTTTTTTCGCCACCCACGACTTCAGGAACATAAAAAAAGCGTTTTTTACAAATTTTACGACAATTTTTACCTTCAATTTTCTTGTTTATCACAACTTTGGAGATCCTGGAATCATTCAAAGTGTCGTCTTTCAGGGTATCGTCTTCCTTTTCGATCGTTGTTGAGGCTAAAAAAACAACGGCGGTACTTTTACAACATCAAATTTACTTACAAAACCACATCCGGCAAAATCAAAAAAAAAATTTTTTTTAATTTTACAGAAAAAAAGCCAAAAAATTCCGTCTAAAAAACCACTCAAACCTTCAAAAATTCAAGCCAAACTCCATTACAACATCAATTTTCGATATTACAACCAAAAAAATCCTAAAAAATCCAAAAATTTTTTAAAAAAATCCCAAAAAATTTCAAAATTACAAGAATTTCCTCAAAAAAAATCGGTTAAAAATCCCAAAAATATGTTTAAAAATCTTCATGACATATCAAAACTAATTCTGCGTCCACAAAAAAAAATCAAAATTTTGAAAAAATTCGATCCAAAAAATTCCAAAATTCCAAAAATTTCCTTTCAAAAATCGATAAACAAAATCCAAAAATCACAAAAAAAAATTCCACAACCACCTCTACCACAACAATAATGCCTCATTTCTCCCCAATAACCCCACAAAACCACCCAAAAATCGCTTCAAACACCAAAAATCTCCCAACTCACATTCCGGTTCCAAAAGTGCTGCATTTTGTCCAATTTCGGCCAATAGCCTTCTGCAAACACACAGTAAAGCGACCACATTGTCTCTTGAAAACGTTTCACATCCTTTTTCATCGATGGCATCCAAAATTCGTTTCAACAGGGACGAAATATGTCGGTTTCGAATGTCTTCATGTGCGTCTAGTCGAACATTTTTCACGCAAAACACAATCATCAACGGGTAGAGCATGAGGTGTTCCTTTCTTTTGGACTCCTCAAACTGTCGTTTGTCCCTTTCCTCGATGGTTAGAGAGGCCTCTTCTTCGTCGGAGAGGTCGGTTTTGTAGGGCAGGGGTTGGAGGAGTTTCAGGAACAAATCCCCCAAATAATCCCAGAGGAAGTTGGGTTCGAGTGAGGTGAGGAGCGAGTTGAAGGTCTTGCGGATCTCATCGAGTCGGCGTTCCTGAAAAAAATCGTTGAAAAAAGTCAAGAACGTAAAAAAATGTCCAAAAATTGCAAATTTTTCATAAAAATCACAATTTTTCAACCAAAAAATCGTCCAAAATGACAAATCCAAGTATTAAAATACTGAATACACTCTCCTTAGCATAAAACCTTCTCTATTTCAACAAAAATTCTCAATAAAATCGTCTTAATTATGAAAAAAGACCAAAAAAGCCGTGACTTTTCCCAAAAATTTCAATTTTTCTTTCAAAAAATCGTTGAAACAAGAAAAATTCTATACAAAAAATACATAATCTACACTTCTTTTTTATGTACAGCTCGAAATCCATCATTTTACCTTAAAAACCATGAAATTTTTTTATTTTATTACCAAACCCCTTATTCTTTGCCAAAAAATCTCAAAAAATTGCAAATCTCAAATTTAAATCCGCAAAATCTACATCCCTAGACATTCCTATCAACAGTTCACACCTTAATTCACCTTTATTTCTATATGATCAACCGTTAAACCATCAAAAATTAGAAAAAATCACCAAAAATCAGCTCAAACCCACCTAAAACAATATAAACTCCCAAAAAATCCCTTCCATTCCCCTTATCTCTCCCTCAAACCAATCTTAAGCTCTCTCCAGCACCCTAAATATCGCTTACCTTCTCTCCTTCATCCAAACTTGTATCGTTCTGACTCCAAGATTCCCATAGAGTTCCAAACGAAAACGATGGGTCGGTTTGTTCGCAGGACGTCTGCAACTCACGGACCATTTCAATATCTCTTCGACAGGCGTATTCCAAGAACATTAGGAGGGTTTCTCTCAAGATTGGGGTGCCCAATTCGGGTCGATCCAGGAAATAATGCAGCAATCTGCATAGGCGGACTTCCGTGAACTGGACTTGGAAATTCTGAAAAAAAATCGGTAAAAACATGCAGTAAGCTTCACAATACAACCCTTGAAGCTAAATGCTTAAGCCTATCAAGTCTATTTACCAAAATTCTCCCAAAAAAATGCAATTTTCGAGGCCAAGTTTACTTTTTTTTGCAAAAAAATTAAACTTTCTCTAAGAAATCATTATCTATAGCAACTAAAATCGTAAAACGCATGTTATTTATCCAATCCCAGGCTCAATATATTCACTAAATCATTCTTTCTTTCAAAAAAAAATTTTCCTCCCAGGTGGATTCGAACCTGTGACCTTTCGACTACAGGTCCTAACCCACTACCACTACACCACAGAGGTACACAACCTACAATGGCCGACCTGATCGAGTGGCAAAAAAAACGTATCATTTTGCGTCCGGGGAGTATCAAAAATGTAGCAAAATACCTCCCTATCCAAGTGAAAAAACTTCAATTTCAAGAGCGCGTCCTTAAAAGCGAAGTTTTTTCACTTGGAGAGGGAGGCATTTTGCTACATTTTTGGATGCTTCCCGGATGCAAAAAGGTACGTTTTTTGCCACTGGATCAGATCCGTCACTGCAAAAACGTCCCAAACCCTCAAAAACTCGCTCCAACCTACTCTATGATCCTTCCAGGAGTCACTGAGCGGCAATGGACTAGTATTCACCGGGATTTCCACCGTCTGCTGTGGCAAAAAGTCGGCAATGGCGAGACGAATCAGGGGTATCGAGTAAGTGTAAAAAAAGTCGAGATCAGTCAATTCCTCGGCGCCGCCGAGGGCGGGCTGTGCGCCGTCGGACTGGCGGTTCAGCAGCCATTGATACAACCGCCGATTCAGGCTCATATCTCTTCGCAGGACCACAAACAGGCACCTTTTCAGGATCTGGACCAGGTCCGACTGCGCCACATGGGCGGAATTCAGGGGGATGGCGGTGCAGAGGAAATCGAGCAAATTCCGTTGCACCAATGGGTTGCCGGGATCTTCAGCCACCGCGCACAGGGCGTCGGTCATGTAGTCGGCGTGCAGGGAGCCGCCGGAAATCACCGCCAACTGGTCGTCGATCGGTTTTCGCTTATCAAATTTGGAGTTCACAAAGATCAGGGCGGGCAGTCGGACAGCTGGAGAGCCACGGACGGCCTGAAAATGATGTGTAATGTTTAAAAAAGCAAAAAATAATAAAAAATTTTGTCTATTACAACAAAACAAATGTCTAAAACAATATCAAAAATGGATCAGAAAGCTTCCTGCTGATCTCTAAAGGCCTTTAGGGCCAATAAATAATGTGTAATATCAACAAATTCCAAAATTTCCAAAAATTTTTTTTGTCTAGTGTAATACAAAAAATGTCTAGTATAATATCCCAAATAGTCAAAATGAATTAAATATCGCTTCAGAGAGACTATTGACAACTCAACGAGCAAACATTGCCATAGAAAACCAAAAAAAAAAATTTTTTCCCTATGTCTACTACAATACAAAAGTGGTCTAGTATAACATCCCAAATCTTCCAAATCACCCAAAAATCCCCTCAAACTTCTTCTCCAGTCCTTACCTGCCACAAACAAGCATAAAACGACAACGGTCCCGACGATTCCATCACTTGATCCAACAATTCGATAGCCGGATTATAAAAATCCGTACCCTCTTCCAATGCAAACAAAATCGCCGCAATGAATCCTGGGAGCGCTGGACGTATTTTGGGACCCAATGGAAGAAGGAATTTCTCGAAAACCGACATCAATTCCAGCTTCACCTTGATCCCGCAGTTGTCCATCAACGGGAACAGGCCGATCGTGAAGAGATAGAGGCATCGGGCGAGCTTGTCCGACTGTCCCAGCACCGAGAAGACTTGTTTGTAGGTGTCGAGGGTTTTGAGGTGCACACCCGACGGCAGGGCAGGATGCAGGCATTGGGAAAGGCGTTTGGCCACCGTTACGGTTTTGGGAATGTCGTCGAAGGAGCGGGCGTGCGATTGGAAGACCTGAAATGAGTTCAAACCTTAGTACGAGTCTTCTACTATCTGCTAACTTGATTTAGAGTACTCAAAATTCAAATCGGACGCCTGCGTCGCTTAACCTGACAGATCGGACAAAAATTTTAAAAACCTTGAATTCGATTTGATTTTCACAAAAATTTAGCTGGACTAGTTTGAAAGAAAACTTGGAGGACTTCGTATTTTACAATTCACCTTCGATTTTCCTAAAATTCAAGAGAAACATCAAAAAAATCAACTTACTTTGCATAATTTACCCAAGGATGCAATCAAATCGGCCCAATCATTGGTATACTCGAAAGCCTTGAGGGCTTTGTCCACCGAGGCTGCATAATTGCGGTATTTGGTCGAGTTATTTGTAGGCTCAAGCGGATGAACTAAAAAATATTCGGATATTATACTGGGCAAGGGTAATATAACTAAAACCATGTTTGAAATTGAAGTAAAGCGCTCGTGTTAGCTTCTTAAGGCCATAAAAATCTTTTTTCTAACTTTTAAACCAAAAAGAGCATCAATTTGATAAAAATTTAAACTTATATTATCCTAGAGACTTTGATCTCTAAAATGAGGTTAAAACTCGCAACTTTGGCCTCCAAACAACATCAAAGACTTTTTAAACCTTCCCTTGTCCCACATGGCTCCTAAAAATCGAAAGAAAAACAAACAAAATAACTCACCAGAAGTCATAGGCTACCATTCGACCAAAAGAAGAAAAGGCCCTGAAACAACGTACGTTATATTAAAACATATCGAAAAGAAACAATTACGAACCCCGAAATACACGTCACGAATAAATCTACATCATAAATCACGGAGAGCAAAGAATTCGATCAATCTTCGCGAATTTTTATATTATACCAGGTTGGGGAATTAAAACACTGTGTATTCGCGAGCGCAACACAATGGTTTCGCTAAACCAATGTTTACAATTGAGAATAAACAAATTAGAAACCCGAAAAACACTCGTTTCGACGTCAGATTCCGCGTAAACCCCGAAAATCCTTCGAATTTCGGTGCAGCCATGCGGAATACGCTAAAAAAGGTTGTAAAAAACATTCGAAAACATCAAAAAAGTAGGCTTTCTAAATATACCCTGGCGTGAAAGGATATTTTCAACGTTTCGTTGAGATTGTGACGAAGATTGACAGCTTTATAGCCCATACTACACTTGTTGAACTTGGTCTCAGAAGTGAACTCAAAAATTCTTTTTTTACCTAAAAATGTAAAGTGAAAAATAAAACCAAACCTTAGCACCAATCTCAGCCACATTTGCGGCAAGTCTCATCAAATTTCATCCACAATCCATTTAGTTATGATCAATTTCCGGAAGTGCCATCCAGCCCCTCGTGTACAATATAAACTTTGACGGTTGAACGCCCAACCCAGTGCAAATATGATCCAGGAGTCGTTTTGAAACCGAGATCACAAGCCCTCTGACGCGTTGATAACGAAAAGTTTATCAAATTTATCAAAAACCGCAATTTTTGGCGCCTGGAAAAACGATCAAAGCACGAGTTGGAACCGGATTTCCCACTGATTCGAAGAGCAAAATTCGCTAGTGGTGTTCAATCGAAAATAAAAAAGATTCGTGGGTTCTCGTCTATGAAAAAACGATTCCAAAACCACGACCGGCTGAAAAAAAAATCCGGAGGGAAACAGAGTCACAACGGGATTGAGAGAGTTGACCCGACTTGGGTCAAGTGTTCCGCTGAAGTCATAAATGGCTGGAGAACGTCATCAAAACAACGATTAGTGGTTCCAAATGCTCTAAAGACCATGCACTAACTATTAAGACAGTCTTAGCTTCAATTAGGAGCTGTAAGTAGGTATTTTGAACAAGTGGAATATACGTTATCAAAAACAAAGTCCGAAAAAGGCTTGTGATTTGAATAAACACGTTGGAAATAGAATTAACAAGGAGTTATCGGTTTCATAACACTGTAAACAACCTCGAAACAGTTATTTTGGGAGAATAGATTAGATATTAAAAGAAATGCAGATAAAACATTGATTTGATGACATAGATAACATAGAAATGGGTTGCATGCAAAAACAAATGGTCAAGAGCGGTAAAAAAGAAAAGTTGCGGTAAAACAAGGATAGTCACTTTATAAAAACGTCAAGGAACAGTGAAATATTACATAAATCGAGGAAATATAGCATGAATTCTATTTGATGACATGGATAATATAAAATTTCTGAAATCACGCCAAAGAACGTTACAATCAGAGAAATAGTGTACACCACATAAAAGTAAGACCTTTTTTCTTTATTTAATACTGCAGTTTCCACTCAAGCTTGCCAAATTTTGATGTCTACACTCAAAAGATTTCAATGGTCATGGATAAAATAATAATTGCTGAAATCGTAGAGTAATCGACAAATGGAACATACGACGGTTATGTCAGAAGAAACTATGCTTCCCACTCTCTGCAAAACACCAAAATTTCCCCTCGATTTCCCAGGGATTGTATAATTTCCAGTCGAATTTTCTCACTGAACGAGGCGATTCCACGGATGAATATATTGAAGAAGACGCAGCCGAAGAAGACGGATTCGGAGATCGGCGTCGAGTGAGCCCGCTGAATCTTCACCCCCATTTTCGGGTGGAGAAGAATGGGTGTGGGTGGGGGAGAAGAAGAGGGAAAGGCTGCGGGGATGAAAGGAGGGAGGAAAGGTTGAAGTTGTTGTTTAAGTGAGCAGATTCTGTGGCGCCGCTCTCGAAATCCCCGCATTTTCACTCCGAAACCTTTGGCTGGAGAACTTGTAATACTCTCCGCACCCGGTTTACTGGTAGTATTGTTGTCCGCGAAAACGTTGAAGAGGCGCGGCGAGAGCTTCGGGAAGGGTTTTTCGACCAATTGCGAAAATGATGACAAAAAAATTAAATTTGTGAAAAATGGGGGTTGCAGTATTTGGATTCTTTTCAAATTTTGTATGTTTACTCTATCTAGCTTACAAATTAAATGCTGAAAATCTTAGCGTTTTCGCTGCAAGCACGGCCAAGATATTCAACGATGTTTGCCGACGAGAGATTATGAAAAATGAGGAGAGACGGTCAGAGAAAAACTTTTTCAGCTGCTGTCGTTGTCATTTTCCCGCCACAAAAATTGATTTTTTTTAAGAATATTGTACCAGAAATTACCTTAAGAGCCTCAAAAAATATAAAAATTTTTTATTGCGCCCCAAAAAAAGTCCTAAAAATTCCACCTGGCCCTAAAAATATCAAATCAAAAAATTCCAAATCTCCGAAAGCAATAACCCGGAGATTAAAAGCGGACCTTTTTTCGACTTGAAAACATTAGTCACGCCGCACTGTGCGATTAATTTCCATTTCCCATAATGTTTTCGTTTCGGCCGTTCGGGCCATATGCCGCTTTTAATTGCGTTTTTTCCAACAGCGCCCTCTTGCTAAAACCACATGGGCAAAGTTACAACAGAGAAAACAGAAAAAAACATTTTTAGGACGGATAATAATCTTTTTAAACTTAATAAAGGAAGGTCTCAGATTTTGTTCAAATTTTGCATTTGGATGTAGGCCTTGTATCAATTCCTGAAAATTTTAGCTTGCGTTTTGCAGGGACAGTCGAGATATTCAACGATCTTTGCGGCCGAGAGAGTGCGCGAAACGCGGAGAGCGGTCAGAGAGAAACCCACTTTTTGGCAATATCTTTGTCAGTTTCGCGCGGAAAAAAATCATTTTTTTTTGAAAACATCACCCTTTAGGGTAGAAGTAGGCAGGAAACTTTTCATACCAAAATTTGCAACAAATATCGTATTTTTGTAAACTTTCGACCCAAAAATCTTTAACGTTTCTGCAAAGCGCGTGCTAGACGTTCCGCATATAAAAATTACCTTATGCGGAAATTTTCAGAAATTGCTATGCAGCATATACCGCGTAAATACACCATTATTAAAGTGAATCCGATGGTCGAAACTTGGGTTTTTTCAATTTAATTTTTTTGTCATCATTTTTTTCAAATGGCAAAAAACCAAACTCCTAAAGCTCTGAAATGTCCTCAAAAAAAAGAAAAGTTAGCATACAGTACTTTATTTACCTCCATCAACAAAGCCTGACAGCCAACGCTCTTCCAGACACTCCATTCCAAGTTTGTTTTTACTCGGAAAACAAAAAAAATTAAGGCCGCGAAAAGTTTGCAAATCCCTGGAAAAACAATACTAAAAGCTGGAGAGGTGATGATAAATTATATAAAAAGAGGTCTGAAAAGCGGTTTGGTCAGAAAAACAATAGAAGAAGACTTCAGGTGACTTCAGGTCATGGAACGGATTAGTCAGCCATTCGAAGAAATACGAACGCTAACAAGGGGCTCGAACTGCGACGCTTAGATTTTGATGGAGGCAAATTTACAAAGGATGTACTTCGAATGGAAAATTTGAAGCTATTTGGAGCTTTTTTGGGGTTAGAGAAGATACTTAATGAATCCAAAATTTCATACGTTCACAAGAGAAGTACCACAACTGCAACGCTCAGATTTTCTTTAAATTTTGCGCACATATTGGGCATAGATCACATGTTAATTAGTGAAAGTTTTAGCTCAAGCTTTGCAAGGAGAGCCGAGATATCGAACGATCTTTTCCGCCGAGATGTCTTCGCCGAACTCGGATCGAGGCACTTTCCCCGATCATGCCCCGCCCCCAACACACATTACAATAAGATTGTTCATTTTGTCTCAACTAGCTTTGGGAGAACCCTTTGTATTCCTAAATAAAGCTAAATACTGTAAAATCAGTAACATGGCGACCACGGCGACCACGGACACCGGCCAAACTGGACGATTGCGAACCGACCTCGGATTAGCTAAATCCAGACTTTCCAAGGCCATCTCCGAACTGGAAAACTTCATTAGAACAGTCCCTCCAGTGTTGGACGATATCTCAGTGGAAGACCTTGCAAACCATCGACACCAACTCTCCACTCTTGATGACAACCTTTTGTCCCCTTACAACGCGATCACGGAGCTCGATCGACAATGGAAATTGGTGATGAAATCCTCAAAGGGTGAGAAAACTGTATACAACGACTATATTCGGAAATATGGCTCTCACTTGGATTCTCTCAAAAAAGCTGCTAATGTGCATAAGGAAGCCAAAGCGCTGGTAGCCAAAATTGATCAAGTAATGGATTCAAAGATAATGGAAGCTCCAATTGTCGAAGAACCCATCGAAGTCCTGACGCCCATCGAACCGGGAAGCAGATCAATTACGGATCGTACACAATCCCTCAGCATTCGAGACGTTTTTCATGGTCCAACGCCAACCCCTCGTAAGATGCCCCAGGCAAACACTGCTGGACAAGTACCCGAATTCCCCAATGAAATTGTACAACCCAGCTCTGAAATGGTAAAGAGCTCGACAACGACTTCTCAAATGGATCCGGTTGGTTTGAACACACAAATTACACACGCTTATACACCTCTTCCATTTATTCCTTCTCATTCTCCCATACCACCTCCCACAGCACACCCAAATTCAGCTTTGCCCGCATTTTTTCCGCAAATATCTCTCCCTACATTTGACGGCCATAGTAATTTCGAAGCTTTCCAACAACAATTTATGGAGTTAGTAGATAGTCAGACATCGCACGAGGCCGTGAAACTCAGTATACTTGTTAATCAGCTCAAAGGCAGCGCTCGACATGCAGTAGAAGGTCTTCCAATTGTCTCGGAAAATTACAAAATAGCATGGGGCTTACTTGTGAATAGGTTTGGGAACTCGGAACTTATCCAACAACAGTTAATATCAACCCTTCAAAAACAAATACAACAATACCGAAGTTAGAATTCAGTATTCTAGAATTTGGTTCCGAAGTCATCTGCGCTTTAAGAGAATTACTTAATTTCTCTGTTTCGAGATGCATCCTTTGGTCTGACAGTAAGGTGGCTATCAGCTGGGCAGCTAGAGATTCAACGAAGAATCTTCCCCCATACGTTGCCAGACGATTGCTTTTGCTAAAATCTAGGCCGAACATTGAAGTTAAATTTACCCCAGGATCAGAAAACCCGGCTGATTGCGTGTCGCGTGGGCTATTGGCTTCAGAATTGAACTGCCATCCTTTGTTTTGGACAGGCCCTTCTTGGCTCCCCCATGAAGAATTATGGCCCGCGCAACCTGTCGAAATAGTTCCAACAGAAAATCCATCCGCTGAAGAGCCTTGCCTCCTTTCCGCTACAACAGAATATTTTGATTTCTTGCATTTAAGACACTTTTCGTCATGGCAAAAAACGATGGGAATGCTGACATTTGTCATTTGTTTCCTCATCGCAAGAATTCCTTCGTTTCGTCAACGGTTTCACATGACCAGTTTCGACATCAAATTCCCCTTCTCTCATCAATCGCAATCCGCGATATTTCTCGCCCTACTTCGGCACTTACAAAACCATTTCCCTCCAACACACGCTCAGATCAGAGACTACGGACTTTTTTCCGATGAGAGCGGAATTATTCGATGGAAAACTCGAAGACTCATCGCGGGATCAACAACCCTCACTCATAACCCGCCTTATCTTCCACCGGACTCTCCGATCTTGGACTCATACATTCTTCATCTGCACATTCGGCATATGCACGCTTCACCTGAATACGTGTTTTCCCTTTTGAGAGAGCTCGTATTCATTCCGAAAGCCAGAAGTATAGTCAAAAGAATTTTGAAGACGTGTCAACATTGTAAAAATTTGAAAGCGAAACCTTACGAACAACCACCTTTTCCTCCCTTTCCTCCACAACGCACCACTCCGTCACCCCCATTTTCATATTGTGGAGTAGACTTCTTAGGGCCAGCTCAAGTAAAAGATCACGACGGATCCGTCATTAAAGTTTACGCCGTTATCTTTTGTTGCCTTTCCACTCGATGCATTTATTTGGACCTAGCCCGCGATATGAGTGCAAAATCTTTTCTATTCGCTCTTCGTCGTTTTTCCGCACGCCGAGGGTTCCCAGTTCAATTGTATTCAGACAATGGCCCGAACCTTACTGCCGTCGCAAGCCTGCTAGACCGCAACTCAATAACCGGAGAAATTATCCTCAATTCAAAAGTCGCTGAATTTTTGCGTTCACAACAGCTAACATGGAAATTTTCACCAAGTTTTTCACCATTCTCGAATGGTTGGTTCGAAAGGCTGATAGGCATTGTCAAGTCGTCATTAAACCGAGTGATCGGTCGCCGGCTCTTGGACATCGAAGAATATCAGACCCTTTTGACAGAGTCAGAATATATTGTTAATTGTCGGCCAATAACTTATTCATCCAGCGAGGAATCCCCTGTAATTCGCCCCGCCGATTTCCTAAATCTCTCTGTAATTCGCCCACCATATCCTCTATCTCCGGACGATCATAACGATCCCGACTGGATTCTCCCAGCCGACGAAAATTTGGCCAAAACACAGCTTCTAAATCAATGGAAAAACTCAAACACGCTCACTGACCGTTTGTGGCATTACTGGACGTCGTCGTATCTCACCGAACTTCAAGCGCGTAACAAGACCCAACATCGTCAAGAAACGCCATCAACCCTTTCACCTCAAGTAAATGAGATAGTTCTCATCAAAGAGCAGCAGATGCCACGTCACATGTGGCGCTTAGGTCGCATCACAAAATTACATTCAACCCCATACCGAAGCGCATCATTAACGACCGTCTCTGCCTCCGGACAAAAAAGAAAAATTACAAGGCCGATTTCGAAACTCTGTCCCCTTGAACTACGCGCATTGGCCTCAGTCGTTTGTCTATTCGCTCTAGTATTCCAATTTGCCCAAGGGTGCTCTGAAACCCAAACTATAATAGGATCGTCCGAAACATGTTCCAAATATTCTGATGACAAAATCGTCTGCAACTTCAAGAAATCTCTTGTCTTCTCAGTTCGGCCTCAGTCGAAAATTATATGTCTCCAAATTTCATCGACCTTCGGAAACGACACCGCTTATGCAAACTTAATCATATCCGCACAATCCCTTAATTACGTTTGTACGCCAAGCACTGTCACCTTCACCCGCCCATTCAAAATTCACGTTGAAAAATCTCACCGTTGCGACGCGGCAGCGGGGAGCCAGTGTCAAGCCAGCTTTTGTGAATCGGTCACATCAACAACCAACCTCATCGACTTTGGATCGGAAGCGAATTCCCTACCCGGACACTCAAGATGCAGCCGATCCTGCGGATGTATCAGTTGCGGATGTTTTTTATGCAGCCCAAGTTGTCTCTTTTATCGATATTACGCCAGTCCTGTTTCAGACGACATCTTACACGCCTTCACGTGCGCATCGTATGACACATATCTGCGAGGAACTTTAGCTCTCGACCACAACCAAACCCAGTTCACGCTTCAGCACGGACAACAATTCGATTGGGAGAACATCTCTTTATCCATTTTATCGAGCTCCTACTCTCCCACTCCAATCTTAGGCTACATTTTCTTAACCAGTATGAAGACAAACAAAACTGTTGCTTTAAATCCAGCATTGGTCTCTACCTATAATAATCTCTTAAAGTTTTCTTGTCCTTCCATCCAATCAGCCCGACAATTCAGATGTGAATTCCCATCCTCTCTTTGCCAATGTAGTCCAGACTTCTTTAGTCCTCGTTGTAATTGTGCCGACATCGACTTTTCGTCTCTCTTTGAGTCACGAGATTTTGCCTTCCCCTTCTCCCGGGAGGGCATTTCAATGGAAATGGAAGGAGAACGCCCGACAGCCAAGTCCAATCATGCCACTGAACTTATCGTATCGCTGGACCGAAACGTCACACTGTTGTTTCACCGGTCAAAATGCGAATGTATCTTATCGTCCGTGACCGGATGCTTCAATTGTCAACGGTCACCGATGGTTAATCTCAAATGCCAGGCCAGCTTCGGGACTACAACGGCCGCCATCATCTGCAAGTCGGTCCATGTACAACCGTTCCTCTGCCCACCACAACGATCGTCCTTGATGATGCCTTTTTCCTCTAGAACTCAGGAATTCGACGAAGAATGCGTTGTCCAATGCGCCGGAGGAAACACGACACTGAGAATCCACGGCTCCCTGAACGCTTCCAAGCCATTGAATCCAGCCCCGGAGGGGGGCGAAATTGCAAAGGACAAGACTCCTTCGTCTAGTTGGTCTGAAGTTTGGTCTACAATCTTCAATTTCTTAAAAGACCTCAAATGGTACTATTTTGTCATATTGGCCGGAGGTCTTGCATTTTTAATTTTACTTATTGTAGTCTACATCTCACCGTTCGCGCGGGAGTGTCTTCGCCGAACTCGGATCGAGGCACTTTCCCCGATCATGCCCCGCCCCCAACACACATTACAATAAGATTGTTCATTTTGTCTCAACTAGCTTTGGGAGAACCCTTTGTATTCCTAAATAAAGCTAAATACTGTAAAATCAGTAACAGAGAGAGCACGCTAAATGTGGAGAGCGGTCAGAGAAGAAACACATTTTTGGCCATAACTTTGCTAGCGTCGTGCGGAAAAAATTGATTTTTTCTGGAAACACTACCCTTTATGGTAGGAATAGGTATGAAACTTTTCGTGCAAAAAATTCGACAAAAAGTCTCAAATTTTCGCAAACTTTTGATCTAAAAATCTCGGTTGTTTCTGCAAAACGCAAGCTGGGATTCTCGCAAGTATCTTAAAAAAAGTGTTCTAAAGTTGTGCCAAGTTTCATCAAAGACTGAGCGTCACACTTGGGGTATTTTTCTTGTAAGATAGATGTTAGTTTCCTGACTGGTGTTGTACAGAAACGACCGAGATTTTTAGATCAAAAAGTCGGCAAAAACGTGACACTTTTTTTAAAATTTTGTCATGAAAAGTTTCATACCTATTTCTATCGTATAGGGTAATATTTTCGCAAAAAATCAACTTTTTCCGCTCAAAACTCGCAAAATTATGACAAAAAAGAGAAAATCAATCTCCAGCCGCGGTTATCCGTCGAAAAATAGGATATTTCAAGGCGCCACAAAACCATGTTATTTTCCCGACACGCTAATCGTATTAGCTTTGTCATCAAAGACCAATAAAACTCTGGAGGTTCGCTTGAGCTTTAGATTCCGAACGATTGGAACGTCTCATGGGAAGGGCTTAATCATAAGGCCCAAAGTTCCCCTTTCCGCCCTTCGGCGGGTCAAACATTTGCTCCGAAAAGGCAATAAAAAACACATTCAAGCAATTACGCATAACCATATGGAACAGAGGTGATTTGTATTGTATTATAGTTTATGGAGGGAGAAAGGATCAAAAAAGTTTTTTTTGAACATGAAAAAGTTTCAAAATTATTGCGTTTTCATAGAGAAAAATTAACGGAAAATAATATTAGTTTTCAAAAATAGTAAATGTTTTGTCTTCATCGTATTTTACAAGTGTTCCGCCTGCAAAAATTTTTCAAAAGTATCTTTTTTAGAGCCCTGAAGATCAGCGGCTTGCAAACGGAAATACAAAAAATGGGACAGTCAGATTTTGATGATACTTTGGACAAATAAAGATTAGGCCTTTCCAATGCACATGGCAGATTTTCAGCTTGCGTTTTACAGAAACCATAGAGATTTTTACGTCGAAATTTTGCAGGTAATTCAAAAAAATTTTTTATTTTTTTGCTATTTTTCAAAACAAAAAATTCAATTATTTTTTGAGACATGTAGTGATATCTCCACAAGAAATCAACTTTTTTCACCCGTGGTTAGCAAAAATAGAGGTAAAAACCATTTTTTCCCTGACCGTCTCTCCTCATTTCACATACTCTCTCGTCCACAAAGATTGTTGAATATCTCGGCTGCTACTGCAAAGCAAAAGCTAAAATTTTCAGGGATCGATATGGGACCTGTATAAATTGTTTTTGCGAAATTACAAAGAAATCGACTGGTCGAACTTTGACAAATAACCAAAACAATTTTCATGGATTTTTCAAAATTTTTTATTGTTAAACTGTCAAAAAAGTCGAAAATTAAAGCTTTCTGTGTTGGTTTCTAAGTTCCCTGTACAACAAACATACGATTAACAGTACGTATTATGTTTCTTAGAACATAAACTTACAAATAATAACCATTTTTTTCATATACGTACTACAATATTAAAACGATAATTTTTAGCCCACTAAAACTACTTGGGCATCAAAAGCCAAGTCACAACATCACAAACAACATTGAAAACAAGGCAAAAGCATAATTTTTAACTAGTAAAAAGCGCATTCCACAGGTGAAACCGGCAATTTTTCTCCTTTTTTTGCAGCCAAATCGAGATTTGAAGCCGAAAAAATATAGCCGAAAAAAGTTTTCCGTAAAAAAGAGGGGACGAAAAAACGGCTCGGACATCTTGTTTTCGGCCTCGAGGTCTTTAAGCCCTTACGCGGCCCTTCTTTCCATCCGCATATACAAATATGTACATGCGTATACAAGCAAAGGTTCGGAAACACCCCTTCCCAGGGAGTCAGATTTACATACGCTAATTTTGGAAGCGTATTGCGAGCGGGAGGCGGTGAATTATCGCTTCCTACGTCCATACAGCCTCTTTTAAGTACGGAAAAGGGCATGTGGAGGAAATTTGAGGCCATTTGGAGCAAGTTTGGGGTTAGAGAAGACACTTAATGAATCAAAAATTATATACTAGTCGCGGAAAAAAGTCCTGGGATTTTTCTGCGACTCTGCACTGTGCATGAACCCGAAAAGTGCTTTTGCACAGTGCAATTTTGTTGATTTTGGCTTATTGTCGCGCGCGATTCCCGCGACAAATCAACTTTTCGGAGCGCGACGGAATTTGGGGGGCGCGAGAAAATCCCAGGACTTTTTTCCGCGACTAGTATGTTCACAAGGGAAGTGCTCCAAGTGCAATGTCCAGATTTTCTCAAAATTTTGCAGGGACTTTGGACATAGGCCATACATCAATTCCTGAAAATTTTAGCTCCCGCTTTGCAGGCGCAGCTGAGATATTCAACGATCTTTGCCGCCAAGAGAGCATAAAAAAAGTGGAGAGCGGTAAGAGAAAAAGCACTTTTTGACCGTATCTTTGCCAGTTCCGTTCAGAAAAAATCGATTTTTTGTGGAAACACTACCCACTTACGGCAGAAAATGGCATAAAACTTTTCATGACAAATTCGCAAAAAAGCCTAAAATACGAAACTTTTTTTTCGAATTTTAGCGTAAAAAATTTTATGACTATTTCTATTATATGGGGAATGTTTCCACAAAAAAAAAGAAATTTTTTCCATGCAAAGCTGTCAAAGTTATGGCCAAAAGTGTTTTCTCGCCGACCGCTTTTCGCTTTTCGCGCACTCTCTCGGCGTCAAAGATCGTTGAATATCTCGGCCATCCTTGCAAAGCGCGAGCTAAAATTTTCAGGAATTTATATTTAGTCTATGCCCAAAATGTGTGCAAAATTTGAAGAAAATCTGAGCCACGCACTTGAGACAGTTCTTTCGCAAAGTTGTGCTCTCCAAGTCACGAAAAACTTCTTTAAAACCCTAATTTATCTCCTAAAAATAACAATAATGACATTTCTCGACCAAAATGCCGCATATAAGGCAATACTCGACAATTCTGGGCGAAAAAATGAGTAAATTTATTCATAGAACAGCCGGTAACACGAGCCCCAACATGCAAAGAAAAAGAGTTGTTTATTACATACATTCGAATACCTACACTTTTACACTCAAATGGGAGTTGTAACTGTATTGAAACCAAGCCGTCAATGAAACCCCACACCCGATTATCCCTGTTTAGTTTGAATAGGAGCTAAAAGGGGATGTTGAGTAAGGTAATTGAGGTGTAATTATCTGGTACGTGTAATATAATACTAATGATAGCGGGAGTAGAAGATTGAAGAACTACGTAAAAAGAAGATTAAATATTTACATTGCGTAATGAATTGAGAAAAACATTGAAAAGTGGGAAAATAATCGTTACTGTGCAATTTTTTGAGAGCAGAGATATCATACAATGCAGCCTTTGTATAATAGAAAACCTGCGTACAACAAGATTTTCTTCCCCCGAATTTTCGAGTCAAGAATACGTCAATAGGTAATCAATTTTCTAAGAACCTGAGCCATCTTATTATTTCGATTAATTAACAGGGGAAGTACTCCAAGTGCGACGCTCAGATTTTCTTTAAATTTTGCACACACGTCGGGCATCAACTAAATATCAATTCCTGAAAGTTTTAGCTCGCGCTTTGCGGACGCCGCCGAGATATCGAACGATTTTTGCCGCCGAGAGAGCACGCTAAACGTGGAGAGCGGTCAGAGAGAAAAACGCTTTTTGGCCATAATTTTGGCAGTTTTGCGCGGAAAAATTTAATTTTTTCTAGAAACACTACCCTTTACGGTTGAAATAGGCATGAAACTTTTTGTGCCGAAATTCGACAAAAAGTCCAAAATTTTGGCCGACTTTCGATCTAAAAATCTCGGTTGTGTCTCCAAAGCGCGAGCTAGGATTCTCGCATATATCTTAGAAAAAAATTTTCTAAATTTGTGCCAAGTTTTATCAAAATCTGAGCGTCGCACTTGAAGTACTTCTCCTGTCAGTATATTTTTAGAATTTCCTGTTGTAAACAAATGATGGCTGATTTCCCAACATGCCAGCAGTCTCCGTGGTTCTTCTACTAGCTGCGACATAAAGTCCTGACACATTTGCACAGTGCATTTTGTTTTTCTTTCGGACCCGTCGCGGCAATTCCCCGTTTTTGCACTAGCGACATGCACTTTCGCGCGAACTTGCCACTTTTCTCGCGCGACACCCGCGACAAAATGTGTCAGGACTTTATGGCGCGACTAGTAGTTGCCCGCAAGTGTGGGCCCGCCGCGGCGCGCCGTTGCTCTTTGCGGAGATTCGGCAATGCGTTGTAACGTCTTTGGAGCGTGCAGACAAGTCAAGACATGTTTTTAGACAGTAAAATTTCATTTATCAAGAACTGCTCTGGACAAATTTTAGAACCAAACCTTGACTTTCAAAAATTTTTTTGTAAAATACGTTACACATTACGGTTAATTGTGAATCCAAAAATCTCCCAAACAAAAATCCCATTTTCATCAAAATTTTTTTATTACGAAAATGGCGAGAGAGCACAAAGAATAGTAAAAATAATATCCTTGAGGTCAGTATTCAAAAAAATATTTTACTCCCGAACAATAGGGAGGGTTTTTGAATAATAAATAGTCATTTTCTGTGCGCTTTTCTCTGTTTAGAATCTGCGGAAAACTGTGGCTTGTGTTTTTTCAGACGGGAAATTTTAGAAAATTTGGTAATTTCAATTAAAAAAATGATATTTTGGAAATACTAGTCCGTTCGTAAAGTCTCTGGAGTGTGTACTATGATGTTTTTTTGGAAGCCGTATGTATATATCAATCCGTCGGGAAAATAATGAGCACAATGTCGATGTGCTGATCGCGTCGCTGAAGTGAACAGGACACGTTTTGACCTTATTTTGGGGAAGGCTACATTTTATACGATGAAAAGTTTTTAACGTATAAAATGTCACCCAGGCAAGAAATTTCGCTGTGAAAATTTGATTTTGCCGCGACACAACTCGTTTTCTCGGCGGCGATGCGCTTTTCGATGCGACAGAGTGCTCATTATTTTTCCGACAGACTGATGCCACAAAACGAGATTTTTTGTCGCTGTTTTAAGTAATAAAAACTTCAAAAAAAAGGCTATTGAAAAGATGTTTTTGGTGTTTCTGCCAATTTTATCTTGGATAAGATAGCTCATTATTTTTGGGACAGAGTGATATTAAAAAATTTAAAAAACTAAATTAAATTTTTTGGAACATTCATTTTATTCCAAAATGCAAGTTTTTATTATGCAAACATAAAAATGCAAAATTTTTAAAAAATGTTGTAGATTCGGGCAATTTTTTCATAATTTCGAAGTTCTAAAAACTTCAGAAACTATCAAGAAATATCTAAAAAATCAGTTTAAGCAGATGGGGTATTGACTGGAGAGTTTGGTCGGCTCTTGCTGTGATCGACGGGCTGGGCCAACGGAGCGCATTGCCCGTTGCAAATCGCTCCTTGTCGCTCAACTTGAGTTGGCTTCAAGTCATCTCCAACGTGGTACAGAACACTGCCGATTCCGTTGAGGGTTACCTGGAAATAAAAAAAAATTTTGACCAAAAAAAGAAACGAAAAATTGAATTGGAGGCCAAAAAATGGCGATTCTTAATCCCTGTTACCGTATTTTACAACGCTTTTTTTGAAGAATAAACTTTTGAGATGAAACAAGGCCAAAAATCGAACCGCACAGTGCGTTGAAAGCCACTTCGCGATACCGACCGAACAGTGTAAATATCAGTCTGTCGGGAAAATAATGTGGACTTGTCGCAGCGTCGCCGGGAAAATGAATTGTATATATCGTAGAAAAATCAATTTGCTTTTCCCATTCAGCGACGCGATGGCGCATCGACACTGTGCTCATTATTTTCCCGACAAACTGAGATGGACAGCGACGGACCTGATCCAGTGGCAAAAACGGTAACGTTTTGCATCCAGGAAGTATCAGAAAAAGTGGCAAAATACCTCCCTCTCCAAGTGAAAAAATCCGATTTCAAAAACGCGCCCGCTCTTTTTGTGAGGCGCACGTCAAACTGAGGAGTCCGGGGACCGGAATAGACTCTTCGCTATCGGTTTTTTACACTTTGTCTTGATTTCGGAGAGAAAGAGAGAAAAAAGACACGCAAAAACGTACTCTCTCGCCCCAAAAATTCCCCATTTCTTACCCGACAAAACGTTTTTTCGCGTCTTTTTTTGGCAAATTGCCAATCCATTTACTGGACTGTTTTAGCTTATCTCAGTTTGACGTGAGGCGCCCTTCAAGACGAAGTCTTTTCGCTTGGAGAGGGAGGCATTTTTCTACATTTTTGATACTTCCCGGATGCAAAATGGTACTTGCCACTGGATCAGGTCCGCCACTGTACACGCCAAAAGTTTTTTCGAGCCTAGTATATAATATCACTTGCCTTAGCGCTCTGCGCCTCTTTTCCAGCCTCGTCGTACACTTGCAGCACAAATTCGCCCAGCCCGCATTCGCTGGCCTTCTCTTGGAAACGCTCCTGTTGACGGTTCTTGGTGAAGGACCATCTGAAATTCGTGAAATTTCAAAAAACATCCACCAAGGTATTTTACAAACTTTCAAATTTTCTTTTTCAAAAATTAGTTTGCAAATTAAAATTCGAATAAAAATTGATGTGATTTTATGTATTTTTCATGACTCACTTATCGCTCTTTTTCCCGTTCGGCGATGTGACCTGGGCTTTAAACTTTTTGTCGGTTTGCGATTTGACCTTGATGATGATATCGCAGGCCTCGCTGAACACCAAGACCGCAACCAGCAGGACAATGCAGGCGTTTTTCATGGCTAAACAGGCGATTTAAAGAAATATCAGTCTTTAGGGGAAATAACGGCGGATTGTCGCATCAAAATGTCTCGCCTCGCCGCTGTCGCGCACCAAATCCCAAGCCGCGGCTTGCAGTCGCAAAGCAATGATGGGCGGTTCGGAGGCGCGACGATCCGCCGTTTTTTTCCCGACAGACCGATATCAGTCTGTCGGGAGAATAATAAGCACAACTTCACTTCGAAAATAGCATCGCCGCCCAGAAAATGAATTGTGTCGCGGCAAAATCAAATTGCTTTTCACTTCAGCGACACGATTGGCGCAGCGACATTGTATTCATCATTTTCCCGACAGAATGGTGGTCATCAAATGAGAAATAATGAATAATTTTTTAGTTCTAGATAGGTCGAAAAGACCTGACATGTTCGCACCGTGCGATGACTTTGTCACGAGTCGCATCTAAACGGCGATCAAGCAGAATTCACATGCTCACCGGTCATGCACAATAAAATGTCAGTCTGTTGGGAAAATAATGTGGATTTTTCGCATCAAAATAATTCTCGACTTGTCGCAGTCGCGCACCCAAATCTGCAGCCGCGGCCAGCCGTCGCAAAGCGATAATGGGCGATTCCAAGGCCCGGCGAATCAATCCACATTATTTTCCCGACAGACTGATAAACAGCGCATTTTTAGCATGCGCTTTCCAGAAAACACCGAGATCTTTAGGTCGAAAGTTGATGAACGCTCAAAATTTTGAGAAGTAGACTGCGGAAGCAAAAAAAATACGGGCATAAAAGATTTTTCGTATGGCCATCTCTCCGCATTTCTCGTGGGTCTCTCTAAAAAAAGACCGTTGAATATCCCATGCGCCATTTTTAGACCTATGACTCCTCTTACATATACCACAATGTTGAAAAAATTTCAAAACAGCAACAAAATTTAGCTCAAAAAAATCTCGCTTCTACATCTCGTAAGCTCAAAAAAGATCACAACGATAATCGCTGATCACTCGGAGACTAAATGAAAACACAAATGCTCTCTGTTTATCCGCCCATTTTATATGAATCACGAACGTTTTTACGGTCGTTTATATCGGGAGAAAACAATTCGGCCCCAAAACTTTTTTTTGAGTGAGAGAGACAGACAATAACAGGCGACCTTCAACCGAATAAACAGGAAATATATTAATGACAAAACTTTCGGAGAAAGCAATCGAAACAAGTGATCAGAGCGGGGAAGGGAAGGAATCAAGGAAGTAAAGCAGACTAGGCCGAAAAAGATGGCCAAAAACCAAAGAAAAAAGTTTGCGGAATTTGTTGACGCTGAGGTGTTCGTGATGTAGGTCATCAACTGGCTTGTTTTTCCAAAAAACAAGAGTTAAATTCAATTCAATTTCAATTTATTTACACTAATCACATGCAAAAAATCATGGAGTGTATCATAACTGTTTCCATTGTCCGGTCAGTGTAAGATCGCTCCACCGGAGGCCATGATTCTTGCCAGTATCGTCGATCCATCTCATCCTGAAGCGCCCAAACGGTCGTGTATAGGGGGATGTCGAATTCATGCTGATCACTTCTGTTTCCAACGATTTCTTGAATTGTTTCAATTTTCCCTCGGTTTGGATTGATCTAACATTGACAGCATGAACTTGAAATCCATTACGATGAAGAGCTACTGTCCCAGGCGAAGCCCTTTGTGCCCGCAACGGCATGGGTGGACAGGAAAACCGACCGCTCTCCAGGAAGAAAATCGGAATCCAACAAGAGTTCATGGCCGAATTTTGGACAACCCCTCTGACCTCGGACATCTCGACCTGTGGCTCCATACCCCATAGAAGTACTTTCCTTGTGAAAAAACACGCTTTTAAGTGTCTTTTAAAAAAGAAGAGTCACCACAATACTGAAGGAGATTTTATTTTTCCAGCAAAATCTACGGTAAATCACCCATAATAATTCGAAGATCAAACATCCTGCCCTTCTCCATCACGCTTTCCTTTCATTGGTAGCCATTCCATCCTGGCGTTTTTTTGGTCGGAGAAGATTCTTGGGTATCATCGTCGGTGGGAATTAAGAAAACTCTTTCGTACGGCTTTTTGTTCTCAAACCAATAGTCCTTGTATGTGAACTTGTACGTTTCTTGGAGCTGAAAATGCAGAGAGTCAAAAAAAACCTCAAGTGGTAAAAATGTCCGTTGGGCATTACACGGCAACCCGAAGGGTTTCCTTTCGACACTTCGCCCATTTTGTATCGGTTGAAACCAAACGAAATGTCGCAAAAGAACTTTTCGTGGGATTTCGCGACCGAAAAATATGTTTCTCGGAATTATTTTATTTCTTTTGCCAATTTTGACACTTCGTTTGGACGAAACTCAAAAGTGGGCGGGAAGCATTTTTCTTCTGTTTCGGGTTGCCGTGCATTAGCCCCTTCCGGACGATTAGGTACCTCTATTTGAAGAGCTTTTCATTTATTGTTACTAATGGTTTGACTTTTTCGATGAAAAGTCGGTTTTATATGTAAAAATACAACTTTACAGGGCTATTTAACTCTTTCGAGTCGTAATTTCCGTGCAGAAATGAAAGAGCGTACCCTAGCGAGTAATAATACAATAGTGGCTCCGCCCATCGAAGCTTTATTTGGGACTTATGACAAAAATTGCCCAAAAGGGTACTCCCAGCTTACACAATTGTTATAAAATTTTTGTAGCGAGCTGTCAAGGAGAAACCACCCCTAAATCGATAACAAATCCTATAGTTGTCCGACTTGGACGGTTCTCGGATGTAAAAGTAGCAGGATTTGTTTCGATTTAGGGGTGGTTTCTCCTTGACAGCTCGTTAAAAAATTTTTATAAGAGTTACGTGAACTGATAGTACCTTTTTTGGACACTTTTTCATAAGTCCCAAATAAAGCTTCGATCGGCAGAACCACTATTACAATATTACTCACTGGGGTCCCCTCTTTCATTTCTGCGTGGAAATTACGACTCGAAATGGTCAAATAGCTCTGTAAAGTTGTAGTCTGGGTCATGGGGGGCTAAACTGGACTGGGGGGTTGTACTACCTTAGCCCCATTTTTACACATAAAAACGACTTTTCATCGAAAAAGTCAAACCTTTTTTCATTCACCCACCTCGTCCAGATAGGTAAGCACATCGTCCATGTAGATCTTGTTTGTTCTGTCCTTGTTCCAAATCATTTCGGCCAAATCGCAGATAATTAAATGCGGGTCGGAAGTTCGCCTCACTTTCTCGAAAAATGCGTTCTTCATGTCCAGCTTCTCTTTTAATGCAACCTGACCACCGAACAGCGCTTCCTTCACACCAAACTTCTTTACCTAACGGCAAAAAATTGGAAAATTGTCAAAAACATTTTTACCCAAGCAACGGATAAAAAAGTCCGCCTTACCTTTTGTGAATCATTCACACTCATCCAAGGCAACTCGTTCAAGAGGATGAGGACGACCATGATCAGCCACGACTGCATGTCGTCCACCATGCTGGTGGGCTCGCGTCGATGACACGGCGCTGACATGAAGTCGGGGCTGCCGTCCGCACCGCGCACCGCACCGAAACGTTTGGCCAGTCCAAAGTTGCACAGGATAATCTAAAAATGATAAAATCAAAAAAATGACAGGCCTTGGCCATCCTGAGAGTGCGCGAAATGGGCCAAGGAGTCCAACAGTTGGGCAAAATTTGACACTTGCGGTTTTGAGCATGAAAAATTATGGAATATTGCTTATCAGGGAGAAGGGAACAGAAGGGAACGTGCCCACATTTTATGCGAAAAATTGACAGGTATATAAAAGTGAGGAAACATCTCCGATTTCGGGGTTTTAATAAAGACGCTAAATTTGCTTGCCACTTGGCCCGAAACCAGTTTTCTCCTTTTGCTTTCCAAAATGGAAAGCGAATTCATTTGGGTCAACTCTTCTCCCAAAGTACGAACTCTTCGTTTATGAAAGAAAAAATATTTTTGTCTTTACAATGTTGAACACGGAGCTTTTATAGATCGATAGGACTGAATTGAATAAAAAAGATACCACATAAGAAATCGTAACTCGGACCAGTTAAAATATATCTAATTTAGTGAATGTCCGTCTTAGGTATCCATAAAAACTCCATGGTCAACACCACAACTGCAAAAAAAAATGTTTTTTTTCGGAAAGGAAAAGTTGGTACTTTGGGAGAAGAGTTGACCCAAATGAATTCGCTTCCCATGTTGGAAAGCAAAATGAGAAAACTGCTTTCGGGCGAAGTGGCAAGCAAATTTAGCGTCTTTTTTAAAACCCCGAAGTCGGAGATGTTTCTTCACTTTTATATACCTACCAATTTTTTCGCATAATGTAGAAACATTTCCTTCTCCCTCGGAAGCAATAGACGTAACTTTTCATGCCCAAAACCGCAGGTGTCAAATTTTGCCCAACTGTTGGAGTAAAATTTTTGGCTGTGTCTATAAAATGTGAGTCACTGAAACCCTGAGTGTCTCAAAACCTTTTCGCACCGTGCGACAAATCAAAAAAGGAAAGAAAAAACCCCAACTCCTCACCGTATTCCTGTATTGAGATTTCTGCATGTAATTATCCGGCTTCACGTCCAAATGAGCGTAAGTCAATTGTTGGAGTTGCAAAATCGGTCGCAGGAGGTGGTAGATGATGTTCAACTTTTGTTGGAGCTGGAGTTTCGTCTTCAGAACAACACTCATGTTCCGATAATAAAAGGGGAAGATCATGTACAAGGTGGACGGGTTTCGGCCCATCGCCACGATACTCGCGATGAGGTCTTCTTTACCTTCTCTGAAAAAGTCCAGACGCCTCAAACAGAAAAGTGCCCAACAAGAACCCAAATTGCACGTGAATCAGAAGAAAAAATTTCCCGCCCCTTTTTGGTGATTCGTTCAAAACGAAATGTCACTAACCGATAAAACGCATTTTCTTCTCTTTCTTCTTCCTTTTCGAGAAAAAGGAATTATTTCCGGCGAGAAAAAGTGCCGATAATTTCCCGACATTTCGTCTCTCTTTTAAATCAATGAAAAAGACACGAAGTTTCGAAACGGTTCAGGAAATGCGCTATATTGACATGAATTGGTGCTTAAAGTAACACGCGCTCCGCTAGTATACTAGAAAAAAGTATATTTCCAGCCAAACTCACAAGAGCATCTCCATCCGTCGTGTCTTCATGAATTCCCTTTTGGCGCGGCGGAGTTCCTTCCCATTCGAGGCTTTTACAAACTTAACGGCCACAAATTCGTCGCCAATGTATCCAACTCGGTACTTGTAGACCGCACCGAATCCTCCTTGGCCCAACTTCATAATATATACGTAGGTTCTTATTTGATTGATTACCTCAGGGACCGCCCCATCAAACTCAGGATCGTCGACTAACTTGACCCCTTCCAAACTATCGACGGGCATGTTGTCCATTGGATTATACGTTTTCATATTTTCGTCCACATTCCTGCAAAACGTAACGTCAAATTACACCTGAAAATGATCCTTCTGGGCTAGAGATGCAAAGAGCACAAAGATATTCGCAAAAGGTTTTCATTTCTTGAAACGCCCTGCAAAAAATGCTTAATTTAAATTTTCGAACGAATCCTTATTCTTGGCCAAAGTCCGATTTCTTTGCCGAAATTTTTATTTTACAGAAGAAGTATATACCTCAAGTGCGACGTTCAGATTTCTATGAAACTTGGCACAAATTTAAAATATTTTTGTCTAAAATATATGCGAGAATCCCGGTTCGCGCTTTGCAGAAACAACCGAGATTTTTAGATCCAAAGTCGGTGAAAATTTGACATTTTTTGCCGAATTTCGGCACGAAAATTTTCATGCCTATTTCTAACATAGAAGGTAATGTTTCGACAAAAAATATTTTTTTCCGCACAAAGCTAGCAAAGTTATGGTTAAAAAGTATTTTTATCTCTGACCGCTCTCCGCGGTTAGCATGCTCTCTCGGCGGCAAAGATCGTTCCAAATCTCGGCGGCGCTTGCAAAGCGCGAGCCAAAACTTTCAGGAATTGATATTTCATTCATGCCCGACATGTGTGTAAAATCGAAAGAAAATTTGAGCATCGCACTCGGGGTACTTCCATTGTTAGTCGAATTCTGAAGGCGTCGTCGAAATTTTTGAGAAAAACGTTGATTTTTGTCTTACCCAAGCGAATCCTCGGCGCAGTCGCCGTCGCCACCCACCTCCACCTTCTCTTTCTTTTCCTCCACCTTTTCGGCGACTTTCTTTTCTTTGACGCTCTCCGTTTTCTCCTTCATACTGTATTCCGGATATAAAACATATGGCTGTTCGGCCGGGGCGCTCTTCTTCTCGTCGCAGCTAATAAATCCTCGGTACTTCTAACAAGAATAATAAAAAAAATCAAAGGAAAAAATCAAAATCGCAGAGCGCAAACCCCACAAAACTCACCACATAAAAGATAATCCCGAAAATCGCCAACCCGACAGCAATTGAGGACATAACAGTTGCAACGGCAATTGCGACAATTGCGGAATAGCTCACGAGAGCCACCGGGGTTGTGGCCGTGGACGGGAGGGATCTAAAAAAATAAAAAATAAAGTTGAACGCACAACACACGTCGTTTGCGGATCGTGATAAGCGAACTGGAGAAAGGTGTTGTCGATCATTCCGTCGGAGATCCGTCTGTGCTGCTGACCGCCGCTCACAATGGTGAGAAATCGTTAAAATAAAAAAAAACGAGACAAAAATACACAATAAAAAAGTTCAAGGCAAAAAATGGCTTCGTGGAAATTGGACAGAGTGAAACTCGGCAGATTTTTTTCGCGTCAAGACACTTATAGCGGAAAAGTGACACTTCCGGAACCGGGGAAAAAAAAAGATGAGGCTTAGACCTCCCATCTGAACCATCTGAATAGATTGACCGTTATTAACTTCGGGTTTTTTTCTGACTGTTACTTTTTATTTAAGTAGTAGTGTTACAAAGTAACTTTTTTGAAAATTTTCCAAAAATATTCAATTTAGGGGTTTTCGAGGGCGGGGAGTTCGAAAACCACGTTAATTTTTTCTGATTGTTACTTTTTCTAAAGTACTGGTGAAATTTTTTGAAAACTATCCAAAAAATTACTTTTTAACATCACTACATAAGAAAAAAGTAACAATGAGAAAAAACTAACACGATTTTCGAAATCAGCATCGTCGAAAACCCCTAAATCGAATATTTTTGGAAAATTTTTAAAAAATAACTTTTTAACATTACTACATAATGAAAAAAGTAAAAACCAGAAAAAATGAACATGATTTTCGAAATCAGCACCCTCGAAAAGCCCTTAATCGAGTATTTATGATAAAAATTCAAAAAATTGCTACTTTACAGTACTACATAAGGAAAAAAGTAACAATCAAAAAATGAATGTCATTTTCGAAATCAGCACCATCGATTATCATAATCTCGACATTTTCAACGAAGAAAAATAACGCTTTTCGGTTTCCCCAATTGTCCACAGAATCTCCGTGGTTTTTCAAGCTGCCCACAAAGTGGTTGCCCGCACGTCTGGGCCCGCCACGGAGCGAAAAACAAGCAAAAATTTAAAAAGTATTTTTAGGACTGAATATCCTTGTTTTCAAGTAATGCAAACATGCAAAGGTCATGTTTTATAGGGAATCATTGGAACCGCACCTGTTCAAGGACTGTTCTCCGTGAAAATCTCAATTTAGTCGGAAATCATTGTTTCCACAACTGCCCATCACTTTCGATGTTAGCCCTACATAAAGCGATGTAACAGTTCAGTCCAATCATTGTCCAATAGCTGCCATTCGGTTGTTCGCCTCCGATCATGCGACTATTTCTGATATTACTTTTATCGGCTACTATAGCTTCGGCCGCACTCTTCAATTTGAAGGATTTCGGCAAAGAGTTGGGAGATTTGCTCGATCTGGACAAGTTCGAAGGCCTCTTCAAGGGAAACAAGATCCAGGACTTCATCGGCAAGTTGAAGAATGTCACCGAAAACACCAAGGGAGCCTTGAAACTGGCTTCAAGCCTGCATGGGAAGATTGATTCCTCGGCCAAAAAGGATTTCAACAACTTCTTCCAATACATCATTAAGTAAGTACTGCGTTTTCGCAGTGGTTATCAAATTAAACGTACCGTCTAAAATTTTATTTTCAGATTCAGCAAGAAGTACAAGGACAATTCAACTATCACCGAGCGCTTCCAAAAGTTCCGAAACTCTCTCAAGAGGGTTGACGCCCTCCAAAAGACGAGCAAGTTGGCCAAGTTTGGAGTCACCAAATTCTCTGACCTAAGTCCTGAAGAATTCAAGGAGAAGTACACGGGTATCAGGGATGTCGAAGACGTTGAACAATTGCATTCTACGGCCAGTCCAGCCACTCCAATTCGTGCCAAAAGAGACACGCCCGCTTCATTTGATTGGAGAGAAAAAAACGGAGTGACTTCGGTCAAGAGTCAGAAGGACTGTGGATGTTGTTACGCCTTCTCCGCCATCGGAGCCATCGAAAGTCAGTTTAAGATCAAGACTGGCAAAGAGGTCGACCTCAGCGAACAACAGGCTGTGTCTTGCACCTATAAGCAGAAGCGATACGACAACAACCAGGGATGCGATGGCGGGTCTGCTCGGGGAGTTCTGGCCTATGCTATCAACCACGGATTGACCACTGAAAGCGAGTGGAAATACACTTCCGGCGATGACAAAAAAATCCCTCCATGTGTAGCAAAACCGACCTCCGTTAAGATGTCAAAGCAGGAACGAGTTCCTCGCGGAGACGAAGGCAAGATGGCCGAATACGTTTCCAGCGTTGGTCCTATTGTGACTTGTAAGTACTGTTGGAGCAATTACAATTAGCACAGCTCGGTAAATCTCTATCAATTATTTTTCAGACATAGACTCTACCCAGATCATGGATTACGTATCCGGTATTGTGGACGCGCCCAAGCCCGCTAAAGGGTGGGCCGTCGACCACGGCGTTCTGACTGTCGGTTACGGCGAGGAGAACGGGACTCCCTACTGGATCATCAAGAACTCTTGGGGAGAGGATTGGGGAGAACAGGGATACGTCCGAGTGGTCAGAGGCAAGAACAGTCTTCAATTGGCCGACTTCAACTTCGCCGTCTATGCTTGAGCATAGACGTTATATCGTCGTTTCAAATTATTGCAAAATAAAGTGCGCTAAATCCAGTATTTTTAGAGAAAATTAAAAAATTTACTTTTTAAAATTACTGCATAAGAAAAAAGTAACAATCAGGAAAAAATAACATGGTTTTCGAAATCCCCGCCCTCGAAAACCCCTAAATCGAATATTTTTCGAAAATTTTCAAAAAACTACTTTTTAACACTATTACTTAAGATTTTTGAATAAATCCATTCAGATGCCATTTCTCTTCCTCATTATCTAATTGAATGGACGAAATTGCTCTGATCGGATCCCCAAGAGGCATAAAATTACGATCATCGAATGGGATATGAGGTAAGCTCGCGTTTGATGTGTTTTCTTCAAGTTTAGGTCAATATGCCCGGGAAACTTTTTGGATGTTGTACTAGGCACCAGATCTTGGTGGTTTTGGTCAGAACGGGCTGGAAGGTGAAAATTTTTCTGATGTGTTTCGTGAGTTTCATTGGGGGTTACCAGAGGTGAAGGACGCATGCCTTCAACCTTATTTTAGTCGGAACTTTGAAATATTCATCTAATATTGTAGTAGGTATCAATCTGTTGAAAAACTCCGAGAAATTATATTTTCGGCTTGATGTTGGCTGATAGATTGAGGCCAAACGATTTTCTCAAACAAACAAGGATATCATCATGGGTTCAGGATCGAGTTTTAGCGCTGTTTGAAGAAACAATTCAAATCTGAATGTCGCGGAAAACGTTTTACTGAAAAAAACACAAGGAAATGAAGGGACATCACATTAAAACCACATATCACTCTGGCTCCGGCTGAGTGTTATGTCAAAATCTTCTTTCTTCGGCGTTCTTCTTGCACCCTTTTTCATCACCAAACGACTGCTACCCTCTGAAATAGTCTTGGCAGTGTGAGCGGCAACGGCCGCGGCATGTTTTCCAGCTTCTTCCCTCTCTCTTCTCCGCCGGCTTCTCTCTTCGCTCAGTTCTTTGCGGGTTTTTTTTGGATACGCATTTTCAAAACGTGGGACACATTCTTGGTGTCCACAGTTTTCAACCCCACATGGTTGGGTTCTCTCCTCGGGCGGAATTATGACGATTTTTTCCCACCGCTTTGTGGTGTCCCACCAAGGGTCCGTGTATTCGAACTTGAACTTCTTTTGGAGCTAAAAATGTGGAAAGTCAACAACAAAAAAAAAACTGGTATGCAATCAACAAAAAAAATGCATAATCCAAAAAATTTGCATAGACTTCTTCTCATTTCTCGAATTTCCTCACCTTCTCCATATAAGACAGCACCTCGTTCATATTGATTGTTTCGCTTGCGTTCTTGTACCAAATCATTTGGGCCAAATCGTAGATAATTGCATTCTGGTCGGTGAGTGGCTCCAATTTCTTGAAAAACGCCATCTTCCGGTCGAAGTGCATTTTGAATACAATCTTACGCTTCGCATTCTTGGACGGGTCGTTGTGCTAAACCCAAGAATGGTTGAAAGAAAATTGGCAAAAAATGAAAGTCAAATCTGAATGTTCGAGAAAAATGCAAACTTCTAAAGTTCCCATGCGACCGACAAGAGCAAGTTGGCCTTACCTCGTTTCGGACATGCCAAGGAGGCTTATCGCTTCTGTCACGGAAGATAAACACGACCATGAGCAGCCACGACTGCATATCGGTTACCATGCTGGCGGGTTCGCGTCTATGGTTCGTCGCTGACATGAAGTCGGGGTTGCTGAAGGAATTGAACTCGTACTCCGTACCGAACATTTCCGCGAAACAAAGGTGGCGAAGGAGACACTGAAAATGATACAATCAAAAAACACAAAAACGACACAGGCTTTTGTCGTCGGGAGAGTGCTTTCGGAGCTCTCGGAGAGCCGTCAACCGACACTCCTGCAGATGGCCCCGGTAGAAAAAATTGTTACCTTTTCCGTCATAAAAACTTGGATTGAGTACGGAAAGGTCCGCTGCGGAAAGGTCCGCTAAAAAAAAAGAACAGAGGAGGGCGGGGGAGGGGTGGGGGAGGTTTTCGATGGCGCTGATTTCGAAAATCATATCAATTTTTTCTGACTTTTACAATTTTGCTTAAGCAGTAGTGTCATTTTCGCTGTAAAGACGAAAAAAGCGTCATAAGTTTTCTTACAGTACCATACAAGTTCGACCAAGTTTTTACCAATTAAAACATTTATTTTAAAGAATTGAGGATGAGAATTCTTCCTCATGAATTGAGGAAGAATTGAGGAACATTCAGAAGAAATGGATACAATTTTCAAAATCAGCACCACCGAAAACCCCTAAATCCATTACTCAAAAAAAAATTTTTTTTTTAAATTACTAATTAACACTACTGCTTAAGCAAAATTGTAAAATTCAGAAAAAATGGATACGATATTCGAAATCAGCGCCATCGAAAACCTCCCTCCCTCCCCGCCATCCTATTTTCTTTTTTTTAGCGGGCCTTTTCACGACGGACCTTTCCGTCCTTCGTGAAAAATTTGCGCCAAGTTTCACCAAAATCCGAGCGCCGCATTTTCTGTTTAAACTCCCACCCAAAGTCTCATCGCACCGTAAAAAAAATAATATCAAAAAAAGGTCCAACTCCTCACCGTATTTTCATCTGGCCTTCTCTGCATGTAACTACCCGGTGTAATGTTCATATGAGCGCCTTTCGCTTGTTGGAGTTGCAAAATCGGTAGCAGGAGGTGGTATGCGATGATGAGTTTTTGCTGGAGCTCGATTGCTGTCGTGTCAAGAAACGTAGCCATGTCCTGATAACAGAGCGGCACGACCAGGCATACGTTCTCGTTTCCGCCATAATCCAGAACCTCCGCGAGGAGACTTGGACTGAAAAAAAAAAATCCAACGTGGCTTGAAAAATGGATGCCTCAAGCAAAACCGCTGAATTTTCCCGCCCAAACCCACCAAGAGCTGACGGATCTCAAGACCTGATGGATCCCTTGGCTATTGCGGCATTCCGCAAAGGCGTCTAACACTTTGTCAAAAATCTTGACGGCCACATAGTCGTCGCCCCGACGTCCCATTCGATACTTGTAGACCGCGGTCCTTACCCCTTGGCCCAGCTTCCTTATAAAAAAGTAGGAGCGGAAACCCCCTACAAACATTTTGGGGATTGCGACAGGAAAGTCGTCATCCTCCATCTGCTTGGCTACCAGACTCTCCATATCAAAGAGTACATCGAAGGATTTCGGGTCTTCGTCCCTGAAAAAAACGAGAGGTGGAAAACGGCCGAAAACGAATTTTTTGGCAGAAATTTGAAATTTTTGTCGAGCTTTGACAAGGAAAGTACTTCTACGGAGTTACAGGTCGCAAAAAATCGTTTTCATTGATTTAAAAGAGAGACGAAATGTCGCGAAATTATCGGCACTTTTTCTCGCCTGAAACAATTGCTTTTTCTCGAAAAGGGAGAAGAAAGATAAGAAAATGCGTTTTATCGGATAGTGACATTTCGTTTTGAACGAATCACCAAAAAGGGGCGGGAAATTTTTTCTTCTATTTTGGATTGACGCGTGAGGATTTTTTCGCCCTTACAAACCAAAATCGGGAAGCTAATTTTTACATATTCTGAATGCGAAAAATTCTGCGATTTTGTGTGTCTCGACCTGCAACCCCATACCCCATAAAAGTACTCTTTTGTCAAAAGTTTTGAAAAACATCTTACTCATCCGATTCGTCCTCCATATATTCCAGGAACACTTCCCCGTCCTCATCCTTTTCCTCCTTTTTGAGGCTCTTCGTGTTCTCCTGCGCACTGTGGGGCAGAGGGGCGGTCACCGATGGCGGTTTTCCCTGGGATAACTTCTTCTTCTTCTCCTTCTTCTCCGTCTTCTTGCCGCAGCACATGCATATTTCCCGGCATTTCTGAATAGAAAAAGTAATAAATACAAAAAAACTATGCGGAATAAAGTCCATTTTTCAAATTAAATAGTTTTAAAAATTTCAAAACTAAAAAAATATACAGAAAAATCAAAAAAAAACGCCACAAAAAAATCCACTGCACGGCAAAACTACAAAGATTCCGAAAAATCACTGCACCGCAAAAAATAAAAATCAAACCCCCAAAAACTCACCACACAAACGACAATCCCGACGATTATCAAGCCAAGAAAAACCGCGACAGCGAGACTTCCAAGCACTAGCGCCGCAAGTTCGAGTTGGCTTTGGACAGCCACATCGGATGTTTCCGAGACAGGAAGAGCGCTGGAAAAAATTAAAAATCAACGAACGCAAAACCCACGTCGTTGTTTCAGTGGAATCGATATGCGTGAACCGAATGAAGGTGTTGTCGACCATCTCCTCGGTAATTGTGCTGGGCATCTCACAGCTGGCCAAGATGGTGAGGTATCGCTTAAATAAAGGTTTTAGGGCACGAAACATATTCAAACAATTATATACCAACTGTCACTTGAAATTTGTCATTATTTCGGCAAAGTTTTTTGAATAAAGTTGCCAAACTTAGCCACAAACTTACAAGATGATAGTATTGAGTCGGCGTATCCGGCGTCAAAATAATTGGGGCGGTATCGCATTCATGTGGTTCCCAAGGAAGCTCAAACTCATCAACGTTCACCTCCGTGCACGTGCCGTTCTTCTTAAAAATAAACGTTCCCTCCACATCATCGACTCCAAATCGTTCGGAGCAATCGATATTGGGTTGCTCGTGTTTTGCTTCTATTACGTCCAGCTTCTTATATATTAGAGATAGATATGAATGCTTATTGTGGATCACATACACCGCGTTTCCGAACAGATACGGGCAGGTTCTTTGGGTACAATCAGCGACCACATTCAATTCCTTGTCGTCTCCGATCACGGGACATTCCCTAAAAATAAACAAACAAGTTGCGACGATAGGGGACGAAAAGGCCTGCTAAAAAAGGGTGTGGCGGTGGGAGAGGTGCTCTATGGCGCAGATTTCAAAAATCAAATCTACATCGTACTAATTTTTCTGCATTAAGCAAAATGGATACGATTTTTGAAATATTCGCCATCGAAAAACCCTAAATCCACCATTCGACAAAAAAATCAAAACTTTACTACTTAACACTACTCCTTAAGAAAAACTCTCAAAATCAGAAAAAAAAACGATTTTTGAAATGTCCACCACTGATTTTCCTCCCCCAAACGAGCCGTAAACTTACTGAGGTTCTGGATCACTGCTGACTTTTGTCACTTGACCCCCAACAATTGTCTTGTCTCCTTGGATCGACATTTGCAGACGAATCCCTTGAAAGGCAGGACCATCGTACTTGATAGGGGAACTGAAAACATGCAAAATCGAATAAATTATGTTGGATTCAGTGTTTCTCTCCGCAGAAGAACCGTAATATAACCAGCAATAAACATATATATACCAAAATTTTCAAGTCTGATTGTGAATCGGTCTCCAACTTTTGACAGAAAATATTTTTTCAAAAAGTGTTTTCCTTAAACGGGAGCTAAGTTTAGGAAAACCTTTAGAAACCCCGTTTTAAGCTATCCCTAAAATTTTCGGCTGTTCTGAGATCCCAAAAAATACCGAGGACTTATGCTTTATGATGTTGTTTCCCAAAAAAGCCAGCCTACTACGATTTAGCCTGTAAGAATAAACAACATCCCCCTTCCTCTACTGAAAACAACAAAAAATTGCTTACGTTTCGAAGCCGGTCGCGTTATCCATTGTGACAAACTTTTCGATCGTCCCGTCCGTCACCTTGAACGACGTGACCTCAAAGTTGTTCGGCTTGACATCGCCGAACAGTGTGTTGCAAGCTTGCAAAGCCCGTATGATGATCGCGACTTTGCCCAAATCCATCGCCACGGAGAAAAGACTTCGTTCGACCGTTCAGCGTGAGGAAAATTGCAGCAACTGACCGAATGGCGACAAAACGACGAAAGAAAACTTTCTCTACGAACGTCACGCACTTTTATGCAAATTTATGCAAGACGTTGTGGGAAAATGGGTTTTAGACTCAAATTTTCGTTTTTTCCAAAAAAACGGTTGATTTTCAACTGAAAATTCTTCGAAAAACGGTTGATATAAAAATTTTGCCCGTATTTTTCGAACATGCAAGGGGCGACACGCTTTTGTCCGGTTTTGGTCGTGAATGGACTGGCAATTTACCAAGAAAAGACGCGAAAAAACGTTTTGTCGAGGAAGAAATGGGGAATTTGTGAGGCGAGAGAGTACGTTTTTGTGTGTCTTTTTTCTCTCTTTCTCTGCAAAATCAAGACGAAGTGTAAAAAACCGATAGCGAAGAGTCTATTCCGGTCACCGGACTCATCAGTTTGACGTGTGCCGTGCATGCGCTTTAAACCAACTATAAACCAAGTGCAATTTAACATTCGTTTATTACAAATACATTTCAGTGTCGCAATAAAAAATTCGCAAACATTCACGTTTATTCGCCAACCTTACTCCACCAGGGATCGTCAAAGCGAAACTGGAAGGTCTGTTGTGTCTGAAAGGGTTCGTTAAAACATGGCACGTGTTGCAAAACATTCTTATCATACAAAGACCTACCTTGTTCAGACATACCATGACTGCCGTCATGTCTACCGAGTCACCGTACTTCTTCTCCCATATCAATCCCAGCAAGGTTTTAATCAGCTTGTCTTCGGGCGTGTCCTCTTGCCAATTGGCAAAACTTGCGATTTTGACCTCCGCCATTCTCATGGAGGCTGCCATTACGTCAGGGTCCTCCCGCCTCAGGTCCTCATTCTCATCCCACGGCAACGTGAAATGGATCAGCTCGACGAACATGATGAACCACGACTGCATGTCGTCCACGATGCTGACCTTCTGCGTAAAATGGCACGGCAACGACATGTAGTCCATTGTCCCATTGCAAAAACTCCTCTTGGCGTCGAATCTCTTCACTAGTCCAAAATCACAGAGGACCACCTGAAACAAGCTAGTGCACAGTGCAGTGAAATGAGGAGGAATTTGTGCGCAGCACGTCAAATTGAGAAAAACTAAAACATTCCAATGGATGGATCGGCAATTTGCCAAAAAAAGACGCGAAAAAACGTTTTGTCGGAGAAGAAATGGGGAACTTTTGGGGCGAGAGAGTACGTTTTTGCGTGTGTTTTTTCTCTCTTTCTCTGCGAAATCAGGACGAAGTGTAAAAAACCGATAGCGAAGGGTCTATTCCGGTCCCCGGACTGCTCAGCTTGACCGTGCGCAGTGCAGTAAGGTGGAACGTCGTCAAGTTGGAAAAAGTCAACTGGGGAAACTGAAGTGTTATTTTTTCGACGTAAGTTTCGAAATTAGAATAATCGATGGCGCTGATTTCGAAAATGACATTCATTTTTTAATCACTACTATTTTGCTTATGTAGTACTGTAGACTTTCCACAATTGACTTTTTCCCCATTCGTCGCTCCCCGCAAAAAAAAGCGATCAAAAATTTCATAAAAAATTCAGAATCGAGTGTAGTGCGCAGACTGTGAAAAAATAAAAAAAAACCTTTTTTACCTTATTTTTCTTCGGCTCTTTTTGCATGTAGTTCTCCGGCTTGATGTCCAAGTGGGCGTATTTGATATTCTGGAGCTGCACGATACCCTGCAGATACTGGAACCCAATGTTGATCCGCTGGGCCATGGTATAATCGGTGAGATTCATCCGGACATTCTCCATGCAGCAGTAGTAAAACGGCATGACCATGAAAATCGAGGTTTCGTATTTGCCATAATCTATCACCTCGGTTACGTAAAGGTCTCTGAAGACAGACAGAATTGGAAAAATAACAAAACTTTCGGTGATATTTTATACGAAAAATTGCACTGTGCATTTTGGGTGACATTTTATACGAAAAATTGCACTGTGCATTTTGGGTGACATTTTATACGAAAAATTGCACTGTGCATTTTGGGGGACATTTTATACGAAAAATTGCACTGTGTAAAATTTTATTTTTAGGTGACATTTTATACGAAAAATTACACTATGCAAAATTTTTATTTTTGGGTGACATTTTATACGAAAAATTGCACTGTGCAAAATTTTATTTTTAGGTGACATTTTATACGAAAAAATTGGAAAAAATCAGGCCTACCCATCGATGAACTGTTGAATCTGACGAATCAGCATGAATTCCTTTCGAGCGTTCCTCAATTTGATTGGATCCGTTGTTTTTAAGAACTTCACGGCCACTTCACGGTTGCCCCAATCGCGAGTTTTATACTTATAAACCGCACCAAACCCGCCTTGGCCGAGTTTCTCGACGAAGACGTAGGCGTTGGATACACGAATGACCCCAGGAACTTGAAGATCGAAATCCTCGTCGTAGAACACCTTTTTCCCCTTCAAATGCATCACTGGTACAAAGTCTAACGGGTTCTCACTTTGAAGATTCTCATCAATATTTCTGAAATTAACACTAGGAAAAACGGATTTTGAGTAGTTTTAAAATGACTGCAGGCACCCATTAAACACATGACTAAAATGTTTTTTGCTAATTCTCTCATTAACCTACTGTAATTTACAATTTAATGTTTTTACAGTAATCGACTATTACAACATAACTACTTTTCAGAACTGGCTGAAATAGCAAATACTGACGTTTTCTAGCACGCCAGTCATTATGAATTCAGAATTTCGGAAGTCGGGTTACTGTAACACACCGCAATGCGGTTTCGGCCGAACAAAATCGGTCATAAAATTTTTTTTTCTCAAATGCCGCAGCTGATTTTTATATATGTTAACCAGCGTAAAATTCTGCTCTAGAAACTTCCAAAAAAAGTGTAAAAAGTCATCATCACTTTTTCGTGGTGTAGTGGATTTTGGTCAAATTTAGTAATCCAGCGGGCGCGGGTTCGATCCCCGTGGAAGGAAAATTCGTAAAACTGCGCAAGACTTTAAAAAATTGGTTGATATAAATTGATTATGTCCAAAAGAAGTATAAAAAATTGTATTCAACTCCGTATTTGAAAGCATTTTTTGAAGACAAGGCCAATTTAGTCTAGGCAATGGCTACGATTTGTAATATTTAGGTTTTTTAGCCTTCTGAGTTCAATAGCTCTCTTTTTCAGTTCGCCAACTCACCCATCCGAATCCTGTTCATAGACTGTAGCCTTGTTTTTCGGGATGTTCGTCTTCTTCTTGGCTCGACTCGCAGTCAAATCCATTTTTTCCACCGCCTTTTTATCTCCAACTTTTTCAGCGTTGACCTTCGGCTTCTCCTCAATTTTCCCGCTGCTAGCTTTGGCTGGGACTGGTGCTTTGACTGGGCCTGGTGGTGGGACTGGCGCTGGCGCTTTGGCTGGGACTGGTGCTTTGGCTCGGCCTGGTGCTGGTACTGGAGCTTTGGCTACTGGTGTTGCCTTGGCTTGGACAACAACCTTCTTCTTGCAGCAACAGATACACCTTTCTCTGCATTTCTGGAAAATTTAAAAAAAAATAGTTAAAAAATATTTTAAAATTTCTTAAAAGAGAGTTTTTTACAAACTGAAGCTTCCCTCCAAGGGGCCCGGACATTGTTGCAACGACCATCACCAAATTTCTTGAAACTAGGCCAGTAGAAGGGCCTGGGCATGCTGATGAAAAGCGAAGAAGGGTTTCGCGAAATTTCATCCATTCCGGGATTAATGTAACATTTTGTATTTTATAAAGTGGCGTTGGTTGTGGGCCGGGTGATGGTTCTATGAGTCCAAAACTTTTTGTGCGACTGTTTTCGACCATGACCAACATTTTCCTAATTGAAATGTTTTTTGTATCTCTTCATCTTTTGGTAGTACCGTAACCCTCAACATACCATATCGATTACTGCCAAAATTTGGGAAAAGTGTAACCAGTTTTTAAGCTTGATTATAAAGGTTGGACACACTCTCCGTAAAATAAGACCAAAAAATCCAAAATAAAAATATAAGTTTTTGAGATATACGCGTTCAAAGTTGCTATGTTCGGTTACTGTAAGACCAAAATGGAGATGATGAATTTTCAAACGGTACCATTGATTGCCACGCCTCACCCATTAATAGACTAGCCTGAGAAAAATATTTTCAGATCAAAAAATAAATATTTGAGGCTTTATTTCAGGCTTTATACGATGGTTACTGTAGTTTCTAACTTTTGTCAATTTCGCTAACCATTTTTTTCAAATGACGCATTTAGACCAGCTATCCCATTGAGAAATGTGTGTACAACGTAAAAATCAAAAAATCAAGGTTACAGTACTATCAATTCTTGAAATAAAGGGAGATTACGGTAGCCGTATCCGCTTTTTTCGTTGTTTGGCCGCGGCATTCTTTGGAGCTGCCAGTGTAACCAGATTTGAGACTGGAAATTTGTTCAGAATGGATAGAGGAGTATTTTAGCAAAAAATAGCGAAAATAAAAATATAAGTTTTTGAGAAAATCCGGGATTACGGTCATTTTAGGGGGTTTTTGGGCCGTTTGGCCGCGGCATTCTGTGGAGATGCTAGTGTAACCAAATTTGAGACAGGAAATATGTTCAGGATATACAGTGGAGTATTTTAGCAAAAAATAGCGAAAATAAAAATATAAGTTTTTGAGAAAATCCGGGATTACGGTCATTTTAGGGGGTTTTTGGGCCGTTTGGCCGCGGCATTCTTTGGAGCTGCTAGTGTAACCAAATTTGAGACAGGAAATATGTTCAGAATATACAGTGGAGTATTTTAGCAAAAAATAGCGAAAATAAAAATATAAGTTTTTGAGAAAATCCGGGATTACGGTCATTTTAGGGGGTTTTTGGGCCGTTTGGCCGCGGCATTCTGTGGAGCTGCTAGTGTAACCAAATTTGCGACCGGAAATAAATTCCCGCTGCCTTGGGAAGTACCTATGCAAAAAATCCTGAAAATAAAAATATAAGTTTTGAGAAATTTCGAAATTACGGTGATTTTAGGGGATTTCCTGTCCGAAATTACCGTAATCCGGGATTTTCTCAAAAACTTATATTTTTATTTTCGCTATTTTTTGCTAAAATACTCCTCTATCCATTCTGAACAAATTTCCAGTCTCAAATCTGGTTACACTGGCAGCTCCAAAGAATGCCGCGGCCAAACAACGAAAAAAGCGGATACGGCTACCGTAATCTCCCTTTATTTCAAGAATTGATAGTACTGTAACCTTGATTTTTTGATTTTTACGTTGTACACACATTTCTCAATGGGATAGCTGGTCTAAATGCGTCATTTGAAAAAAATGGTTAGCGAAATTGACAAAAGTTAGAAACTACAGTAACCATCGTATAAAGCCTGAAATAAAGCCTCAAATATTTATTTTTTGATCTGAAAATATTTTTCTCAGGCTAGTCTATTAATGGGTGAGGCGTGGCAATCAATGGTACCGTTTGAAAATTCATCATCTCCATTTTGGTCTTACAGTAACCGAACATAGCAACTTTGAACGCGTATATCTCAAAAACTTATATTTTTATTTTGGCTTTTTTGGTCTTATGTTACGGAGAGTGTGTCCAACCTTTATAATCAAGCTTAAAAACTGGTTACACTTTTCCCAAATTTTGGCAGTAATCGATATGGTATGTTGAGGGTTACGGTACTACCAAAAGATGAAGAGATACAAAAAACATTTCAATTAGGAAAATGTTGGCCATGGTCGAAAACATACAGTTGGTAAGTTTCATCCGCAACGCTCCATCCCTCAGCCCATCACAATAGAAACTTTACAAAACACAAAATGTTACAGTAATCCTCAAATACAGCAAATTCCGCAAAAACGTTTGACACTTTCGATGTACGCCCTGTGGGTCTTCTATGAGCCAAATTTGAAGAAATTCGGTGATGGTCACCGCAACAATGTCCGGGCCATGCTTCACTTTGTAAAAAAATCCGTTTTAAATCAAAAAACACGCAAAAAAATCTAAAAATTTTTAAACAATTCAAAAAATCAAAAAAAATGACTGAATACGGAAAGGTCCGCTGCAGAAAGGTCCGCTAAAAAAAGGAAAGAGGAGGGCGGGGAGGAGGGGATGTTTTCGATGGCGCTGATTTCGAAAATCATATAAATTTTTCCTGAATTTTACAATTTTGCTTAAGCAGTAGTGTCATTTTCGCTGTAAAGACGAAAAAAGCGTCATAAGTTTTCGTACAATATCATACAAGTTTGACCAAGTTTGTACTAATCAAAACATTTATTTTAAAGAATTGAGGAAGATAGGCAAAAATTCAGACGAAATGGATTCAATTTTCAAAATCAGCACCACCGAAAACCCCTAAATTCATTACTCAAAAAAAATTTTTTTAAATTACTAATTAACACTACTGCTTAAGCAAAATTGTATCGAAAACCTCCCCCCCCTCCCCGCCGTCCTCTTTCCTTTTTTTAGCGGACCTTTCCGTCCTTCGTGAAAAAAATAACCGCACAATGCAAAAACTTCCAAAAAATCCTCAGTGCAAAAATTATTTTTTCCGCACAGTGCAGAATTCAAAAATTTTTAAAATTCAAAAAAATTAAAAATATCACCGCACAGTGCAAAAGACAATGCAAAAAAATTAAGAAAAAATTATTTCCGCACAGTGCGAAAAACCCAGAAGAAGGTAAAAAAATCGAAAAGTCACTGCACAACAATTATTTTTTTCGCACAATGCAGAATTAAAAAAAAAAAATCAAAAATTGATTTTTCACACATAATTCAAACCCCACAAAACCCACCACACAAACCACAATCCCGACAATTGCCAACCCGCCCAAAATTGAGGCCGCGACACTTCCAAGCCCAAACGTAGCAATTTCGAGGTCACTCATAGGAGGAGGTGTAGGCGTCGGAGTGCTGGAAAACAAGCTAAAAGTTTGAGTGAAAAACTCACGTCGTGGGCGGCTCGACATATGAGAAGCGGATGTACGTGCTGTCGATGATGGGTTCGAAGATCTCTCTGGGCATTTGACAGTCGTTCGTAATGGTGAGATATCGCTGGAAAAAGGGTGATATAAATTCGCGATTACATAAGAAATTTCAAGACAAAAAGTGGGCAAGACTCCCATTCCCATCAAAATTGCTGGGGAAGTACCCCAAGTGCGACGATCAGATTTTTCTCGAATTTTGCACACACGCAGGCATAGACTAGATATTAATTCCTGAAAGTTTTAGCTCGCGCTTTGCAGGCCCAGCAGAGATATGCGGCGTCGCGACACTTGCGGGCAACCACTTTGCGGGCAACTGCCTGGCACTGATAAGGCCACAAATCTACTAAATTCATCCACTGCTTTCAAAGTTATGGGAATTTGTTTTCAAAAAGTGGTAAAAAATGCTTGGATAAGCTTTTGGTAACTATCTATCAGTATGGCATTAAGATCCTGACTCCTCGCAGCATCTAAAAAGACCAAAGCCTAGGAGTTTTTGACTATACCCGGAAATTTATGGTCGCATTCGTAACCCTGTTCCAAACTTTTGTCCCACCTATTTTTACGAATTTTGTGTTTTGCTCATATGAGCTTTCTGATTTCTACGGCTATGCATCTATTCCAGGTTTTAATACATTCCGATTCTAATAGAAAAGAAATCAAACTCCGATCTCAAGCCGCAAAGAAAATCTGGCCTGTTCCAAACTTTAGTCCCGGGGTATATTCAAGCCACTTATACGTCCGGAAACTTAATCCGCGACATCTAGCTGCCAAGTTCATCGTTTGAATTAACTGCTTTAAGCAAATGTTGGCTGATTTCAATACTAGTCGTTCCAGAAAGTGCGTGCACTTTTCTCCGCCTTTTTTGCACCGCACAGTGCAAGTTTTCGGGTTCCCCGCGCGACGCGATCCTTTTCGAAACATTTTGCACCGTGCAATTTCATTTCGTGCGCCCAAAATTTGCGCCCACTCCGTTGAGAAAAGCTTGTGTCGCAGCGATATTGGATTTGCACGGTGCAAAAGGTCAAATGCACCCCGCAAAAGGGGAATTTTGTGCACAGTGCGGCCCACGACAAAAAGTGCACGCACTTTCTGGAACGACTAGTATCATGCCCGCAGAATCTCCGTGGTTTTTCAAGCTGCCCGCAAAGTGGTTGCCCGCAAGTGTGGACCCGCCGAGATATGCAACGATCTTTGAGCGGAGAGAGTCTCGCTAAACGTGGAGAGCGATGAGAAAGAAACACAATTCTTGGCCAAAACTTTACCAGTTTCGTGCGAAAAAATTGATTTTTTTATTAAAACGTTACCCTCTATGGTAGAAATCGCCGAATCCACCCCCAAACTTACAAGGTGATAGTATTGGCCCAACTTCAACGGCTGCGAAATGATTCGATCGAACATCTCGCAATCCCGTGGGTCCCAGGGAGTCCAAAAGTCCAAAATCTTCACTTTCATGCATCTTCCGTTCTTCTTAAAAATAAATATTCCCTCCTCATCATTGACCCCGAATCGTTCGGAGCAATCGATATTGGGCTGCTTTCTTTCTGCGGCTATTCTAAATGTTCCATTCGACGCCTTAAATGCTACACATTTCAGTTGACGATTGTCGTTGATCACGTACACCGCGTCTCCGAACAGATATGGGCAGATATAGTTTAGAGAATAAACGACTTTCAATTCCTTTTCGTCTCCAAGAACGGGCTGTTGATAAAAATACCTGATAAAATTTGGAGCTGCAACCAGAGGCTTTAAGCTTACTGAGGATCTGTCTCGTAGGTTTCTTGGGTCACTTGACCTCCAACAAATGTCTTGCCGTCCCGAGTGGTCATTTGCAATCGGATTTCCCTAATTGGAGGACCATCGTACTTGATGACGTCTCTGAAAATACAGGGTGTTTCAAGAAATTTGGAACAAATGATTTGCTTATATCTTTGTGTTCTTTGCAGCTATCAACGAATTTCTTTTTGCTTCTAAAAATTGACAGCGTGCGTTTTTAGAATCTCTAAAAAAAATTTTTTTCGTCGGCGGAGGGCTCATTTCTCGGCGGAGAAAATTAGGGCCTTTTTTAAAAATCACAGCGTATTACGTGGCGGAAACGCCGTCGCAACGGCTGAAATCAAGTTTACGTTACACCTCCGTCGATTTTACGGTATGCATTTTTTGTTTTCGATTTTACGCGCACCGCGGAGGCGCGGCTGAGACTTCAGATTTCGGCGGACGTTGTTTTGGGCCTTCGGCTGTTGCAATTCATGTTGGAAAAGAGGTTGGGGTGATTCTTTGTTGTCATCCGATGCACAGATGGCAAAAATTTCGTGCTTTTTTCCCCGGCGGAGGATTCGGCGGAGGCTTTATCAAAGGGTCAAAGCAGTTTTACGAGTCCGGGAAAAATCTCAGCTACAAGAATCCATCAGAGCAGCATTGTCTTTCAAAGATTTTTGATTTTTTTGTTCCGGCGGACAAATCGGCGGAGTTTTGTTTTTACCCTTTGATAAAGCCTCCGCCGACTCCTCCGCCGGGGATAAAAAGCACGAAATTTTTACCATCTGTGCATCGGATGACAACAAAAAATCACCCCAACCTCTTTTCCAACATGAATTGCAAAAGCCAAAGGCCCAAAACAACGTCCACCGAAATCTGAGGTCTCCGCCGCGCATCCGCGAAAGTGCGTAAAATCGAAAACGCAAAAAAGCATACCGTAAAATCGATGGAGGTATTACGTAAACTTGATTTCAGCCGTTGCAACGGCGTTTCCGCCACGTAATACGCTGTGATTTTTAAAAAGGCCCTAATTTTCTCCGCCGAGAAATGGGCCCTCCGCCGACGAAAAAAATTTTTTTAGAGATTCTAAAAACGCACGCTGTCAATTTTTAGAAGCAAAAAGAAATTCGTTGATAGCTGCAAAGAACACAAAGATATAAGCAAATCATTTGTTCCAAATTTCTTGAAACACCCTGTATAACTACAGGGTGGGCCAAAAAAAATGGACATTTATTTTTCTTCGATTTTTCCTGCCATGAAACAGTTTGTGAAAAAAGGTATATATGGCATGAAAGTACTGTGTTAAGGGAACATATTTACTGTAGATGTTTTGTTCTATCTGCAAAAGTTTCCAACATACGGTTGCAGGAAAGTCACCAGGTCAGCGCGCCAATTCCCGCAGCAAAATTTTAAAAGTTCTTGCTCCTAAACTTTTTAGAGCGGCCGTAAAGACATACCAAGCGGTCTAAGCAGATCTAGGAGACTTGTCCCCTTAGGCTTTAAAAGGATTTAACCCAAGCTTTTCGGAAAATGAAGAACCAGTGACCAGAAGTTAGACACTCGGCCAGGGAAAATCGACCTTCATTTGGGCGCTTTCGGAAAAACAATGCTCTACCAAACGTGGTGAACCTTTTGACACTGGTTACCCTCATACGGTGTTTACTACTCTATGATGAATATACTAAACGCATTTTTGACAATAGTACAACTCAATGAGCAAGATGGCAAGCAAAAATCGATTTTTTTGACTTTTTGATGGGTCATCGCAATAAAACTTGGATTCTGAAGGTCAGCTGATTCCTCATTTTACGAAACTGACTTAAAATGGAAGAAAGGGGTCGTATAACCCTGATGTATAAGTATCCCGTCATAGTTATGCGGACCGTTCAAGAACGCCAACAAAAAAGGAAAAATTTTCTGGCCAAAAATATCAGCGTCTCTGGGTATTGCCGGCTAAACTTTTTTAAGTGTTGCGCACGGCTAGTGCAAGCTATTACCAAATCAACTGCTGGCTCATGTAAAGCAATGTCAGGTGTCTTATAGAGACCACTTTTTGCTATTAATAGCATGAAACAGGCTCACCTGCGAGTCTTCAATGTCAATAATCTCAAAAATTTAGAATTATCTAGATGGACCTCTTGTGGATCACGTTGCGAACTGGGGGAGTGCTATTAATCGAACATTATCAACTTTTTTGCTTCTCTGGGTTCCCCTTGGTATGTCCATAAACAGTCAACCCCCAGGTTTCGGCTAATTGTAGAAATTTAGGTCGGTAAAGATCTTTGGACCCACAAAATTTTTGGAAAACGTGGTCAGAATATGGGCTGGCCTAAAATTTTGGCTCGTATCAGCGATTCATAAAAAGTATATAAAAATTTAAATAGTTGTGATAAAGCAGGATAGTTGACAATTATAAAACTATTTTTCTTTCTATTGATAACGGTATTCGTGCCGGGATACACCAACTTTTAATCTTGTCCATTTTTTTTGGCCCACCCTGTATTATATTTATTGGGTTACTGCCCTTTCGGGGTGGGCCCTTCCGGGGTCGCAAATTGAGGGAGCCGGGAACCCCAGTATTTGCCTGACCCCGAAATCGCCCACCCACGTCAATCCAGCGCATTTCCTGAACCGTTTCGAAACTTCGTATCGTTTTCATTGGTTTAAAAGAGAGACGAAATGTCGCGATATTATCGGCACTTTTTCTCGCCCGAAATAATTGTTTTTTCTCGAAAAGGAAGAAGAAAGATAAGAAAATGCGTTTTATCGGATAGTGACATTTCGTTTTGAACGAATCACCAGAAAGGGGCGGGAAATTTTTTCTTCTATTTTGGATTGACGTGCCACCCCGAAAGGGCCTGTTTCCTTAGAAACCAAAGCTAATTTTTATATACTCTGAATCAGAAAATTTTTGCGAATTTTGTGATATATGTCTCGACCTGTAACCCCATACCCATAGAAGTACCTTTCTTGTATAAAAAAGCCCGAGTGTCGCGCTTGGGTACTTCCTTTGTCACTCAAAAAATCCCAAAAAAGTCTAATCCCAAAAGCATCTAAACCTCGAAAGACAAACGTTGACTTACTCTCGGAAACCGGTCGCATTGTCTGTCGTGGAATACTTTAATATCTGTCCATCGTACAGTTTGAACGACGTAACCTCAACATGATTCATGTCGCCATTAAACCGCACATTGCAAGCTTGCAAAGTTTGGAGGATCGTCGCGACCTTGTTTAGATCCATGCATACGGACGGGGGTTCGACCGCTCGGCGTGCGGAAAGATGTAAAAAGTGGTTTGACACGCATTTTCACATCAAATTTCAAAAAAAAATAAATAGTGCGAAGAGTTGATTTTTGGAGACCTGATTTTTGATTTTTTTTTATTTTTTTTTGTTCAGGGAAAGTATCCCAAGTGCGACCCTCAGATTTTTATGAAGCTTGGCGCAAATTTAGAATAATTTTTTCTTCGATATATGCGAGAATCCTAGTTAGCGCTTGGCGGAAACAACCGAGATTTTTAGATCGAAAGTTGGCGGAAATTTGACACTTTTTGCCGAATTTCGGCACGAAAAGTTGCACACCTATTTCTACCATAGAGGGTAATGTTTCCACAAAAAATCAATTTTTTCCGCACGAAACTAGCAAAGTTATGGGCGAAAAGTGTTATTCTCTCTGACCGCTCTCCGCGTTTAGCGTACTCTCTCGGCGGCAAAGATCGTGTAATATCTCGGTGGAGCCTGCAATGCGCGAGCTAAAGCTTTCAGGAATTAGGGCTTGGTTCATGACTGACATGTGTACAAAAGTTAAAGAAAACCTGAGCACTTGGGGTACTCAAGTTCTGAGTTGATTTTTGGAGACTTGATTTTTGATTTTTTTTTTCTATTTTTTTATTCAAGCCAAAATGTTTAAAAAATTGTCACATTTTTGCCAACTTTCGAGCTAAAAATCTCGGGTTTTTTCTGCAAAGCGCGAGCTCGGAACTGGCTGGATTTGTGCCAAGTTCATCAAAATCCGATTGTCACACGTTGGGATGTATATCGAAGATTTTATTTTCCGCTTTTCACTGCTTCAGACATGCTTTGGAACACATAAATGCATTATACCATGATGAGTCATCTCATTCATGACTGTCTCGAATCAGTTATACAGCACAATAAAAACGTAAAAACTTCCAATTGAAATCAAAAATTCGAGTTATCATAATTTGTTTTATTACTCTGACTTTTTGATTTTGTTGAATTGAATTTTTGGCGTTTTGTCCTTCAAAAGATGAATGGAAAAGGTGGCTTGGAAGATGGTAAATTTCCAATCCATAAATTGATACCGAAGGATATTGTGAATCAGGTAGATCTTTTTCATTTTTTTTATAGACTGTCTCAAGGGCTTCAAAAAGTTTGAGCTTATGTTCAAATTTGCGATTTCATCCGACTACTTTCTAGGCCGCACGGATTGTTGAATATCTTGGCGTCCCCTGCAAAGGGCGAGCTATAATTTCCAGGAATTGATGTGTGATCTATGCCTAAAATATATGCAAAATTTAAAGGGAATCCGAGCGTCGCACTTGGAGTACTTACCTTTTGAGTTACGCCAGGGATGTTTTAGTTGAAAAAAAGAAAAAGGGATGATTGAAGACGGAAGTTAAAAGATTTTCGTTTGTAGATTCTTGTACGACCTTGTTAGAGCTGTAGTTTTTGATGAAATTTAAGCAAAATTTTGAGGAAAATTTTAGAAGGCCTATACCAGAACTTTAGCTCATGCTTTGCAGAAAGAATTGAGATTTTCGTCCGAAAATTGGCTTTTTTTGCGATTTTTGACGTGAAAAATTTCACACCTCTTTCGACCGTAAGAGGTGATGTTTCCACAAAAAATCATTTTTTCCCCGCGAAACTGGCAAAGGCATGGCCAAATTGTGATTTTCTCATTGACCGCTCTCCGCATTTCGCATTCTCTCTTGGCCGCAAAGATCGTTCAATTTCTCATGGCCGCTGCAAAGCGCGAGCTAAAATTTTCAAGAATTGATAATACATTCCATGCTCAGCCTCTGTGCTGAATTTCAAGAAAATATAAGCATTTTGAACACTTCCATTTCCAGCCGAAATTCCTCCAAAAACACCCGGAATTCGATGGCCGAGGCACTGTTATCGCGATTCTTGACACCGGCGTTGACTTGGCCTGTCCTGGGCTGCAAGTCACGTCAACTGGAGCGCCCAAAATAATCGATGCGGTGAATTTCACCGGGTCTGGCGACGTGATTACAACCGAAATACGCAAGCCAAACGAAAGGAATGAGGTGATTGGGTTGACTGGGAGAACTTTGAAGGTAAAATACAAAGTCACAAGCTTATGCTTTGCTCAGATTCCGACCTCCTGGAAAAACCCATCAAATGAGTATCGTCTTGGGCTCAAAAGAGTGTACGAACTATACCCGGAGGATCTCCGAAGTCGCGTAAAACATGAAAAAAACAAAAAATTTAACGAGAAAACTGAAAAATTGATCGCCCAAGTGTTGAACCGAAAAAATCAGCATCTCGAAGAGTTTGGGAATACGACAAATAGCGTTGAGGAGCAATGGAGACGAGAAGATTTGCGCAGTCAAATGGATATTTTGGGCGGGTCCAGCGTCAATGATGATGACGGGCCAGTTTTGGATTGCATTGTTTGGCATGATGGAGAGGAGTGGAGGTAGTTAACAGCGTCAAGCACAAATTAAATTCAGTGGCCTTTTATGCTTATATTTTGTTCTTTGAACTATTTAGGGCCGTACTTTCTGAAAAGGTGACATTTTATACGGTGAAATGTTTTGTCGTATAAAATGTCGCAATAGTGAGATTTTGAAAAATCGAATGGTCTATTAGTAGAATCATAACGCGTTTCAGCGCGTTTACATCTTTTTCATCAGCCAAGAAGGCCGCTTCTTGAAAAGGCGACATTTTATACAATAAAATGCTTCATCGTATAAAATGTCTCCTTGGCAATATTAATCCTAAAGTATTGAAACCTCGTTAAAGCAAAAAGTTTAACATTTTGATTATTCGGAACATGCTTAGACGACCTGACATTTTATACGACAAAAAAAGTTTTCTATGTATTTTCTTGTATAAAATGTCTCCATTGCCATTCTGTTAGAAATGGTATACAACCAGCTAATTCTAGGGCGTGTCTGGACAACACATTTCAAGGCGACTTATTTAAGTGTTCGCCGATGACGGACTACAGGAAGGAACGGCAATGGGGATTCTTAACGCCGGAAGGTAAACTTTTGAAATTTCTGCTTGTTTCACCTACGGCAATTTTGCATTGCTCTGATAACCCCACATTCTCTCAAACCCTAAAATCTTTGCAGACGGTCTAAGCTACTGCTTGGCGATTCGAAATAACGGAGAAATTCTCGAAATTACCACGCCCTCCGGAGGCCATGGAACGCATTGTGCGCATATCGCTGCAGCCTATTATCCGGAGTCTCCGAAGGCGGGAGGAGTTGCGCCGGGCGCCCAAATTGTCTCGATTTGTGTTGGTGATCATCGAATGGGCGGCTACGGCTCGATGTTGGCGTTCTGTAGAGCTGTGAGGCTTCAAAAAGCATTAAAATTTTATGATTTTTTACAGCTCCACTACTGCGTTGAGATTGGAGTAGACATAATCAACTACTCCTATGGTAGTGTTCACCGTATGATCTCCAATTCCGTGGCTGTGGGACTTCTGAATCGACTGGTGGGCCAACATGGGATCCCGTTTTTTACGTCCGCCGGCAACGAAGGCCCCATTCTGACGAGTATGAGCGACCCCGGCGCGCAAACCCCACTGGTCCTGTGTGTGGGGGCGATTTTGCCGGAGGGCACGGACATGCTGTTGTATGGGGACAGTGAGGAGAGACCGACGAGGGTCTTTGAGTTCTCGTCCAGAGGACCAACGTGAGTTGAATACACCTGATTTGCAAAGGAAATATTCGAAGTCCTAGAGCATAATATGGCGAATATGAGTATGGTTTTCGACACGCACTTTATTAACTATAGACAAGTTTATTTTTATGAAAAAAAAATTAGCAAAAACGCGAAGTTTAACTAACAAAAAAACGCGCCAATGAAAACGCCGGATAATTATGCGTCAACCTAATATCAGTCTGTCGGGAAAATAATGAGCACAATGTCCAACGTTTTTTAGTTCCGAAGGCCGTCTTGGCCTCAGTTTCTCGGCCCCAGGCACTGCATGTGCCGGCCTTCCCTTCTACACTCAGACGTTGGCGGAACGCGAGGACGGCACGTCCATGGCCTCTCCGCACGCGGTGGGTTGCGCTGCGTGCATCATCAGTGGCGCTAAGGCCCTTAACATCCCGTACTCTCCATACAAACTCCGCTTAGCTTTGGAGAACACAGCGAAAATCCCAGCAAGCCCCAGTTTAACAAAACTGGATTATGGCCACGGAATTATCGACGTTGATGGAGCGTTTGAGGCTCTGCAGAAGATGGACAACCTTTCAAATTCTTTGGCTGACATTTCGGTTCGAGTCTTCTACGACTCGACCGGAGGAAGTAAACATGAAGAGCGAGGTGTCTACATTAGAGATGCCTATCAACTGGAGAATGCCAGCGACTACACTGTGTTGTTGGAACCGTACTTTCGAGAGGATAAGGGTGGGTTTAAAGGCTCATCTCTCTGTTGGTTTAACGGGAAAATAATAAGCGGAATTACGTATCGCATCGCCGCCGAAGAAATGAATTGTATCGCGGTAAAATCAAATTGCTTTTCACGACGCGATTGGCGCGACGCTCACTATTTTCCCCAAGAGACTGATACTTATAGTAGAAAAAAAATTTTGAGATTTTCAAATTTCAGCCGACAACGCGACACTGCACAACTTCAATATCCCTGTCCGTCTTTCTTCTGCCGACTCATACGTTAGCTACCCTAAAAACATCTACCTCACCAATAACGAGACTCTATTCCAACTGAAAGTGGATCACTCAAACCTAGAAGCTGGGAAAGTCTACTTCACCGAGGTTGTTGGTCATGACGCTTCCGCCGAACCCTCGGCCGGCCCGATTTTTCGCGTTCCAATCACCGTAATCAAGCCGCTAAAGACGAGTGAAAACAGTCTGAGAAAAGTGCTGACGTTGGTTGCCGGCCAGCCAGAGAGGGTGTTTTTGCGATGCCCGACGGATGCGACAAAAGTTGCGGTTACGCTAAGATCGTTGAATAAGAACTCGGCCGACTTAATCTTCTGTCAGTTCGCGGAGAAAGTAGCTTCGGGAAAATATGCAATTGTAAGTGGAAACGGGGAAAATAACTTGCCATATTCATCGTTGCTATTTATTTGCTGACTGTTCTAGCCTTACAAACTGGAGCCCAACTTCGAGCAAACCTTCTATGCAGACGTCCGCGACAGAAGCTCCTTCGAGTTCTGCGCTGTTCTGGATCTACACAACTTTGATCGCGAAACACGGATCGAGGTCGACTTCCGGTTCTCCGGCTGCTATCTGCATGCCTTTGAAATGGTAAACACCATCTAGCGGCATAAAGATAATGTCAGCGTCGTGCCAAACTTTGCTTATTAAAATATCACAATCCGTTATTTAGCAATCCGCCGCAGCCGTTGGAGAGATCTCATTGTTCAACGCGTTGACTTACGACGCGATCCGACCAAGAATGGGTTTTAGCGAAGCTGCAACCTATATACGACCAGTCTCGGCGAAAATTGAAGCCGCGAATGACAGAGTGAAGTTTATGCATGGTGCTGAGGCGTACACCCTTACCTTGACTTACAAAGTTCAAGTCGTTGAAGAAGGAAGCGTTTACTTTGGGTTTCTTGGAATGGACGGAGATTTTCAGAGTCATGTGGAGAGCCTGCAAGTCATGGTGTTCTTTGATCAATGTCTGGTGGAGCCGAAACAAGTAAGACAGCACGTAACCTCTCCCGATTAAGCCTTTCTTCCTGTGTAAACGACCCTTTTAGGGAGATCACTACCTCCAGCCCGGCGAATACCGACTTGTGGCCCAAGTCCGTCACAAAGATCAGTTGTTTCTCCGCAAGCTGAAAACAGCAACCATGGAGTGCCGCCGGCGGATTCCCTACACCGACGTCAAACTTAGCGAAACGTACGAGGGCGCGCTGAAATACGGCGACCAGTTGGAGTACCTTCCATTGCGACCAGGACAAACGCGAAAACTTTATTATGACGGAACCTTTGTTTATAAACTTCCAAAATGGCTGCAGCCGGGCGACTGCGTTTTTGGATACATTTACATTTACGAAAAAGACTTGAATCGCAATGTGACTCTGAAAATCAATGGACCAATCATCGATCCGACAGAAGAAACCGACAACGAGATGATTGCTCTCGTAGCGGAGGAGGGAGACAAAAAAAGTGACGAAGAGGGTTTGAAAGGTAAGTCGGATGCAATACCATGCATTTTTATGAAAACTATTTTTCAATTCATAAGGGAAGTAGTACTCCAAGTGCGACGCTCAGATTTTTCTAAGCCGCATCAATTAGCTTTCAGCCCACTTTTTGCAGAGGCAACTGAGATGGTCAACGACCTCTGCGGGCAGAAGTCAGTAAAACCTGAGCGTTGCACTTGAGGGTAATCCCCCTGCCCATTTGGAGAAATGACAAGTGAATGGCCCGAACACACTCATTGATTACGAAAATGCACATGCAGATAGACTAGACCAGACCGACTTTTTTTTTTATTTCTGACGTTGTTTTTGTTGGCGCTTCACGTTGTTTCTAACGCCCGAAAAAGCACACAGTTTTCAATATTTCTTACGAAAAATTGATTTTGTGGGCGGCTTTTGACTGAGGTAACTTGACTTTTCTTTTTCTTTTGTGTCTCTCATTTTTTGTTACTTTTTTCTGTCCGAGGGCTTTGTGCTGGGTTAATTTCCATTTCTTTCTCTCTATCGTCTCTGCATTTTCACTACTCTCTCATTTTCGAAAAATTCGATTCCTTTCTTCAAAATGTCGCTTTTATCAGGCCGAACCCGAAGGCTCGGCCATTCCAAAAAATTAAACCACGACAACCAGTCACGGCAGCTGCCCCTGAACCGGCCTCCAGCTGCAGCTTCCTCGCAACGCCGGGTAGGCAGCCCCGGGCGTTCTCCGACAGCAACTGGGCATCACAGTGCACGACTCGAGTTGGTTTTGAACCCGGTCGGAAGGAAGGGGATTGTACGGCCGAGGGATGAATGTACGGCCGGGAGGCGACAGGTCGCAGGGGGTAGACAGGCCACTGAGCAGGATGACAGGCCGCTGAGCAGGACGATAGGCCGCTGGGTTGGACGACAGGCCGCTGAGCAGGACGATAGGCCGCTGGGTTGGACGACAGGCCGCTGAGGAGGACAATAGGCCGCTGGGTTGGACGACAGGCCGCTGAGGAGGACGATAGGCCGCTGGGTTGGACGACAGGCCGCTGAAGAGGACGAAGGCCGACGGGGACTTGGCTGGTTCCAACGGGTTCCGGGTGCATTCCAACGAGGGGTGGACACGTCGCTCGAGTGGTGGTGGACTCGTCTTCCGATGTTGTGGCCAGGACTTCACGAGGAAGCCGACGATCATCAATTTTTCCCAGACTATCCGTTTTTCCGTTATACGTTTTCGACTGGGGTAACTGGCAATTTTATTTTCTGTGACAATCTCCCATTTGTCGTGGTCTCTATAAAACCATGGACTTTCGACTGGGGTAAAACTTTGATTTTCTTTTTCTCTAACTACCTCGCATTTCGCGTGTTCTCTCACTACAAAAATCTGAACTTTGCATTCTCTTCCCACAAGAAATTCATTCGCAAAAACAGTGTCCGTCTGAACGAATTCCTCATAAAAAGTTCAGCAAAAATCTTTCAGAGAGAACGCGCGACCTGCTCATCAGTTACATGACAACCACAACCGATGAAAAAGTCGCCGAAGAGACGTATAAGAAGCTGTGCGACGAGTTCCCGGACTGTCCGGGATTGTACTCCGCCAGACTGCAGATGTTGTTCATGAAACCGGAACGCAATGTTCTGGAGATTCGAAAGGCCGCAATGAGAATGTTGAAGATCGTCGACGTTGACGAGGTTTTCAAATTTTTGGGAAATGGAAGTCAGCACGACATGAACAAAGTTAAGAATGAAGAGTAAGCTAAGATTAAGCTGGATTAAAGTGCCGCACTTTCTATCACGTCTGGTTGGAAAAATTACGCTTGCATTTGCAGAAAGATGAAAGAAAAAGTCGCTCTTCTGAGCACGACCTACGGCATCCTCGTGGAAACCTTAATGGACGACTACCTCTCGAAATCCTCAAAGACTTCCCCAGCTGAATTCAAAAACAATTTTCAATTTGAGCCAGACCTGGGATTCAACGAGGCTCCCGTTCAGAACGAAGGAATCTGGGGACAGAAGGATGGCCAACTTGAACACAGCAAAAGTTCCACAAATCAAATCGAAAATGGGGCCAAATCGGCTTCAGAGAGACGAAAGGGGAATTTCCCAAACTTTGGAACAATCGCCAATGTCATTGTAAAGTTAGAAGAGGCTAAACGAAGAGCAAAGATTTTTGATGGAAAAGCAGAGGGAACGCCTGCAAAGGTGAGCAAAAGATAATGAAAAGAGCAAGTGCGACGGACAAATTTTCCTGTAATACAAGGCAACATAACTATTCGACCTATAGCCCTTTTGAAAGTTTATGGCATAGAGAACATCAAGACTAATCCGTATTTTACATTTTGATTTTTCGACCAAATTATCGACCATTTTTCAAAAACAAAGTTCTACTTCTAGTCCGTTCGTAAAGTCGCTGCAGTAATTTTTGGCGTTTGCATTGTGCAGGAAAAGTCATGGTGCGGGTGATAGCCCAAAAAAGTAGCCGTATTTACCCCACAAAAATATTTTTATTTAGAAGTCCCCTGCAACCGAGATGCAAGAAAAATCGATTACTCTTCCTGCTGAAGATTTCACAGTTCTGCCGGCGCCGCCCAAACAGAATGTAGACGAAGACCTGGCTGAAATCGACCGGCTCATGGTTGAATACAGTAAATTCCCGCCCAATCCACAGGACCTGGGGATCTTGTCGATCAAACAAAGTGTTTGCCATGAGAATTACGGGCTGGCCCTCGATGACTTGACCGGGATTCTGAGGAAACAAAAATGCCAACGAGCCTTCAAAGCGGCGATCCAGGTATGGCATACTGTAAAAAATCAAAAAATTCGGATGGCTTTTCTTTGCAGATTGCCGACATTCTCGGATGGACACATCTCGCCGACCAATGGAGAGACTCATACATCGCAAGATACTGCATTCCGAAAAGAAATTTTTAGTGATATCGGGTCGTGATTTACAATAAATGAGCTACGGAGAAAGCTTACGGCCTTGGAAAATTGAAAACCTGGTACAAGCGACATTTTATACGATGGAAGGTTTCATCGTATAAAATGTCACTTGCTTGAATTTTTGGAATGTCATTGTATCAAAGATTAGTTTAAACCACCAGTCACATAATAAAGAATGTCAACGTCGTCCAAATTGCAAAGGCGACATTTTATACGCTGGAAAGTTGCATCGTATAAAATGTCGCTTGCGTGAAATTTCTGGATACCCTTGCATCAAAGATTAGTTTTTATTACCACTCACACATATGAAACATGTCAACGCCATCAATTTGTAAGGGCGACATTTTAAACGATCGGAAGCTTCATCGTATAAAATGTCGCTTGCTTGAACTTTCGGGATATCATTTGGTCAAAGATCAGTTTTTACCACCACTCACGCAAATGAAAAATATCAATGTCGGTGAATTTGTAAAAGGGACGTTTTATACGATGGAAAGTTTCATCGTATAAAATGTCGCTTGCTTCAATTTGCGGAAAAAATCCCACGGATCGTAACAAAACTGATTCTCCCAATCATTTCTTATTTAAAATTATTTAATTTTTCGAATAAAATTTCTATGCTCTCACAAGGTTTTAACTTAGGATAATAAGACAATGTTATATTTGGAGGAGGAGAAGACGATAATCAGGGGGGACAATACAATTCGGATGTCGACGAAAAATTTGAATAAACAGATTGATTGGAAACAAACGAAAAAAACAATGGACCGTAGAGAAAATTAAGCCACCCTTGCGTTACCGGAGCGCCGAAAAAATACCGTAGATTTTTTCATTTTTTCCAAAAAAAATCGAAAAACTTTTCGCCAAAAAATCGGAAACTAATTCTCCAAAGTTTTCAGCTACAAATTTTTCTACAGTATCTTCCTAAAGCCTACGGTAGTGCGCCAAAAACAGTGGGTATATTAATTTAGCAGAACATTATAAAAGACAGTTATAAATAGACAAATTCTCGAGTCTTGTGGGGTCTTTAGAACAGTTTTCCGAGGATGATTCCGATCAAGAGGGCGGCCAGACTGACCAGCAGGACCTGCAGGTTGAAGATATTCTGGCTGGGTTCGCTTCGATTCATCAGCATTTCGCTGAGTTTTTGCTGAAAAAAGATGAATAAAAATAAATTTTTGACAATCAAAAATAAAAAACCTTTTAAATCAAGCCATTTTGAACCCTATTTATTCAAAAAATTTTATTCCCTAAAGGGTTTTTCTCAAAAAAAAATTTTTTTTTCAAAATTTTCCCGCATTTTAGAAAAATTTAATTTTTCAAACCCCTAAGGGCATAACAATTTTTTTTAAATCCTAAGCCACAAATACTCTTCTTTTAGGCTTAATTTGATGTATCATTCATCAAAAACGATCAACTTTCCCATGACTTACAGCCAAAACAAAAGAAATGCCCCTTTACCGTCACTGTCCAAAAAAAAAATCCTCAAAAAAATCACCAAATTTCCCCCATCCCCAACCTACTCTAAGTTCCTGATTCTGTGCGGTCAATCGTCGATTTTCAGCGTCCTTTTCCGACGACTTTCCTTCATCTCCGTGGCTGGCGGGTGCTCTGTGGACCAAGTTGGGGCGAGGTTGGGCGTTCAGCGGGTTCTCACTGCTCTTGTTGATCTTCTCCTCGAACACCTTGTCCGTGGAGGTGTACTGGGCGGTGGAATGGTTGTCGTCGAGGCGGGCGGTGGAGGTGTCGGACCCGGCGTCCAGGTTGGCGAACACCACCTTGAGGCGGGCGTCGGCGATTTTGGTGGGGTCCACCGACTTCCAGAACGCCTCCACCGGCTCGTCGGTGGCCAGCGCCGATTGGACGAGGAACTTGTGACGGGAGCGCTCCTTTTCCAGGGTCTGCACCTGATCCACCGGCTGCAGCATCACGTTCACGGTGACGGTGCCGGACGCCGCGATCTGGCCACAGTTCGGTCGGACGCAGTAGAAACGGGGAGCAGTGGTCTTCACCTTGAAGTTGACGGGTTTGTCCGTGAGATTCTGCAGTTTGAGGTGGCTGGTGACGACCTCGGTGAAAGGGCCTGGAAATGGGTAAAATAAGGTCTCGGATTTTAGACTAATCAAAATTTAATTAAAGCCTCCAAAAATCATCTATATACAAACTATTCACTATATCAGAGGCTAACCTTGCCAAAACATTAATTTTTAAACCCAAAATCTATCAATCTCCATGTTCAATATAATTTTTTGTCAAACCCTTCATGAAAGATGGAACAGAGCTCATCAATCTCATTTTATTGATCTACAAGCACTTTGATCCTATTAACTCCCCATTTTTCCTTTGATTTCATTTTCTCCTTGTCCTTCTTCATCTAAAAACCAAGAACAATAAAGAAAACAACTTACCGTTGAATCGGAGTTCATTGTTGGGCTCAAGGGCGACAAACTGTGGCTTGGACATGACTCTTCTTCTGTAAACGATCAAAATCAACTATAGGAAGCAAAAAAACACGCTGACTGACACGCCACGAACGAAAAAACCATGGACACCAAGTTTTTTATGATCTTTCTAAACATCGGAATTTAACAAAAAACATTGATACTTAGTCGAGGCTCGCTTATCAATCCATTGCGGCAAAATGGAACAGGGCTTTTGCGAATTTCCAAACAGTTCCTGTCTAAATTAAAATACAGAGAGAATTACATGAAAACGCATCGAAAAAACTGCTGAACAAATGTTAATCGACGTCTGAGCTGAATCAGCAGAGACGTTGGGGGGAAAGGACATCAAACTTTCGAATAAACACCGAATTCTTTTCAATCAGGTGGTCTAAAATAATATCAGGTGAAAATAGACAAACTTGTAGATAAAAACAGTCCAAATTTCTGTCAGCGAAAGTGCAGAATGTCTACTAACAGTAACAAAAGTCTAGCTTCGCAAAAATGCAAGAAAATTTTTCACAAGCTGAACCAATTTACCTAGTACAATATCGCAAAAAATAATTGGAGATTAAAAAACCCCAAATGTATAGCATCTATTCGCCATATAAAAAAGATTTACATCAAAACTCTGCCATAAAATGCGAAGACTTCCGAATTTTCGCACTTTTCGGACCTTACACATGTGGCTCAAATTTCGGGCATTCTTCAAAAAATCTCCTCGTAAATCCGGCCGAAATTTTGCACTTTCCCCTCGAAAATACCACTCAAAAAATCCTATTCAGCCTTTTAGGAGATGATAATAAATTCTTGTGACCTTCACCTTGTCCCCAGGACAAATTCCCTCCGGCCATTTCGGCCGGTCCTCATGCAGGAGTCGGCTGTTCTCTTTTTCCATGCCTTCGACAATTCGGCCAAGCCTCAAACAAAAACAACGCTTGGGGGAAAAGCCGATTTTTTCGGCGGGCCCGCAGAGAGCGCGGGAAGTGGGTAGGTGCGGAGAGAAAAGTGAAGGAAATCCGGTGGAATTTTTAATGAAACTCGGTTTTAAGGACTCGACAAGCTCAGGAATTAGGTTGTCGGGCCCGTTGGGTGCTCGATTAGCCCAGTTTCGGGACGAAAAATCTATAATTCGCGGAAAAAACGTTAACCTTGAAGGCGAATGTAAAAAATGGTTGACAACAAATTCCTGCGGGGCTCAAAGATCGTCCACTACAATTCTGATATTCTTTATTGCTTGTTCTCACTATCCTTATCAATCAAGGCACCCAAGTTGTTCTTACTTCCAAACTGCGACCAAATTTATATTACACATGAAGGTTAAAGTCAAGTCGTTCAAAAAACTCGTTTTAAAACAAGGTAAACTGTACAAACTGCTCTCCATTAGTATAATCATGACTACGAAATACAAAAAATCCATATTTCTACCACCTTCAAAGGGCTATCCCGCAAAGAAGAGAGTTGTTTTCTACGCGATAGATTCGCCAAACAAACAACGAATTCTCAACCAAACGAGGCCATTTTGATTATGAAACCTCGAAAAACATGTAGAGCAAATTCTCCAACTGTTTACAAGCTACAGAAATGGGGTAAACACCTTCTCCTCGACATTATACATGGCCGATCCTAAAAACCGAAAAAATAATCCGAAAAACAGACAAAACAGCGCCAAATCCGAGCAGAACAGACCACAGCATACGCAAAAAGATCAGTGGATTCTTCGAGAACGTCAGACGAGCCACGTAAATCCAAAATTCCAAGCGGTTTCCGCGCAAAACCCGTGGAAATCCACGAAAAACTGCGCGATTACATGGAGAATGAGGTGACATCCGATGGATAAAGCACCCTTCTCCAATTACACCACGCTAACAACACGGTGGGCTGAGGCTGACGCGTCATGACGTCTCACGCACGCACATTTTGAAAGACGAGAAGCCAACACGGAGAAAAAGTCGAGTCGGCGTCAGACTTGACGCGCACTTCCACGAGTGGGTCAAGTGTTGCACTCAACTGGGAAATGATTCGAAATTGGCGGGAAACGGTGACAAAAGGTTGGATGATTATGTAAATTTTCCGAAAACACCATTTGAGTGATGTTTACCATTTTTTGCAGCTAAATTTTTGATGATTTGCATATGAAGAGTGTTTTTTGACCCGATTTTTGCAGGGAAAGTTGTCATGATGACAAAGTTTTGGTGGTAAGGGCTTCTAAAAACCGAAAATGGAAATCATAAAAGACAGAGCAACTCTAAAAACGTAAAAAATCCTCGATCAAAAATTCGAAACTCGCAAAAATTTGTTATTCCTAACATAAGGTCTTGATCTTGAATATCTAACGGTTAAAAGGCCATAAATTGGCCATAAGTCAGATCTGGCCATATTTAACTTTTTTCGATCAATGTATCACATTTAAAAGGGTTTTTCAGAGCCGAAAATTTTTTCTAAGATTTCGTTAAAGCAATATAATGGTAAAATACGAGCTAAAAACCCTGAGGGCTTTTCAATTTTGCGTCCACAAAGTCATTCTCATCTTCTAATTGGATTAACAAGTTTTCTCTAACTATCTGATGGCCGTTTTGTTGTCTTTTCTCCCCAAACAACACACAATACAGAGAGATAAATGAAAACGGAGAGACCGTCAGAGAAAAAGAGCCCTCGAGTATCCCCAGACGAAGGTATCTGCCGAAAAAGCTGATAGCGTGGAAAAATTAGCCCTCTTCGGCTTCCTTGTGGAGTCCCCGTCACAACAACGCGATGGCATGCAACTTTTCCCGCTCAAACGTCGGCAATGGACCCATGCTACTGTAATGCTATTGATGTCTTCCCTTTCAATCCTCTTCAAGCTGCGGGCTGACATCCGTCGGCAGCCCGGTCGTTGGGGAGTTCGCTAGGCCTGCCCACCTGGCGTTCGAGGAAGTGACGGCCGGGCCAACCTTCAGGGGCAGCTGCCTGACAGGGTTGGTAGCAGCTTAAATTTTGGAATGGTCGGACCTTCGGGTTCGGCCTGATAAAAAAAGGGCTTACAGAAAGAGAGCCGAAGGTGCTTTATAAACGGGAGGCCGTTGAAGATACAGAGGCGCAAGAGAAAAGGGAAGGAATGGTTACCCCCAGCACAAAGTTTTCTTATAGAAAATAGCAACATAAAATGCGAGACGCCAGAGAAAAAGGAAGTCGTAGTTACCCCAGACAAACAATTCAGTGAAGGTTGTTTGTACAAACTACAGAGTTACCGGCAACATTCAGTCTGCGAGAGACTCCAACAATAACATCAAATAACAAAACGCAGGGGGCGGTCGGAGAGGGAACTCCTTTAAACCATAATGTTTGTGCCAAATTTCATAAAACTTTGAATCGCTAGGTAAGCGCTTCCAAAAGCCAAAAATGGCAATCAGAAAGGACAGAACAACTCTAAAAACATAAAAAATTCGGAACTCGCAAAAGTTTCAATTTATTCCTAATAATTGTAAAATACGATCTGAAAACCCTAAGGGAATTTAAATTTTGCGCCACAAAGTCGTCATCACCTTTTGATTGGGATAACAAGTATTCTCTGACTATCTGAAGACCGTTTTGTCTTATTTTCTCTCCAAACAACATACACTAGAAAGAGGTAAATGAAAACGAAGAGGTCTTCAGAGAAAAAGAGTTCGCGAGTTACCCCAGACGAAGATGTATGCCGAAAAAGTTGATAAGGTGGGAAAATAGGAACCTGCCGGCTTTCTTGTAAACTTTCGGTCACAGGAAGACCCGTGATGTCGCGCACGTCGTCTGCTGCTCAAAAAACCGCTGGGTTTCCCTGGCGGAAGGCAACCAGCTTCAAGGGCAGCTGCAGTGTGGTGGTTGGTTGCCGCCTGAAATTTTTTGGAATGGTCGGGCCTTCGGGCTCGGCCTGATGAAAGAAAGCAAAAATTTTCGGGGAAAATTCCGGTTTCTTGAAAAGGGAGCGGGAGAGAAGACCACTTTTGGCCATAATCTTTGTAGCAAATTTCATTAAAAATTCAAATCGCAAGACAAAATGATTCCCGATAGATTAGAAGGGGCCGATTAGAAGCGAGTTTTCCGGATGGCCAGAAAGTTGGATTCGAAGAGAAAAGGTTGAAATGGCTAGCCAAAATGCTGGATTCGCCTTTTCCAGCGAATTAGCCGCCAACCATTTCGATTATTTTTTGGTTTTTTTCTAATTCATCTTTTTGTTAAGTCGTTGATGAGCTCTCTGTCCAAGCAAGCACCACTTTATTAGCTGGATAACTGCTCTTGTATTAGCAAATTATTTAAAAAGCCGTAATCGCTGGTGGGTCATAATCACGGGGATTCAAATTCGGATCATAAAAAGTCAAAAAACGGGAAAACACGCGAGAACTTTAGATTTCACTTGAATGTTTCATATCTCTTCTTTCAACTGGGGTAACAAGACCTCTCTAACTGTCTAACTGTCTCTAAAAACCAATTTTCTCTTTCAACTTGAAACAAACAAAATAGAGAACGAGTGATTTGAGAGGTTGGCAGAGAACGAAATGGTCCCAGTTACCCCAGTTCAAACAGTTTTGACTCAAAATTGAAGAGGTTGAAAAACCATTGACGGGTTCGGCGTATTTGCCCGTCCTAACGCCTCTTAGCTGGCTGCCTTCCAGCGTTGGCCGGAACACGCTTCCTACAGCAACAGTCCAGCGTCAGGGGCAGCTGGGCGTCGCGGGCTGAATGGTTTGCTGGAATTTTTGGAATGGCTGCGCGCGGCCTGATATGGGTAATTTAGCGGGAATATGTACTATGGAAGCTTTGCACTGCTGTCCCGTTAGCAAAATTCGCAGTGAAACAGTTGAAAAAACCTTGGACCGGCGATTTTTCGATTTCACGGTGCAAAGGGGGAAATTTTACAAACGTGCGGAAAACCTTTGACGAAAACACTCATTTTTGAATAAGTGGGGTAGAATATAAGCGCTGAGAGCGTGCTTATTCGTATTTTACCTTCTTGTTTGGGAGGACCGGCGGATTTTTTTTTCAAATTTTGATCAACTTTGAACTAACAAAAATTTCTTTATCAGTCTGTCGGGAAAATAATGATTTTGTGAAAACTGGAATCTCAGAAATTAATTATAAAGTTTGTTATTCCAATTTCCTCAATTCTCCAAGAAACAGGCTTGTTTGTTCCAAAATCTTGCTCCAAATTTACGCAAATTCTTTTCAGACTACTATCAGTCTGTCGGGAAAATCATGAGCACTCTGTTGCATCGAAAATCGCATCGCCGCCGAGAAAAAATTATTTGTGTCGCGGAAAAACGATTTTTTTTCACTTCAGCGACACAGTCGACGCAGCGACATTGCTCATTATTTTCCCGACAGACTGATAAAACAACTTTCCAAAAGTTTTTAGAACCAAACAAGTCCTACAAAAATTATGTATAACAAATTTATTCGAATTCAAAATCGATAAAACGGAGAGAGAGAAAAAATATTTATCACAATTCGCAAAATTTTCGAACATTTTTGAAAACATTCGAAAAGAATCACCAAGTTTTGTGTGGACAACATTTGAAAGACGGGAGAGAAAATATAAATTGAGTATTAACAAAACAAAAAAATCAAAAAAAAATCGTTCGTATTGACAAAATAACGTATTCAAGACTACAGTGTGGGGGATTAAGCGAACGTTATGATTTGAGTGGGGTGTGTGTCCCGTTGTGACCGTACAAACAACAAAAAAAAATCAGTGGAAAGTTCTGTATAACCAAAAAATCTACAAAAAACCTCAAAAAGTATCCAAAAACCTCAAAAGGTATCCAAAAACCTCAAAAGGTATCCAAAAACCTCAATTTTCGATAAACCATCGCTAGATCAAGGTTCCTTTTGGCCTACAGACCTCAGCAAACCCACTAAAATAGTTTTGCCAACCTCTAATTTTGCTATACAGACCTTCCACTGCGGAAAATTGGGGGATATATGAATAGTAAGAGAAATAAAAATTCTTTGCCCGTTTCGAAAGTAGTTCAAACACCGGGATATTCTGTTGTTCTCTGGAGGTTTAGGCAGCTTTCTAGGGCTCCAATATTAAAAAAAAATTTTAAATTTCAAAAAAATCAATAATTCCAAAAATTGACATTTCGTTCAAATTTTCAAAAATCAATTTTTATGCTAAAATAAGCCTTTTCAATCCGGGATTCCACTATATCAGCCAATTTCAACCTTCAAAATTTCCAATTTTTCCCAAAAAACTACCGTAACCCCCTAAAAATCGCCATAAATCCATAACTTTCAACGAGAAATCCCGGTGTTCCGAGTGTATTTTACAACCATTTATTTGAGGCGTTGAGTGATCGATGCCAGTGCGATTCCGAACGCCTGGACGGCCGAGAGGGGGGTGCAGAAGTCGAGGGTGTAGGCGCCGTTTTCGATTCGCCCGAACTGCATGACTTGCTCGCTTTCGTGTTCGATTTGGAAGTTCTTCGCCGATTCCTGGGTGACGCGGCCGCCAAAGTCGAGCTAAAATACGGTGGGGTAAAAATTAAAAAATCAAAAAAAAAAAAAAAAAAAATTTTTTTTTGTAAAATACGGATTAAAAAACTGTTGGTAAATACGCGAATCATATGTAAAATACTCCATATCCTTGTGTAAAAATATGAAACTCAAATTTTTTCCTCATTTGTCAATTTCTAAAATTTTTCTGGGTCCCACCAAGAAAACTTCTCGTCTCAAAATTTCGATGGAAAATTATTTCTATTAACTTTTCACGGTAATTTGCATTCTATTTCGGCTATTCTCCGTCAATTTTTATTCAATTTACTGAATTGAATATAAATTTTGGGTCCCACCACGAAAACATCCAACCCCAAAATTCCTGGAAAATTTCACTTATTATGTATTCTTCACCACATAAAGCCTCTCTAAACACCATTTCCACAAATCTAAAGCCATCAAATCCCATAAAAAATAGTCGATTGGGTCCCACCACGAAAACTTGCAAACCCAAAATTTCGGTAAAATTCCACTTATAATTTATTTTTTCACCCCATAAAAACCTCTCTAAAGATTAATTTCCACAAATTTAAGGCCCTCAACTTTCATAAACTAGTCCATTGGTCCCACCACGAAAACTTGCAAACTCAAAATTTCGGTAAAATTCCACTTATTCGGTATTCTTCACCCCATAAAGCCTCTCTTCACACCATTTCCATGAATCTAAAGCCATCAAATCCCATAAACAAGTCCACTGGGTCCCACCACGAAAACTTGCAAACTTAAAATTCCTATACAATTCCACTTTCCCTACCTCCCCAAGCTCCATACGTCTCCAAAAACATTTTTTCTCAAAAAAATCCTTTAATTTCTCACCTGATACACCTGACTTTCTTCATTCCAGAAGGGTGTTTTGTTGGCGACACGGATCACTCCGTACTGTTGTTGGGTGGACTGGGGTGAGTCGGCGCGTTCGCTTTGGACCTCCAGCACGTCCTCGTCGATGTTTTTGCGGCGTTTCGTGTCGAGGACGTCGACGGCGTGTGGTGTGTCGCCCAAAGTTGACTTCAGGTTCTGGACGCGTTGATGGAGGTCGGAGAGCATCGAATTGGTGCGGATCGCTTCCTCCAGCTGGCCCAATTGGCCGGCAATGTCGCGCAGCTGGGCGCGCATGTCGTCCACCGACGGCGAACGGGGAACGTCGTTGTCGGCTTCGTCTTCTAACAGACGATTTCGGTCTTCGGGCTGAAAATTCGGGGATTTTAGTAAATTTTAGGTAAGAAAGAGTGTATTTTAAATACCAATATGAATGAATCAATTCTACCTCTTTATCTGACACTAATATCCTTCATTTAGTCACAAAAAACAGCCTCTTCCACACTGAAATCATAAAAAAAATTTATTTTTTTTATCTAAAGTAATATAATTTTTGCTTTCAACTTTCGCTATCTTGCCTTTAATACACTTTTTCTGCCCTATTCTTTCTAAAAACACTAGATTCCACCAAAATGTTCTTCAATTTCCCCCAAAATTTCCAAAAAATCTCAAATTTTTACCTAAACTAATACAATTTTTTCCTCCAAAACCACCTCCTTCACCTCTCAACCACATAAAATACCCTATTCTGTCTCAAAACATCCAATTTCATTTCTATTTCCCCTAAAATTTCCAAAAAATCTCAAATTTTTACCTAAAGTAATATAATTTTTTCCTCCAAAACCGACCTCCTTAATTCTAAACCACATAAAATGCCCTATTCTTTCTCAAAACACTCAATTCCTCCTCTACTTCCATCAAACTTCCCAAAAAAATCACTTTTTCACCTAGTACAATATAACCAAACCTACCGTTTCGGGTTCTTTCCTTCCTCCCTTCAGCCTCAAGTCCGCTAGGCGGTTCAGAGTGTGGATTATATCATTTTTGGTTCGGCTGTCGGCCGAGGTTGTGGATTCCGAGGTGCTGGGTCGGAAGTCGGGTGGTGGTGGGGGAGGTGTGTCGGGCGGGAGCAAATGGGTCCGTTCCTCGGACGTCGACTCCTCCTTGCTCTCTTCGTCGATGAAATCGAGGGAATCCAGTTTGTGTTGCCAGGAAAGCCGGGGTTGTTCGGTTTGGACCGACTGGTCGGTTTGGTCATTCGATTTTTTCGACTTCTCCTTTCGCTTCGGCGCCGATTTTTTCGTTTTCTCCGGTTTTCGCTTGGCCAACTTCGGCTTGGTTTGGGTTAACTCGGCCGCGATTCGGCGCATATTTGTGATATGTTCGTCGACCGCTGTTCGCAGGCTTTCGTACTCTAATAATACGTTGCTGTACAGTCTCCGCTCTTCTTCGAAGAGTTCCTCGTCCGCTGGAGCGGCTGGGGAAGCAGGTCGAGCTGAAAAAGACCAAAAATTATACCAATTTCACAAAAATTCGGCTCAAAACTTCAAAAAATCTCCATATCCGACCTTAAAATTCCTAATCTAAATACCCAAAAAATCGGCAGGACGTATTTTACATTCCTCTCTACTATTTTACAACATTTTCTTTCAGGTGGATTCGAACTTTAATTAACCCCGCATTGTTGCTTAACTTGTTAGATCGGACGGGACCGCGCACTCGGACTTTTCCAAAAAGAACTCTCTCCATAAAACAGCCATTGATTCTTTTGTGAAACTGGGAGTGCGTTATCCCGTCCGATCTGGCAAGTTAAGCAACGTGCGTGGTTCTTTCAGGTTCGAATCCCACTGGCACAAATTTTCCAAAAAATCATTTCTAATGGCCTCAAACTGCATCAAATTACATAAAAATAATCTCTTACCTTCTTCGGCCTCCTCTGCTCTCCGTTCTTCTTCAATTCTGGGGCCAATCAGCTCCGCTTCTTGGATATTATCCAAATGCGCGTGCTGCAACAGGCTCTGCTGATCCTGTTGTTGGTCCGTCCGCCTGAGCAAGTGATTCCTCAGGGTTCTGGCTCTACTCCTCCTTCTGGTCTGATGATTTTGGACTGGGTCCGGTTGTTGGATTTGAGCGACTGGTACCCTTTGAATGGGTCTTCTTTCGCGAAGTCTAGCTCTCGTTTCCGCGTACGTCATAAACTGCCGTTGATGAGGTGGAATTGGCTGGAGTTGTTGTTGTTGCTGCTCAAACCGGAGGATCGGATCGATTAATGTTGGGCGGATTGGGGCGACCGGTCGATTATTGTTATTGTTTTGGTCGTCATTGATGTCAGCGTTGACTTGCTGCAGGGTTCTTGGGCCACGGGCTGTTCGAGGGCGGTCCACGGGTCTAAAATATTTGTTTGATTAATTTTCGACCAATTTCAGACAGCTGGATTCGAACTTGGACTAATTAGCGGCACGGTTGCTTCACTTGCCAGATCGGACGGGACCGCGCACTCGGACTTTTCTAACAAGGAAAGTACTTTTATGGGGGCTCCTACTTTTTGACGGGACATATCTCAAAAAATCAGAAAAAATGTGCTGATCAAGGATATATAAATCTTAGCTGCCCATTTTAGGTTTTTAAGGGTGAAAATGCCCAAAAACTGGTTTAATTTCCCTACAAAAGGCAGACATTCGAAACGATAAAAAGAGCACTCGATCTCTTCCATCGGAAGAGAGCGGTGTGGCCGAGTGGTTAGTGCCGTAGTCTGGGAATCAAGAGGGGGGACGCCGCACAGGTTCGATTTCCCTTTTGGGCTGAATCAACTTTTTTGAAGTTGAAGGTCGGAAAAATAAATTTTTGGGCCAAGACTGTCTTATTACGTCTTAGAAACTCAATAAACACCATTTTAAGCCAAAATAAAAATTGTAAACCTTTGAAAAAATTAAGCGAAAAGGGGTTCATATAGGACTTTAAGTCAACATCCGACTGAGTTTTCACCCCTAAAAACCTAAAATGGGCAGCTAAGATTTATATATCCTTGATCAGCACATTTTTTCTGATTTTTTGAGATATGTCCCGTCAAAAAGTAGGAGCCCCCATAAAAGTACTTTCCTTGTAAAAAGCGCTCTCTCTCCAAACCCGCCCTATTTAATTTGTCAAAGTTCGAGTGTGCTATCCCGTCCGATCTGGCAAGTTAAGCAACGGTGCTGAGTGGCCCAGGTTCGAATCCCACCATAAACAAATTATTTTTTTCGCTACACAACATTAAAAATTAGTTACCAAAAGATCACCAATAATCCCTTGCACCTTATTCTGTCTTCCCCATATATAAAAAAGCTAGCTTTTTTTCAAAAAACTTCAAAAATTTCCCTAAAACCCGGCAAAAAACCAAATTCTCACCGAAAAATCGCCGGACTCGAGTCCGCGGACCTGAAATTCCTCAAGCCGCTTCGTTCAGCCACCAAATTTTGGTTCACCGGTAAGGGAAGTGTTTTGGTCAGAGGTCGCAGATCGCACAGTGCGATGCCCATTTGTCTTGGCTGGAGGTGTAAAACGGACGTTTTGTAGACGACATGGGCCAACGTTGGGGGTAGGTCTCTGATTCCCGGTGAGGTGATTTTAAATCTTGTGCACCAGACATTCGAGGAGACGTGGCACAGTACTCGATTCGACTTTACAATCGGATTGGCCAATCTTTTGGACATGAACTTCTTGATCCGTCGTTTGCTGCGACGCCAGACGGAATTGCGGGGTTCGGGTTGATGGGCCAGGAGGATGTCTTCTTGGAGTTTTCGTTTGGCTAAAATTCGAGAATTAAAATAGAGATTTCAAAAAATTCGCACAGTGCAATCAAAATTTTTAAAAATCGCACTGTGCGTCAAACAAACGAGCAAAAAAAGCAAAAAATGGTGAAACCAAAACTATTAATATACTACTAGAAAATCTAAACCCAAACCATTTCATTTTACCCCCTGCACGGTGCAAAAACCCCGAAAATTTCAAATCTGCACAGTGAGAAACTAAAACAACATCCTGGATCCCCGATACACCAAATTTTTGGTGAATTTTACTATTCAATCGACAAAAGAGGCTCTGATTATCCAAGTGTTCCATTTTGAGTTCAAAAAACTTATTGCACCGTGCAGAAAATTAAATTTTTTTCCTCCGCACAGTGCATGACTAAAATAAGGTCCCAGCTGCACCGTAAGCAAAAATTCCAAAAAATTTTCTTATTCTATAACAAAACCATAACCTCAGCTTATCATAAAAACCACTATTGCCTCCAAAATCTCCGTTGCACAGTGCAGAAAATCCAAAATTTTTCCTCCGCACAGTGCAAGTCCCAAAATAAGGTCCCAACTGCTCCTTACATCAAAATTCCAACGAATTTTCTTATTCTATAGCAAAACCACAACCTCAGCTTCTCAAAAAACCACTATTTCCTCCAAAACCTCCGTAGTACCATACATAAAAGCAAAAATTTTTCCTCCGCATAGTGCAAATCCCAAAAAATTTCATTTTCTCTATTTCTCTTCCTTACCTATCGTTTGTGCGTAGCCGGACGTCTCACTGGGGTCTTCAATTCCACTCGGAGGCATTGGTTCCAAGTCATGGGTGAAAGAGTAATTGGGCATCGGTAAATTTACATTGCAATCGGCGGCATAGGACCACCTCGGTCCGACCGAGTGGTCTTTGATCGCCCATGGTCCATAGCTATATCCGGGGGTCGTATAAGCCGTCGATGGGGGTAAACTGATCAGAAATTGTGGGATGACTCGATTAATCTGTCTTCCGATGAGTACCGGGATCATTCCGCCCAGATGTTCGACGCACAACATATACTGATAACTTTTCCTTGGGATCGGCATGATCGTGCAGTACCAGCGCCAAAACGTGGGTTCGCACACAAAACGGCACATTTTATCGTAGGAGGGGACGCGGCAGCGGATCACATGCCGGTCGAACTGCTTGATGATGCTGGTCGGGCGTTGTGGGAGTTTCAGACGGTTCGCGAAACGGCCGGTTCGTCCGGCGCCCAGCCACAACTGATATGAGACGAGTTCGGTGAGAGGTGGGACGCCGTGGGAGACGCGGCCCACCGCCAACGTTGAGCCTGCCGCAATTATGACCATCTCGTCTTTGTGGGCCCAAGTGAACACCGTCGGCTCGTCATCGAACATGATTGGGGGCAGGAAACTGTGAATTGGACGGCCTTGCTGGTTGAGGATGACAATTCTAAAAAGATAAACCCATTAAATTCATAAACATTTCATAATTTTCTATCAAAAATTTTCAACAAATTTCGATCGCACAGTGCGGTCCACAAAAAAATTTCGAATCTGCACTGTGCGTTGGAAGTTTTTGAAAATATATATTTTTACCGACCAGTAGTTTCATTACAAGCAATATCAAACATCTACTTGTATCGTATGTTCATATTTCTAAATAAATATTTCAATTATTCCGACCGCACAGTGCGATTTTCAAAAAACAACAAAGCTGCACAGTGCAATGGAAATTTTCAGAAATTTAAAGGTCTAGATACGCAAAAATAACAACTCAATTCAATTTGGACATTAAAATTCGTCAAAATCATCAATTCCAAACCCAAATTTCCCAGTTTTTTTGACTGCACAGTGAAAAACGGCTTACATTATTTTTCGCACTGTGCATTTCAAAAAATGTGGAAAAAAATGGACAGTCCGGGTGAAAATCGTCCAAAATTTTGGTATGCAAAGAATCCAAGAGCCATTCTTCCTATAACCCGCAATTTTCAAAAATCAAAATCTGCACAGTGCGATGAAAAATCAAAATTAAAAAACTGCACTGTGCGTTCAAATTTTCGTTCAAAATTGGAAAAATTTTAATAAAAAAAAAATAAAAACCACTTGTTAGTCAGCATAATGACACCCAAAAAAATTTCAGCCCTTACCGTCCGGTACTGCAGACTACAGAAAGCATTTTTCCGCTCGAACTCCAATGAATACTTCGAATTGGATCTCGACTTTTCCATCCGTAGAGCTCAACCTCATACTGGGTGTTCAAGAACAGGATCTGATCGTCCATTGAGACCGCAGCCAGCGTCCATTTTTGATGTTCTTCTTCGTCTTCTCGGATTGGAGAAAATGCGAGTTTGAAGACACCCACTTGGAGGAGTTGTCGCTCCGTGATGATGGTACCTTGGTCGTTGAAAACCTGGATTTGACCCGTTTCCAGGCCCAAGACCAGCTCCTTTGAGTTGGGGGACCAGGTGCCGCAATTGACTTGGTTTAAAAATGTGTTCGACCAGATTCGCTGACCACTCGCGGAACCTAAAGCAGAAAAAATGTATTCTAAATTACTTTTTAAATCGATTACTACTCATTTTAAATCATTATTTATCTTTGCCGAGCTTTTAAACCTAAGTTTCCATCAGAGGATTCGAACTTGGGCCAATCAAGCACCGTTGCTTAACTCGCCAGATCGGACGGGATGACGTTTTCGCACTTTTGCAAAAGAAACAGAGTGCGTTTCGAGGGCAAGAATTTTTGCAAACGTACGAGAGAGTCATCCCGTCCGATCTGTCAAGTTAAGCAACGGTGCGCTTGATTAGTTCAAGTTCGAATCTGTTGGAACAAAATATTGAAATTCGTCCTAAAGGTGCAAGAATAATGTGTAAACAAGCAAAAAACATACCAATCAACACAAAATTGTCCTCATAAAGTATCAAAGCAGCCGCGCCATTGGGACTCCAATCAAAATCGCGAACTTTTAGACCTCGATCATTGACCAACTCCACCGACCAACGTTCTTCGTTCGGAACCCAGACGTATATTACACCGTTCTCGTCACATGACCCCAACTTTGTCATTGTAGAATTCCAGGCTACCCGTTGAATTTTCGCATGATGCCCTCTGAGATTGTAATTATAACGCCGGGATAAATCGGACTCGGAGAAAGACTCGGGAAGCGCGGTATCCGTCACTGCAATCCCAACCACACCATTTTGTGTGCCGCTGGCGAGAAGACCTGAAATTACCAAATTTTTATATTGTAGTAGGTTGTCCAACTTAGCAAAAACCTCTTCCATTTGACTCTAAATAGCAAGAACAAAGGAGAAATGAACATACCTCTCGTATCCGACATGGCAATGATGCCTGACGACATATTGTTGCCATTTTGTTGACTGTGAGTCAATTTTTCGCCGCTTTTATTGGGCAACGGCATCCAACACAGGGAAGTGATCTGAGACGGACCCACTGAGGAGCCCGGCCAACATTGGGATTCCCAAAATATCTTCATACTTATTATCTGAAAGGAAAACTGAATTTATATTACACTAGACAACAAGTGGAATGTTTTAGGTGAAAAAGAGATGTTATTGAAGGAATTCTGAGGACAAATAAATGTGAACAGCAAGATAGAGCTATGTCTAAAGTATCACATTAAAAATTTGCCTAAAATATTGATCTACAGCTTCACAAATTAATTTAGCAACTTTGATACCTACAACAATATAAAATCAATCAAGGGTTTGAAAAACAAATTTCTTATCTGCATTATAACTTCGAGAACAGTCAGTCACCGCTCTACCTATTTTCCCCCGTCAAAACTCCTTCAATTACCACCTCTTCATCAAGAATAACATAAATTTACTACCTAAAATCAGAAAAAAATCAAAAAATCTCGGAAAAACTTACTATTACGATTTACGAATGCATCCAAGCTGAACAATACATCAAATCCTGCAGTCCGATATGTGTTTGCGGTGCTTTCAGCACCAGGCGCTAACGGGGAGAAAGAAGGGAACAACCACGGGGGAAATGCGCTGAAATCGACGAGATTTACATTTCATTTTCGCGTGAATTCTTGCACTCGACGCGACAAAACAAGGTTATTTATTGCGCACATAATTCATAAAGCTTCGACTTTTGTGAAATTCGATCGGACGAAAAAAAAATTTTTGCGAAAATTGATCGAACAATTTTTTGTTTCGAGTAAAAACCGACGATCGAAGAGGGAATTGAAGGGCTGTTTACCGTTGCCTGAGTAATGTATGCATTCCTCAGCGTTTCCGACGTGAATATTACTTTATCAGCGCGTTTTGCGATAAGAATTTTTTGGGGTCCGAAGGTCTAGTACAATATAAATTTATATGGGAAATATTGCAGAAACTTGTTCGAGATTTGGGAAACGCTTTTGCGGGTAGCATTGGGTATGTGTGAGGTTCCAAATGAGGGGAGATCAGGGAGATTAAAGGGGGTTTACAAAAGTAATGACGTCATTTCCGGTTTTGGTCGGAGGTTCACGAGAATTGGCGAAATTACTGATAATCCGATGGAAATGGGGTCTTAAAAGCGTTCGAAATGAAGAATTGCACATTTGTTGAGGATTCAGAGTAAAAAGTTTGCCTGGAAACCATAGGAATCGGGAATTACAGAGTCTCGATGTTATCCATGTATGAAGTGTAATATAACTTGTGCCACAACTTGGTAGAAGCTAATAGACACCTTTAAAGCTTCTAAAATGTTAGTATATGGGTTCTATTGTCTATTGAATAGTAAAATAGCGCTTTAAAATCCACAACGAACTAACTTTTTGAGATTTTATATTACCCATGGCTCTAGTATAATATAATTGCTGTCACAGCTCGCTAGATGTCGCTAAACCTGCTGCAAATCGCCTCAAAACGCACTCGACCCCAGCAACCAATCGATAAACAGCAGGGCCGATTATCGACGCAATCAATTGACCGGCTGTCAGCGAAAGACGACCCAATCACCTGGAAGATTCGCCCCGCCGCCGCGCCTTTACTATCAATTTACTCCGTCCCCCCAAAAACTGTTGTAATTGTGATCAAAACAAGACGGCGGCTGCTCGGATAACACAGCCCCCCTCCATCTCTTCGCCCAAAAGTTGATGGAGGCGCGGGAAAACGTGTGGAGTGGCGGTTGAAGCGAGAGAATTGATTGAATCGATAAGAGGGAGAAAAAAAGAGAGTAATGTAGTTACAATATTGGGTGCGGAGAAAAATGGAATCGATTATCAGTCGGTTTGCAGCGGGTTCGGTCAGTTCTGCGGGGTTATTTATAACGTTGTAAACACATGACCCCCGGCGTGAACAGAGTGCAAGAACTCGGCCGGAATTGGGTATTACAGTAAACTGCGGGTAACAAAATGCTCACAATTTCATCTGCTATTTACAGAGAGCAATGGGACAAAAAATACGAACATTTTTCGGGGAGTTTCATCAAAAATAACCTGAATTTACCCTTCAGATCTCGTTTTCATCTTATAAAACTGTTTTTTAATAGATATATCGCAAAATATCCCGCTCGATTAGACCTCGTATTAGTGAGCGAAGACTCTGAACTCTCTTGTAAATATGGGTTTGCCCAGCTTGCGGGTCAAAAGTTTGTAAAAAGCCTAGATAAACATTCCCTTTGATCTCCGAAACTTTTCACGGGAATTCGACCTTGAAATGGGTGATATCATGGGGTGGAATAGATAACAAATTCTCCATTAAGGTCTCAGCAATGACCTGGCTAGCCGTTTCACATCAATTCTCAATTGGTTTTTACAATCCGCTCGTTTCAATTGGGCTTATCTGAAACTTGATGGGCAAGGTGAATAAAATCTCAAATTTTGACTAAACTCCGCCGTTATAAGTTCGAGAATGGTTGTAAAAATGTTGATTAGTCAATAAAAATTGAATTGAACATTACACACTGTAGTCACAACCCCCATGAACTATCGAAAACACCCGTTCTTAGGACTGTCATCAAAAATCGACAGGTGTAAATAAGAATAAGCTATTCCGTTCCATAAACCGCCCGAAACTTGGCCTGGTTTTAATTATCGGCTTCCACGAACACCCACACAGCCCGCTGACACGAAATTCACTTCGATTACCTGAGGAAATTAGTGTTTACGAGCGAATTTCGGACGAGACGGCAAAGAGGAAGGGGTGGCAAAATCTGGGACGCCTGCCAAATAAGGTGGAAAAAACAAAACTGCGGGCCGAGGGGTGTGCTTGGCAAGAGCGGATTCTGCAATATTATATTTACATGAATACGAGCAAAAGGCCAGAGGATAGAAGGCACCCGGAAAAACAACAATTTCGTTGAAATCCACACCTTCCCAAAGATGCGTCATAATGACGGATTTATTTGAACTTATCAAAAAAAATATTTTAAAACCAGTGTTTTCATGTCTTAAAAAGTAGTTCTTGAAAGTATTTTTACAATCAAATGATTAACCGCCTCAGGCCGAATGTTTTCCCAAATTCACAGAAAATGAGTCATAATGACGGATTTGTTCGAATTTGTAAAAAAATTTTACAACTGCCGAATTGCTGTACCTTGAACAGTAAGTTGCGAAAATATTTGGAGAATCGGATGATTGACCGCCTCGGGGAAAATATTTTTCTTCCACCTTTCCGCCCGATTGAACTCGCCCGAAAAAACTTGACGCCAATGATGTTTACCGTGACAATCGGGAAGTCGGGGTGTCATGAACATGCTGGAACAATTGCTCAGTCAGTTTTTAGCGGATTTGGAAAGCACATAAAGTAATTGGGAAACTTTTGTTTCAAAAAATGAGAAATGGAGGAAAATTTTGCCGGACTTCGAAAAAAGGTCGATATTTCGGTCGATAGAGGGGGAGGGTAAAATACGAATACTTCAGCTTGTGCTGTAAGCTAAAAGCTTTCAAAAGAGCAATCGATCATAGCATTTGGTCGGGCGAGTTAAAAGATATGAGCAATATATTATTTTAGTGTCATCAAAATTTTGATGATTGAAACCTTCCCAAAAAGATATCAGAAATGGAAGGGACTGTTATAAATCGACAATATCTATATTCTGTAAAGCCTGATAGTCAAGAAAATATCCAAACCTGCTCGAATATAGCAGTAAAAGGATTGAAATTCGAGTTGCACACCTATCACATCATTTCCAAACAAAAACTGTAAAATTCGAACGAAAAGCCCATATGCAAATTAAAAATTCTGACGTAAAAGTAAACGCAGACCCTCGGGGGCCTCGAAATCCAGAGTCTTTGCGGTTTCGTCACCTCCGTCTCCCACCTTTTCGATGAAATATGTTACACTTTCCACCTGAGTCCCCCAAACACGCAGTGTAAAAGATTCCAGGCCAAATCCGCGGGGAGTTTTCGAGTTCTCACGCACCTCATAATTACCGAGCACTAATTACCAACGTCCACGCGTCGCATTGCCCCTGGTAACCGGCAGGGTTTTACAGCAGTTTCGCCGAAGGTATCCCATGACTCGCCGCAAAAATACAAAGACTGCGTGAACCCGCACTAACCTTAACTCAAACAGTCAATACAGTCGAATGGAATGCGAAGTAGTGGAGCGATATTCGTCTTGTGTAAACAGCCCCCAACTTTTTGGGAGTTGTTATAACAAGAATCGTTTTTTTTCTGGGGGGAGGTTTTGGGAAGGTCGAGGATGACCGATCGAGGTCAGAACGGATATTTGCCCGCCGGGCATATGGCTTAGATTTGGCGAAATGGCAAACGCGGGCCTGGAGACTTGTTTCAACAAAGCTTTGCAAAGTAAAATTCGAGCAATTTGAATAAATCTGCGTTTTCGCCGGAAAATTTGAAAAAATCTCCAATTTAGGGCAAAAAATCGAAATATTATTGTGCTTACTGTATTGTAAGTTAACTGTAGTTCCTCCAGAAAGCTCATACAATATATTGCAATAGTAAAAAGGGTTTTAAAAAATCATGAATCGGCCGAAAATCAAGATTCTGAAGAAAAATTTGCATTTTTGCTAAAGAACGTCAAAAAACCTCAAATTTCCGGCAAAAAATCAAAAAAGTATGCTGCTCATTGTACTGAAAATTAATCTCACAAGCTTTTATGGGGGCTCCTACTTTTTGACGGGATATATCTCAAAAAATCAGAAAAAATGTGCTGATCAAGAATATATAGATCTTAGCTGCCCATTTTAGGTTTTTAGGGGTGAAAACTCAGTCGGAAGTTGACTTAAAGTCCTATATGAACCCCTTTTCGCTTAATTTTTTCAAAGGTTTACAATTTTTATTTTGGCTTAAAATGGTGTTTATTGAGTTTCTAAGACGTAATAAGACAGTCTTGGCCCAAAAATTTATTTTTCCGACCTTCAACTTCAAAAAAGTTGATTCAGCCCAAAAGGGAAATCGAACCTGTGCGGCGTCCCCCTCTTGATTCCCAGACTACGGCACTAACCACTCGGCCACACCGCTCTCTTCCGAAGGAAGAGATCGAGTGCTCTTTTTATCGTTTCGAATGTCTGCCTTTTGTAGGGAAATTAAACCAGTTTTTGGGCATTTTCACCCTTAAAAACCTAAAATGGGCAGCTAAGATTTATATATCCTTGATCAGCGCATTTTTTCTGATTTTTTGAGATATGTCCCGTCAAAAAGTAGGAGCCCCCATAAAAGTACTTTCCTTGTCAGTTCCTTTAGTAAACTTTTCAGATTAAAAAAAAGGCCTTTAAAATCGATAAATCGGCCGAAAATGGAGATACTTCACCAAATATAGACCAAACCCTCCATAAATCTACGAAAAACGTCTCAAAAGGTCCCGAAAAAGTAGCGCAAAGCCCCTTCCATGGACTCCGCATACTACTGCGAACCCTTATCATATCGCACGTAGCCATTTGTAAGCCCTTATGACCCAATTACCGCTCGAATTTGCTCGGAAACCCCTCCAAATCCAGTTACGATTTTTCGCTCAAAAATTCGACTCAAAATTACCGCTCTCTACGTATATAGAGAGCTATAAAGGAGCGGGGTGAATCCAGTTAGGGCTATAAATTGCGCATGCTTGTCAAAAATCGATCCCAACGTTTCGAATCGGCGCGCTAGCGGGATTTTTTCGAGGAAAAATTTTCCGAGCGCAAAAAAGAGAGAAGCGAACTTTTTCCGCGGCTTTCGGGAAGAGAAAGAAGTAATGCAGAACAGATGGTCGCCGGCCCCAGACGAGAGCGCAGAGAGCGCGTGGATTGGGGAGGGTGGAGAGGGGGAGAGAGTGTGGGGCGGGGAGAGGGCGGC